TGCAACCAAGCTAAGCTAAACATTTAACTTTGGCCTCATAAAATTGGCCTCCCAAATTAACAACACAATCCTGTGCCTGCCTACTCAAAAACAGGGCCTACTGATCTCAATTGGAACTTACTCCAAATAATTGCATTTAGGCTGGGGAGAGCAGGGAGATTTACTGGAAAAGCAACTGTCTCATCCATATACTTTATTTTCATATGTTCAGAATTAGTCAATGGTAAAATGGAATTATTTGTTTTGTTTTTTAAAAGTAAAAACCTCAAGAGTTCTCTATATTCAGAATACCAGCTCCAAAAGGCTGGCAACAATTGCACAAAAGCATATACTACACCTCCTCTTCTTCTTGACGTTTCCTTGCTGCTGCTTCTTTTTCTTTCCTGATCTTGAAAGCTTCTTGTGCCCTTTCTTCTCTCAGCAACCACTCTTCATGGAGCCTTTGCCTGCAAATTTTAAATTAATGCTGAACCACCATTAAATATAACACTTGATTAAAGATTTTTAACAGTTATATTCTAACTTTAAACATAGTTAAGTGCTTACAAAGTACAGTTTAAAACTGCAACAAGTGCAACATAAAGGTTGTGCTGCTATATTTATCTGGAAGAATGTCCTAATGAACTTAATAGGGCTTATTTCTAACTATACATGTGTAGGTCTACAGCAGGGGTCCTCAAACTTTTTCAATAGGGGGCCAGTTGAAAGGCGGCGGCTATACGGTGGGGCGGGGGCTGGGTGTGCGGGCCGGTGAGGCATTTGGGTGTGCGCAGCAGCGGCTCGCTCGGAGATCTCCCAGCGAGTCCAAAACCATCTCCAAGCAAGCAAGCCACCACCTCCAGCCCGCGCTGCAAGGCAGTGGCAAGCGCATGTGCGAGTCCAAAACCATCTCCGAGTGAGCAAGCCACCACCTGCCCATGCGGCGAGCATGCACACGGACGGGGGGCAGCGGCATGGGCTGGATGAATAGGCATGGCAGGCTGGATCTGTCCCACAGGCCATAGTTTGAGGACACATGGTCTACAGTATAAACATCCTAAAATAGCCGTCAGCTAGAAGGTAGTAGCTATATAAACAATAAAATACTATGAAGATCTTGTGTGAACAGACTGACTTGACACCTAAAGGATGAAACAAGTGTACTACACTAATCATCCAAGTGATATGTAAAACAGAAAATAAATTTCTTATTTGAAAATAAAGGTGCAATCCTAAACATGCTGTCCTGGCAGTAATCGCCATTAAACATGGTGAGACTTCCTTCCAAGTAACATGCAGAAGACTGGGCTCTCTAGTCTAAATTAAACATGTTTATTTACCTTTCTTCTTCAAGTTGTTTTTCTTCATCATCCAGCTCTTCTTCTGAAATCTGTTCATCTTTTTCTGCTTTCTCTGAAAGGCAAACAATAAATAAATAATCTTTATTGATCACTACACTTAGGATGCAAGCCACTGTATTCCACACCAGATGAAATTCAAATTCTAAAGGTCCCAGTCAGTGTATGGAAACAGAGCATATTCTTCAAGTCATCAGGTCACCACATTCCCCAAGCCTTGATCTGATTTTTCACTAAAAACAAACCATATTGAAACCATTCTTGTTTTATATCATAGCAAGTGGAATCTGCAACAAAAGGTTGCAGCATGGAATGAGTTTGTTTTTTAAAAAACATTATCTGGATGTTTTTCGCACTGCACCAAAACTGGTGTCCTCCTTGTTTACTGTACATGGACAATGTGGTTTTAATTACATAAGGAACCTCACTCAGAGAATGAATTTTCTATTGTTAATTTTCAGGAACTTATTTACTGCTTATTTAGAATACATTGTTATTGTTGCAATAACATGGTCTACATTGTCTAAATCCTGAAGCCTTAAAAGATTATAAAATGTATTTTCAAAATAGTACATGCCAACTGTCTTTGGATAAACAGAAGTTAGCTCATGCTTTACAGCAACAAAAGCAATCTGTTTCTTTGCGTACATTAGAATTTTTACCTGAATCTCTCAGTCTTGCTAGTGCTTGTCTCTTTTTCTTCCGTTTTTCTTTCTTTAAAAGTGCTCTGTACTTTTTGTGGCTGCAGATAGAAAATTTCTCTTTTATTTTTCTAGTAACTGGTCAACGGTGGTTTTAACTAGGATTTTTCAAATTTTAAGAACAGAAACACCCACAACCAAGTTTCCTTAGCAGGTTAAGACTCTGATTCTGCATTCATTTATCTGAGTGTGAGCACCTCTGAATTCAGTGGGATCAACACAGTATGATTTTATACATTCTTACAGAGAAGTAATTCTGACAGTTTAATGAAGCTTACTTGAAGATAAGTGGGTATAGAATTACAACTATACGTGTTTGACTTACAGTGATTAAATTTTACTTGCTTTAATTATGTCATAAAGTTAAAATTTCATAGAAACAAAAAAGATTAAGACTCACTTATTCTCATATTGTATCACATATACATAGAAAAGATTAATAATAAGAATTGACAAAAGTACTGTCATGTCTATATCCCCAGTTCAAAAAATATTGTCAGTTTGTTACCAATTTCCTCCAAGTATTTGAATAGGCTTTTCCTTACTCAGATATAAGTGTACAATACTCTTACATAAGCATGTACAGACCAATTGTCTTCTAGTCTTTCCTTTCTAGTTCATGATCACAATTTTTACAAAGGTTAATCATTATCAAAATATTTTTAGACAAGCAAAATGCAAATAGCATCATCTTAAGGGGATGCCTTAACATTAAAATTTTCTGCAATTTCCTGTATCAAATCAGTGACTTTTACATGGAAATAAATAATTCTGCCACTCCACTATGGGTCTGGAGGAACATGTTACTATTTTATTGATTATCAAACAATGGGTACAATCTCATTCATATTTTAAACCAAAAAAAAAGTATTCTAGCAGTGTAAGAAGTTGCGAAACTCTTTTTCCTGTTTTAAACGTGCACAGGACTGGCTTACCCGCTATTTCTGACCCACTACCCGCTTTCCCTCCCAACACAGTACCCATGGAGCAACCTAAACGGAAAAGAATGTTCTTCTCCGGGAACCACCTGACTGCATTCGTCATCCCAACAGAACGCATCATTCCCATGCATGGGTCTTGGCAGTTTCCAGCAGCCACTGCAGAAGCGTCTCGTGCGCTGATGAAGTTCAGCTCGGCTTCCCACCCCGACATTCTGGGATCACCGGTCCCTCCTCGGCTGCTGGAGTCCTCCCTCCGCGACGAAGGCGCGACAAGCGGGAAATGGAAGCGCAGGGCGAACGACGGCCAGCCCCGATCCCCTCGCCAAAACGAGTCAGCCTTCTCCCACCCAGTGGAAGGGAACCGCACCTCAGCGGTCCCACTGCTTACCTCAGTTTCGTTGGCCCTTCGTCGACAAACAGCAACGGCGGAACGGGCGCCGCCATGTTAGACGGTTTCCAGGAGGATCACGTGAGGCAAAACCACCGGACATGACGGAACTGAAGTTCCTGCGGAAACAGAAGGTGATCAAACGCACCTTCGACACAGAGCTATACCTGGTAGAAAAGACCACCCCTCACCTGCTCTTTTGGATTGGACCTTTTACAGGCGCACTCCTGTTTAGACAGAAAACTGGGCCTGCAACCCATAATTTGCTGATTGGAGAATGTTGCGTGTTGTGGGTCGCTTTCTGTAATTACAGACGTTGTTCTTTACCTAGATGTACGTTCTTCCCGTAGCCTGTACATAGCGATGGGGACATCCAAGATTGCCATGGGACAAAATTGGGGTGAACTGCTCCAGCTGCAGCTATTGATTAGATTAGAAATGAAGGTAGTAATAATGCAGGGGGAAAAACGCGTGAATAGACAGCGGCTGTCACCACCCATAAAGGCCTGCTCCTTTTAAGTCTGATTTTATTTCATAGGGTGGGATGTGTGAATGAAGTGCAGTATTTAGAGCCAGGGGCAAGCTGTGCTTCTGCTCCTGAAGCGAAATTTCAGTGAGCCACGGTGCAGTACACCCAAGTCAACCTTCAAAGCACGTGTATGCTACTCACCTAGCCTCAGTTCAACCTGTAGAGGAACAAATGGCTCAGGACTGCACTGCAGACCCGCTGTAAACAGGGATGATGAGCATGTGGCTCTCAAGATGCTGTTGGACTGCAACTTTCATCAGTCCCAACTGACAGAGTGAATTACCAGCAATGGTGGCACTGGTGATCCACTGACATTTGGAGGACTCCAGATTCCCCATCCTTGCTTTAAATCATAACTTCCTTTTATATTTAAAACCTCCTACATCTTTCTTTTTCCCATTCCGACCCTATGTACAACAAAGAATCAGGAGATACGTCCCTGGCCAAGTCTTCTAAAACCTTTAGTCTCCATTCCATGAGGATTATTGACAATAATGCTTTTTTTGCCCAAGGAAAGTTAATTTTTAGTGCAAAACAGTAGTGATTAACTCCCACAGAATTTGAAGCAGTTAATTTGTCAAACATCACAGCCAGGTTTAAGTCAGGATATAGCTGTTAATTAACTTATATGTCAGTAAATTTTTGACAGTCTTGGTTCTTCCCGCTATAAAGTCATTTTGAAGAATATAGATGCACACGTTAAAATGTCCTTATTTGTCCCAGGATTGATTTTTAAAGTTGCAGATAATATAAGTTGCAGACAAACTGCTAATATAAGAATACTGAATAGAACGTACATGTCCAGTTCATTTTTTTTTTCTGAATACATGGAAGTTCTAATCCAAACAAATATATTTAAGTGACATTCATATGAGTTGCTACAATTTACATGTTACTTTTTTATACAAACTTTGTTTCAAAGTGCTCAGAGAAGTGGGTAAATACTGTTTTATTTATGATATTTCTTTAGCTGTGTGTTTATTGCTTAGTGTTATAAGAATCCTGAAAAACTGTGTTAATCTTTAGAAGACTGGAAGGCAAATGATTTTAAAAAGCCCTTGAGTACATTGTTGATCAACCTAAATGTGCTTGTAATAATATCTGAAAAAATGGGGCACATTACATCAAAGGAGGAGAGCTGATAGGGCAGAATGTGGCCTGTACTTTCATAGTAATCTATATGGAAATTCAGGGCAACTTGCACTAGGGATTTTTAATGTCATTGCAATACCAGGCTCACTTTCATGTCACATGCTACACCCCAAACTGAACTTCTCATTCTGTGGCTGCCATTATGCTCATATTTCCTCAAACCGGGCAAATGATGCCTTTACATGTTGTTTTTATATTTACTTTTATAGTACATATTTCAGCATGCGCTAAACTTGCAGTACTGTTCTGAGGGGGACAATAATTGTTTCAGTGGGGAGATGGACTGGGGATGGGAGTAGTACTGCAGCGAGGAAGTGTTTGCTGGTGCACGAGAGCAGAGGTGACTAACACAACGTTTTCACATTGCTTCCAATGCTGGGTGAGGAAGGCTGCCTGTAGCTCTGCTGAATATGGACAGCTTTGCAAAACAGCAAGTCTGAAGAAGAGATAAGCCTGAAAGTTGTTTTCGCATTGCCCCGCCATCCCCCACAATGGCTCTTCTCCTTGCCCAGTAAACTAGAGAATAGATGCAACACAGCTTCCCCCACTGCTGCTCTGCACTTCAACAGAATAAAGTTTGAATCCTTTTCAGTCTTTTACTTTGTCACTATTTTCTTCTACATGTCTAGTCAAAAGAGAATCTTAATAAAGTGGTTTAGAGAGTTCTTCCGCCACTTCCTTTATTACTCTAGGATGGAGTTCATCAGGTGCTGGAGCTTCAAATACATTAAGCTCTTCAAGGTGCATTCAGATGCTCTTTGGCCATTTGTCTGTTGATCCTCATTCCAGACCTGGAAAAACAGAAGCAATGAAATTTCTTCTGGGGATGGAAGAGGGCAACTTCTAGCAAATGTGAAACTGAAATCTGAGCATAATTGGCACTACCATGTTCTTTAAAATAACAAAACACAAACCACTCATTGTTGCTGCAAATACTTGCCAGTCTGGTTCTAATAGTATCAAAGGATGTTCAGTCTCTTCCACTCCACGCTCAGTCAAGGAATATGAATAAACTACTTGGCTATGGGCTACCCAAAGAGGGAGTAAGGTAGTGATTTGCCTCAGGCCTCCACAAAGCAAGCCCTCTCCCTTGTTTCAGCTCCTGAGTGTATTATTGTACTTTTCTTGGTCCCACTACATAATTGCTTACTGTATAGTCACCTATGCATGGATTTTTTAGAGGGGGCAGAAACAGAGAACCCCACATCACACATGCCCCAGGTTCTGTAAATCCCCCTGGCACCCCTACCAACTGAACTCAGAGGCAGAACTGCTTTCTTCCTCCTCCACCAGTACCCAGATAAGTGAAATTTTCATTTATTTCAAAGGCTTGAAGGTTGCTAACAACAATAAAATATCTTTAAAGTCCAACACATCTCAAAAACAATAGCAATGAAAGCAACAATGAAAAGGCACCCAATACAATTTTTAAAAACATAACCAAAAGCCTTCCTAAAAAAGAAAGAGGAATGCTTCTCTTGAGCAGGAACGTCAAAGCCAGGATGTTGCCAATGGAAAGGTTCTTTACTACCAGATGTATTTCAGGAGCTGTTAATGCAACAGGTAACCCCTCTCATATTGTTTCTGCAATGTAGAACAGTCTTTCCAACATATTCACAGGAGAAAATGGGAACACTGTTGTATTTGTGACATCCCTCTTCCCAAATCAGTTATTCCCTGGCCATCCTTCCTTCATGAATCATCTGCTCTATTTGCTGTAGTAAATGTTACTAATTTGCTCTAGAGTAGTTTCCTGAAACAGCTTCTGAAGCAGGCCAGTTAGTAAACTGATTACAACAGCATCGTTCCCCGCCATCGTCAAAGAAATCTAAGGATTTGTGATGGATCTAGTTGTGCTTATTATGGAACAGCTGCAACTCAAATGCAGATGTTGCCACCTGCATTTGAGTTTCTGCTGTTCCATAATCCAGCAACATTTGCTGTCTGGATGGTAGTCTGTGATAGGTCCACAGAAAGGAAATTAGACCATCTACAAAGTTTATCATAGAATATCATGCATTTATTGCATGTTTACCAAAAAAGCCTCAACTCTTTACAGCATAGTTCCCGAATGAAGTTTTCCTTCAATTACAAGCTGCAAAGCACGGGAACACAAAGTTCTGCAAATCCTGAGGTTAGCTGCCAGCCATATCCTGTTTATTTTACTTTCTGTGGTGCATAGGAGGTGTGAACAAAGTCAATGCCTATGAATATATGAAAGCTGTTGACATACTTTGTGTTTCCCATGGTTATTAGGTCAGCGTGCCATCTATATTTGTGAAGTTTTTTTTTAATTGCTCAGTGCATTACTGCAACAGCAGGGCTTGTATTTGATCTGCAGTAGTTGTTTCACACCTGCAGTTCATCACTTGATACTGAAGTGATCAACATACAACATACTGTGCACCACAAAACCGAAGAAGCATCTGCTTTGTTATATCTTCTTGGGAAATGTCCATTTACTTTCCACAAGGCCCCCATGTCCTATAGGTCATCATTTTAGTTTTGTAAATCAACACTAGCTAAACAGCATCTCGGTTCAAAAGCTAAAAGATCAAAGAGGACTGTGTGCAATAAAGAGTAGGCAAGAAAAGAAAAGGTTACAGCAATAGTAAAATGTGCAAAAATATCATTTGGGAACTATAAACATGACAGACTATTCTAGACATGACATTTAGTGTGCACGGATGATTTTATACAGTATTTTGCATGTGTTTCACATGATATTATCTTTCTCCAGTTCTTTGCAGCCATGTCCACAGCTTTATATTGAAGAAAATTTGGTGTTATCCATGAATAATGGGAAACCCTCAGGTATGTGCATTTATCTGCTATAATATAGTACCACCTAGTGCTTATATAGTGGGACATTTAGAAAGACAGGGAAAGAAAACTCTCTGAGTGGAGACAGAGAAGCATGTGTAAAGTAGCTGACCTTAATCCCACAAAGAATCCAGAAACGGAAGCCTTCATAAAGTGTCAGCTTTAAAGCCTCATCTAGAAAAATCTTTTCACCATCCAAAACCCAAACAAATAAAATATTCCAATACAACTGAACCTCAGCAGAAGGTCCAGTAGCCAAACACAAAGCAGAATAAGGCTCCTGCACCTTTCATATTTGTGTAAAAGAGGCATTTCTTCTACACAGCTATTGGAGGTACTTATTCTTTTGTGTATCTGTCAACTCTAACTATTTTGCTATATGCTGTAAATGTGAAACAGAAAACAGAAGAGTCAAGCATGCATCACAATAGAATTCCAAGTACATTTTAATAATTCTATGATTGCTATCCCAAAACTGTGTTTGACATACTCCCAACCCAATACTAAATACATCATAGACACATGAGTCAATGGGCAGGGTCGAGACAATTGAAGCAAAGGTTAAAGTTAGCCTGGGCCCTACTATGCCTGACAAATGATCAGACACAGCAGAGGCCCTGAAGCATCTTCTTCTCTCTCTTCCTCCCTCAGTCCTTTTACTGATATACTGCTATTGGGAGCAGAGAGGGAGCAGAGCAGAATGCATCCCATCTGCCATCACTCACTTGAGCAGCCACCATGGTAAGTGACGGGGCATGTTCTGCTCAGCTTCCTCTCTCCTACTTGCCAACCACCAAAATCTCAGAGCTCCCTCCAGGGAGAGCCAGCAGAATGTGCTGCTGTGATGCACTGCTTCTTCAAGACCCAAGGGGACACCAGGGCCACCACCACACACCACCTTCTGAAGTAGCTTCAGGCAGCTGAGCATGGCAGCAGGGGAGCCAAGTGCCTCTAAAGCAGGCTTCCTCAAGCTTGTGCCTTCCAGATATGTTTGGACTGCTGCAACACCCAGAATTCCCAGTCAATGGCCCTGCTGGATGGGCATTCTGGGAGCTGCAGTCCAATGGCTCTGAAGGCCACCAGATTGGGGAAGGCTGCTCTAGAGGACTTTGGTGGCTGTCAGTGGGGCCACTTGTTCAGAGCAGTGCTCTGGCCCAGTGGCTCTGTGGGCTTTCGGGCTTCAGTTGGCATTGTGTCATTTGGGTTCAGACACTGCAATCCTGGAGGTGTCCACGAAACCTGCAGCAAGCTATGGCTTGTTGGAGTGGCTTTGTAGTTACAAAGAAGCCATCCCATGGAGGGAGGGTATCAGGTTCAGACAACATACCGAGTTATATGAACTCAGTCAGTGTGATTTCTTTGGAATGTAACACCCATTGCACTAACCATTAGTTATGTAGGAACCACAGGAAATGCATGAAAGTCATGTGTACTAGTTCTCAAGCTCTGCCAGTTGGCCATAAGTGACCTGCGGTTGAGTATAAGCATCTGGTTGACCAGTCAAGCGTGGTGAGGGAAGTGAAAGGCAACAGGTTTTCCTCATAGCTTCTACACATCAAAATGTTCATCTCTGTAGACCTGTGTCTTAAAAATACAGGGTTTGGATCAAGGCCATACATATTCTAACTAATGTAGGCATCACACTTTCATCCAACAGACCTTCTCATTCTCTTATTTTTCTGCTTCATCTGTAGACACGATAGACCAAGTTCTGTACTGCAGGCAGGAAGTTTTCCACTGAATTTGGATGTGTTGGCCAGCAGTAGTGCCAATCCAAAACTTCTGGAATTTCTTTCTAAGTACTGAATGTACTTAATATGTTTGTGAAAGTGTCAGTATGGCTATTTATTGGGCAGGAAGAAGATTAGAGGCAGAAGAGCAGAGTTATCTGGAGAAATGAGTTGTCCTTCTTGCCATTTCAGTTACTCCTTTCTAAGGCTGTTATTTTAACCTGATCTAACATGTTAGCAAGTAACATCCTTCACACTTTAAGTTCCTGTGTGACTACAGCACAAGTTTGCTAAGGCAAAGCTACCATTGAAATAAAGTGACAGAAGAGAAGGAGGACAAAGTGTTCATGCCTGTATTATATGAAGTGTACTATATGAAGCCTTCTGAGAAAAAGAATTAAATATTTCTAGCCCTATTTGCTGAGCTGCCTAAAGAGATAAAGGATGAACCTGGCAGAAGAGAGCTGTTTTCCATCTTTCTTGCTTTTTCTTTTTTTGGTCAAATTAAGGGGGTTAATAATTAAACCTTCTACTTGAATCACTCCCTAGTTTTGCTGATGCTTTAATCCTAGGTCACTGAAAGTTTAAGACTGCATTACATTGATGGCTTTTTTCTTTTTGCCTGAAGTTTTCCAAACGGGAAGGATGTTAGGGAGGTTGCTGCTTGCATTTGCCTGGGTTACTGTTGCATATTCTGAACTTTGCAAACCAGGTAAGATTCCATTCTATGCCTCATCGTTCAACCATTGGTTGTTTTAAAAATCTGGTAAACTGAAAATTGGGATAACAATTTTACTCATACTTATTTGGAATCCCAGCTGCTTGACCTCAGTGAAACTTAACTTTTAATAAATAGACAGAAGATCAAACTACAAAACTATTTTGGGTAGGTTTGCAGTATCTAGAATTCCTTGCTTAAGTTAGAAGGTTGTGACTTGTGAACACTCAGAGACCTTTGACTATTGGGCAGTATAGAAATGTAAAGCAATAAATAAATAAATACATACATAAATAATTTTCTTAAATCATTGAGAATTCTGATGAGGCATCTCACAAACTTTTATATTTGTATATTCTTTGCCGGCAATAATACAACACAGCGGTCTGTGAAAAGTTGAGCACTGAGATCTATATACATAATATGTAATTTGCCCACAGTTAATCTTTCTCCAGGGCATTCACACTTGCAGACTTTACTCTTTGACATCTATATTCTAAAAAGAATTCCCTGAAACCTCATTTATTTCAATGGAATATATTCTAAGTAATATGCACTTGGAATATCTAAGTCTCCCATATATTCACCTGAATTATAATGAGAATATATTAAGCATATGCCTTGATTTACTGAATATAGCAAATGATTTACAAAGCAGCAACAACTGAATTATACACATGTGAAATGTACATTTCATGTCATCCCTTTTTCTTTGTAACAGATGCACAGAATGCTTTCAAAGTGCGGCTTAGTATCAAAACAGCTCTAGGAGACAATGCAGTAAGTGAAATATCTGTATCCACTTTTTTGAACAAAAGTTGAACAAAAGTTGTACAAAAGGCCAAGTAGAGACAAGTGATAGCACCATCCAAGTTATTCAGACTTCAAAAATACTAAAAATTGCACCAAATTATCAATCATATACATTTTCTGACACAGAATGACTTGTTCTGTAGAGATCCGAAAAGCATTAAAACAGCAGCAGCAGCAGCAACAACCAAATACACCTATTTCCCAGCAGGCTATTATGCCTTCATAACTAATGTCAAGCACCTATTCTTGGAATGAACTGCACAATAAAGAAAGATCAAAAGATAGAAAGATAGAATATAAAGTAGTCAGTTTTGTTGTCCTTCCAGAATTTCTGGTTGGACAATGTCAATTAAACTGAGGCAGGCTACTGAAAGATTAACAGTGCTAGCCTATGGATGTTTAGCCAGGAAAAGAAGTCCTAGAACTCCCAGCTTTCCCCAGCCATGCCATCAAGTACTGTAATCATATAACTCTACATAGAAGTATACGTATTTTGGACCACCATCTGTCAGCTTACAATCCTATTACTTTTGCTCTTTCTTAAGGGCTAATCCTTCCTCCTGATCATAAGCACCCTCTTGCTGAAGAAAGACTATAACATGCTCTTAGAAAATACCAGGAAACAGCAACACATGTCACATTTTTCACAATGCCCTGTATTATTTTGTATATTCCACCCCCTCTTGCCAAGTGGCAGGCACAAAGTCCTGAAAGAAAAAGAAAAGAGAAACCCCTAGCTAGACAGGACAACTTGTTTAGTTCCAAGACAGTTTATTTTATCAGTGATGTCTTCAAGGCCTTTACTTCAAGTCTCAAGTTTTTATTTTCAAGTTCAAGTTGAGTCTCAAGTCATTGCAAGACTTTATTTATTTATAACCTTTGTAAGCCACCCAGTTGCGCCACAGCACCTCCGGGCAGCTCACAATTTGCTTCTCAAGTCAAGTCTCAAGTCTCTCCTCAAATCTGCCCGTCCCCTGCTCCCACCCCCTTGTCCCTCCCATCACCTCCCTCATGCCAAAAAGTAGAGCTGAAACCTTCCTTTCCCTTCCCGCTGTTGAAATCCCTCCTCCCTATCTTGCCCCTCCCCTTGAAACTCCCTCCCTCCAACCTCCTCTGCTGTGTCCATGCCTGCCTTCCACCCTATTGCAGATGCCTTCTACCAAGATCGCCCCAGGAAGCACTGCCACATATTGGAGCAACTTGGTGATTAAAACAGCAGAAATCTTGGGTCGTTGAGTCACTCACTCGCTTTTCCTGAGTTGTGACTGAGTTGAGTCAAGTTACTGATGCTGACCTGGGAGTGAGTCGCCCAACTTGAGTCCACAACACTGTCTTTTTTCCAAAACTCTGTTCTGAAAGATGGGACAAGGCAGCCACTGCTCTGTCCATATTAAAGATGCAGGAAGACAACTCATATTAGAGCATATCCACACCTGGCCTCTCTAGGCCAAAAGGTAATTTCTTAGGCAATGGAAAGCTGTCTTTGAGTCTGTCTTTAGTAAGCAGAAGCAAACTAATATGATTAAACCCATTTTAAACATTTGAGCCAATCCATTTCAGTCACAACTAGGCAGGATCCAGCCTTTTAAGGTGCTTCTAGATGGAAAGATTTTGGCATTACCAATCAGGAACATTATGCAGCAACTTCATATTTTATTTCCCTCTTTGATGGATTTCCTGTAGGAAGAGAGAAGAAGCTATGAGGAGACAGGGGAAGCTTACAAGTAGAATATGTCCCAAACCTCAACAGGATTCCACAAATGAGATGAAAGTGTCCATACTAGAAAACCTGAGATGATTTTTCCAACCCTTGCTTTGTAGAAAATTGAACTTAAGTATGCTTTAATTAATCACAATGCAATTATGTGTACTTCACAGCTACACAGGATGGCTGGATGGGTGGATTTTCTCTTAAGTACTCCAAACTGAATTATCATTACTGAATTAATATGGAAACAAGATAGAGAATAGGATTGTGGAGGCCCCTATTGGTCTTTGACAGGATTTCTTCACAAAGGGCATCACACACACACACACACACACTCAGATCCAGCCAATCAGGATCTTTCAAAAGATGTTGTGGTAATATGGGGCAGGCTGAGTTAGTTGAAAGCAATTAAAAGGTCTAAACCAGGGGTCTCAGACTCGCGGCCCGCGGGCCAATTGCGGCCCGTGGGATGATATTTTGTGGCCCCCACTTGATATCAAAATTTAGTGATAGTGCAGCCCGCGCATTTTTCTCGCACGCACCTGCGTGAGTCGTTACCCTGGGCGCAATGTTCCCTCTAAGCTGCGCGCTGGGATGGGGCCCTGCGGCCTTCAAAGCGCCAGCAGCGCCCGGGCCGGCCTCCGGGAGCCACGCGGGATGAGCGGCCCACCACCACCGCGGATGTTCAAGCAGACCATGTGCCTTTTTGGGAGCACCTATCTGTGTGAAAAGCTCTTCTCCACCATGAACTTTAATAAGTCAAAGTTCAGGTTCAAACTTACTGATGAGCATCTTCAAGCCATACTGAGGGTCTCAGTTGCTTCCTCCCTCAAGCCAAATGTGGCTCAGCTGTGTAAGAGGAAGCGCTGTCAGGTCTCTGGCAGCAAGGAGTAGGAGGAAGTAAGAGAAGCCTATGTTCTGAAGAACCGTTCATGTTCTGAGTTATTATTAGTAAAGATTGAGAAGATTGGATCAGTTGTACTTTTTTTGGAATACTTGAAATCCTTTTTTTGTGGAATACTTGATGTGGCCCAGCCTCACCCAGACTCTACTTCCAGCAGCCCCCAGGTAAGTTGAGTCTGAGACCCCTGGTGTAAATCTTTAAAGAGCAAGAGAAATAGGACAGCTGAGTTCCTACATAGCTGTAGTTTCTGGTAATTTTAAAATGGCATCTCAGGATTCCCTGTTGTAATCTTTATGATACATTTTAAAACAGTGTGAATCAATACTCAGACATATTTGCCTCATCCATGGTCTCATCTCATAAAAATGCAGCTGATGCAGTTCTTGTGATACATTAGAAAGAAATTAAAGCCCATTAAGTCTATTGAAGCTGCATAAGCAACCTCAAAGGGGCAGATGGTGTTCACAGAATTGCTGCCTGTCTTATTGAGCAGCATGTCTCATTGTTTACATTTGACAGACAGATGAATCCATCTGATATCCCCTACATTGTAAACTGCTTGCGGGAGAGAACTTCGGCCATAATTCTTCCGCCATAAATCTGTCTAAAGGGCTCATCTAATGGAAGCATTTCTTTACTAGAATTTTAGATGCACCTTTAGACATCTGTCCCAAAGAAGGAAACAGCAGACATAGTTGAGTAATATGCAAGCAATATGTTGGGATAAAATTAAATAAGCTGCCCTGAAAATAAAAACTTGCCAACTGATCCTACTTAGTCACACTCCCTATCAGAACAGGAGAAACCTAGATAGCTCCTGCCACACACCTCATGAGCTGTAGGGATGTAGCACAAATTTCCTCTGACTCCTTTCACCTGTTGGGTCAGTGGAAGCCAATAGAAAACAAGGTTCTGGAAGATGGCCAAGTCAAGGACTGTCAAGATGACATTTGGTCACCCAGTCCCCATGAAGACTTCGAAGCCAGAGGGTGCAAATGGAACTGGCTCTGCCTCCTTTCCCTCACTTCCTGTTCCTGTTTTAAACCCCAACTCTCTACTGATTCTGGCTTTACTTCCATACACATTTATACATCTTTTCCTTCAACACTTCAAAACAAGTAACGTGGCTCTTTACAGGATTTGGTCTAGAGGTTGCTCTCATACAACTCATAATAAAATCCTAGCTTTTACCACTACCTGATATTGCTCTTAGGGCTCATAGTCATCCAAATATAGTTGTCATTATACAAGTCTACCATTTCTTGCTTCTTTAATGGTTGTGAGCACTGTATTGATTCTGTTTTGTCAGGATCTTTGTTTTGTGGACTGGACTCCGCTCATGTGCTTCTTTCCTTTGTGGAATCCATAGTATAATTCTTCTCAACATGGGATCCACTATCAAATTTGTCTTGGTCCTGATCCTGAAATCTTTTGATCATCGTGTTTTCTTTTGCCAGCAGTCCTCAGTTGCCTTCTGTTCTACTCTCTGTGACAACCTCATAGGACTGGTCTCCCAGTGCAATTTCCAGGGTAACTTTTTGCTGTTCTTTAACAAGTGGACTTGCTGGTTGTAGCCAGACCCTTTCCTGTTTGCAAATGGTCTCAAATCTTGGCTCCTTTGTTAAATCGTGCTAGTTGGGACTGTTGTGTTTTTTATCTGCTTCCATGTATATACATCGCCCCACAACCTAGATTTGTAGCAAACCATCTCTCACGGGCAGCAAACTTTTAGTTCACCATCCTATTTGTCCCTGCAGTCCTACTTGCTTCCCACAAGAAGTTTTATGCTGTCTTTCCTATGGATTTAGCTGTCCCGTGGCTCTGTCTTATGATGATGTCTTACGCTAGAGTTCCGATTCAGTGCAGAACTGTTTGAGTTCCTTTGAACTGCATTGTGGGCTATTGTCTGAGAACAGAGTCTAGTATTTGTGTAAGCCGTCCTGAGGCTCTCGCAAAGGACGGCGTACAAATATCTTAGATAGATAGATAGATAGATAGATAGATAGATAGATAGATAGATAGATAGATAGATTCCTGATTAGAGTAACATAGTGTGACCATATAGTTTTAGCCATTGACACTGAATAACCCTGTTCCTTCCTTCATCCGAGGCTGGCAGAGAATGTCATGAGGCTTTGCTATATCCTTTGGCTTTTTGTCGCTGTATTCTTTGCACACTTCACAGTGTTCCATGCACATTCTCAGATGAGCATTAGATATACTCTGACCAGGAGATACACTGCTGGGCTTGCCTTTAGCCTAACTCTGCTCCCAGGTGAGACATGGATTTGGTTCCTACTCTCTCTTCAGAAGTGGACTGCTATCCTGCATCCCTTAAACAGAATTTTCTCCTGTGTACAGAGGGAAATATGTGGAAACTTCTGGTGATATTTTGTGCCTTTTGCTGTGACCAGCCCTCTAAGATGATTTGTTCAGCTGCTTGAAGCACTTCATGTTCTGTGCTCTGCTATATTGCTCTGAGGACGCTTTTATAGCTGGGAAGCTCTTACCATATTAATGAACTGTATCTTCTGTTCTGAAGAACCTTCTGTATTGATCTCTGGAAAGTATGCTTTATCTAGACACTTAGTGTGTCTGCCACCTGCCGGGATTTTCTTGGGCAATTCCTTATATTGCTTATAAGCTAGGAGTCTCAACAGCATGTGCTGAAGTCTCTCAGAAGCATTCCTTACACTCTCTAATGGTCTGTGATCTGAGTGCACATCTATTTGCTGTCTAAAGGTGAGCTGATGGAACCGTCCCAGTGCAAACAATATTTCTAGCAAGTCCTTTTCCATATTTGCATGCCTTCCTCCTGTTTCAGTCTTTGCTCTACTAACAGAAGCCACTGGTTCAGCACCGAGGCCTCCTTCTGAGTGTCAGGTCGCAAGACCAGCTGTTCAGCTGGATTGTATTGCTTCCGTCTTGGGCTCTTGCAAATGAGTTTTTTCATTTTTTGAATGGCTCTGCTTGGCCCATAATGTGCCCATAATGTGGTAACAGCCTCAGTGCCTCACAAGTGCCAGACAAGCATACATAGAATTTGAACAGATGTCATCCCAGTGAGGCACTTGGACAGCCTGTGATATGGGCATCATCTTCATAAGGGCTCTCACCTTCTCCAGGTCTGGCAATAATCATTCATATGTCAACAGATGTCCTGTATAGGGTGCTTCCATCTTTCTGCGTTGTATTTCAGTTGTATTTTACTTCTGTTTAATGAAGTAGGACACATGGCTGCCGTCATTCAAACTGGTATGCCAATATAACAGACATGGCCTATCACTGGCCCTGAGCAGACTCCTGATCAAATTTGTTGGATGATCTTAAAACAAAAATTGCTGCTTTCCAGTACAAGCTTGTAGTACATCTTTTCCTTTTTTCTTTTGAAGGAGAGTTTGGTGTTGCCTGCCTGTCTGCCTGTCTGCCTGTCTGTCTTTCTTTCTGTCTTTCTTTCTTTCTGTCTTTCTTTCTTTCTTTCTTTCTTTCTTTCTTTCAATTTTAATTATCATAAAAAAGAAATAAGAGTCAAATAAAAAAGGAAGAATACACACACACACACACACACACACACACACAGAGGAGGGGGAAGAAAAAGGATAACAAAGGATATTACAAAAATATAGCATATAATTTCAACATCTATCAAGGAAAAAATTCTGTCTCCTCTAGCGACAGATAAATCAATCCTCACTTAAGAGTAAACCACAGATTAATCTAAATTATCAAAACAATTGTAAATAATGTCATAACTTTAGCATGAAATACTGGTCTCTAATGATATTTTTACAAATTCTGTTTTCTTAAATATTAGTTCAGTTGCTCATAATAAGCTTTCTTCTTTTTCATTAAATTCTTTGGCAGGTCATTTATTTGTATAATTCGTTATTTTCATCATTGTTGCTTATTTTTCCAATATTTAGTAATTGGACACCGCGGTGGTCAGCCTTGGGTGGCAGCGGTAGTGATGGGCCGCTCATCCCGCATGGCTCCTGGAGGCCGGCCCGGGCGCTGCCGGCACTTTGAAGGCCGCAGGGCCCCTCCGCTGTGCCCCGCCCATCCTGGCGCGCAGCTTAGAGGGAACATTGCGCCCAGGGTAATGACTCACGCAGGTGCATGTGAGAAAAAAGCGCGGGCCGCACTATCACTAAACTTTGATATCAAGTGGGGGCCACAAAATATCATCCCACGGGCCACAATTGGCCCGTGGGCCACGAGTTTGAGAACCCTGCTCTATGGTTTCCATTCCCTGCTATTCCCCTACATAGCCCCTAGGTGGTAGTCTACAGAAAGTGCTCTCAGAAAACAAAAGTGAACCTGCAGAGTCCTGTAGTGTCTAAATCCCATAAACAACCATAAGAAGGAATCACAGTTGCACAGTAAATGCCTTGTGTGGAAAAGCTCTATGAAACAAAGGGACAAAGAGGGCAGAGGGTGGATCTCTCCTGATTCTTAGCACCTACACCATCTTTGTTATGAAGTCTCCTGAATCTGCTCCCAGGAAGAAGACTGCAGCCTCAAAGCACAATCCTATGCATTTTTGAAGAGAAAACCCCCCTAAAAGTCCAAGCTGGGAGCTGCAGATTTTTTTTCCTGTTCACACATGCATTACATGGTGTCCTTAATCTTCTTATTGCACATGAAAATATAAACCAATGAGAGAGGGATTGGTGAAGTTAACTAGGCATATTTAATATAAAATCAGTTATGCATTAGATTAAAATTAAAAAGAACCTAATATAGATTACCATACAATTTGGATATTTTGTTGATGTCAGGAGAACAAGTCTGCATACCAGGTGGGTTAAAAATCAGGTGGGTTAAAAATCTTAATTTAAAAATTATCTGTAATACATTAAACTATCCCAATCAGACTAAAAAACAAAAAACCATAAAATCCCAACATAGTAAAATCTACCCAAGAAACAGTATATTAGAATGGATCAAATAGCAGGGCAAAGAGAGGGTACTTCCAAATGCAAACTAGATAGGTGCCAGGTGACTAGATAGGTGATGGAGTGCCCATTGATTGCATGCATAGCCATAAGAAAGACCCTGCCCCAGTAGCCACCAGCTTTACCCTGATAATGGGGAAGCTGTATCGAGGCTTCTGCTGGAGATACAGAGATAGGCACTCTATCAGATGCCAAGTCCTAGATCATGTGGAATGACATGGGTCAAAAACAGCATTTGGAATTGTACCTGGAAATAAACTTTTATTTTCATAAATTAGTAACACTTTCAGCTGTTCGGTGCCTCCCAGTTTGATCTCTATGGCAATTCTGAACCAGCTGACATTTCTGAACTATCTGTAGACAGCCCCACAAATAACACATTGTTCTCTTGGCCACATAAACGTAATTACATGAACATCAGGAACAAATGTAATTTGTTCCCCATCTCACCATGACAGGTGGAAAGAGCTCTACTTATAGCAGATGTGGGCAACTGTGTTGCTCAGCTGGAAACCACCCCCTCCCTACTACTTCTGAATTTGCCACCAAAATATGGTAGTGCAGAATTGGACAAAGTGATGTTCCAGGGAGTATGTGCATCATTTAGACGGGAAATGGGAGTGTGATTCTGCTTGTAAACAAGGCACACTCTCCCACACTCCTTGTTTTCAAGCCAGCTATACACTGAGCAGCAGTGTTTGAAGGGCAGTATCCTGCCCAAACACAAAAATCTAGCAAGAGAACATGCAGCCTGTGCATTGCTCACCCCAATCCATGTCCATTTTGTGTTTCTTTACAGTATAGCTGGGATGCTACTGAAGAATATCTATTTAAAGCAATGGTGGCTTTTGCCATGAGAAGATATTCCAAACAAGAAACCATTCAGTAAGTATACCAAATTTTCCAGTTAGTGTACTCAGTCATCAGGTGGGATGGATGCTCCCATGCCATAGGGCTGGCAATGTTTCACAGCTGATCAGTTTTCAGTGTCTGATGAAGCTGGTAATAGTTTCTCCCAACTCTCATAAGACAGTGACATTGATCTGACAGTACAACAGAGGGGTCACAGTACAGTATAGGAGCATAGGAAGCGGCCTTATACAAAGACAGGCCATTGGTCCATCTTACTTGGCATTGTCTACACTGAGTGCAGGTCTTCATGTAATGACAAGTCATGGTGGAAGCCATGGTGGCATTGCTTGCCATTACATACGAACTCAGCAAGAGTGATGAAGAATGGTAAAGATGGTATCCGTGGAACCACAGAGAGAAACAACATTTTGCTTTGAGGTTTCCATGCTTCATCACGGCTTGATTGCATGTCTGAACCCAGCTTCCAGGTCTTCCCATGGCTTCTGCCAGTGAACTATGTGTCAAGAGCAGCCACATCTGCAACCGACTCTCCAGGCTGCGTTCTCTACCATCCAGGTCCGCTGAGGTGGCTCCAGCTGTGCTGTGATTGGCCGCTGGAGCTTTCCTCCTTTGTCCATGTGCTGCCTTCCCAATGCCCACTTGCAGTTTTGGCATCTTGGCAGCAGTGGGGCGTCAACAGCAGTGACCTTGAAGACACTGCTGCTTGGCACTCCTGTCTGGTTGCTACAGGATACTAGAGCAATGCTTTGACTGAACCCAGGGTCTTCTGCATTTCATGCAAAGGAGGCACTCCACCACTGAGCTATGGCGCGTCTCCTGTTTGCCCACATATAGGAAATTAAGTTCCCTGTATCATCCAAGCTGATAAGGATGTTCTGGTCCATCTGTGCATTTTAGTGGTCCATTTAAACAATAAAGCAAACAAATGAGTGTTTGTTTCCTGTGAATTCTGTGTCCATTTGCAAAATTGCCACTTAAAATGGATAAATAGGAAGACGTCCTAAGGAAAGGAATCTTCTAAAGTGCCACCTGCCAGCCACACATTCCCCAAGGGTGCAGGGCGCATGTGCTTAGCAGGCTCCTTACGATCACTGCTCTTTTGCAAAATTGTTAGTTGTGGTCTATAATCCTATGTGATCTTTTGGCTTTGCGCACCATGTGTCAGGTTGCAAAGTTAGTGGGGAGAAAAATGGGCAAAAGTAACAGGAGAAGAACCAAACTAACAAGATTTACTATCATGGTACAAAATCTCAATTACTTTACCCTCTTCCTATCAAAACAAATAGAACACTGGTTAAAGGCAAGAAAAGATGAGAATGAAGGCCATCCCTCCTTATCTGCTGCTATAAAACTGAATGCTGACCTAAGTGTGTCACTGGTCAATGCTTATCCCTGCCTTAGGGAGACGATGTATCGGCAGTTTTGTATCCTGTGGCTTTTTAGAAACAGAACTGCCTGCACATTTTAGAATGTTACTAAATGTTACTCACTTGGCCAGCCTTTGGAAACTGATAGAATAATATCAGCTATTCAGCATCATTATTTAGCTTGACACAGACTCTCCTGTATCATTTGTTCTAAGCAGGTTTAAATTTATTGCAGCCAGAATGGTGGGTTTGTTTTTTGCTACAGCAAGCTGAAAAATTCCCAACATTAATGTATTTTTTCAAATCTAGCTGAATTAATAATAACTTTTCGACAAAGCTTTTTTTCAGTGATGAATTACCACTTTCTGTTTTCTGCTTAACAGATCTGTCATATTAGTTCTACAATGGAGGTCCTCATAACCTTTTCTGTAGGTTGTGCTTATAACTTTCATTCCCATAATCTCTGACTTAAAAAACTTAGCCTTTCTATTGTGTATCAAGTTACTTTCTTCTTAGGCAAGGCAAGTAGTAAAAACACTTGATGTTAATTAAAAATGGTGGTCTTGGCTCCAATCTTAACATTCAACTGTGCTTAACAGATATGATGCCAGAGTAATTAGGTGGTTGTTTTTAATCAGGTAGTTCATACTTTTCCCAGAAATGCCAGCCAAGTTATCATAATTGCACAGTAGATTTGTGGCTTCCCTGTGGAACTTCAATCCAGGGCCCAGGGTTTGCAAAAACCTAGCAAAACTTTGCAGAGGTCTGGAAGCAGAATCAGTGTCAAGGTCAGCTACAGCACTGACAGAGGTGCACCATGGCCCTGCATCCATGGGACAACTCTCGGTATTGAATGGCTCTATTTCAGATTGGCAGGAGAGGCCCTTGTGAACACTCCCCGTAGAAGCCCGGTTGTCTTTTTCCTGTGCTGAAACATGCTTGTTCTGCACTGGTTCCGCTTTCTCTGCATTCGGAAAGGAGGGTTGTGACATACCCTTTCAGTTTGGCTTTTGGAATTGTTATGGCTCTTAAAAATATTTCTAGCATTTTATTATGTCTGTATGTATTATGCAGGGTTTTAAAATTCTTGCCAGTGCCTTGGTTGGCTTTGGAATAGTGGTATGTGTATACAATAAATGAATAATGCAAAGACTAAGTTTGGGATGGAGACAACCTAAAGGCTGTGTATGTGTGAAGATCGAGTTTTACATTTTATCAGAGGATTAATCAGAAGAAGCAATTCATTAAGTAAAATGCTGTAGTTGGTGGATGGTTCTGTGCTGGATCCAGAATAGACCTACTTGGAATAGATCGCTAGAATCAGTGGAATTCATATTAGCTCTGAGTTACTTGTCCCATTGATCCTAATTGGTTTACTCTAGCTATGAATTAATCTGGATCCAGCCTACATAATCTGTAATAATAATACAAAATGTATTTTTAAAAACCCAACATAAATCAGCACTTTAAGTATTTACCATGTTGTTAATCAACCAGAAGATGTCACTATGGAATACAGCCAAGGAAGTTACTCCAAGTTCCCCCGTCTTATTGAGTTCAAGGCCAAGACTTTCAAGATAAGAGGGCTTGCTTTTCGAATAGACCCTTCCCCCTTCTTTCGACTGCTTAATTCTGCATTGCCATGAGCTGTTCTTTCCTGATCATCCCTTCTTTTTTAACCATCCACAGAAGTTCCAATGTATTGCTTTGCAATAAAACAGATCGGGTATCATTTTGGTTCGTGGTCACTAATTCATCCACCAAAGCTACAACTTTTCCCAGGAGTGATGTGGAAGCAGCCATAAGGTACTACAATAGTATGATATGGATGTGACCATTCATATCATTGCACAAACTTCCTTGTAATCAAATGTTTTGTCTGCTAGTATTGTTTTAACAAAATGTATTGACATTTTTATCACTACTGCTACTATTATATTTATATCCTGCCATTTTTCCTCCAAAGAACCCAGGTTTACCTTCATAATCTTCCTCCTCTCCATTTTATTTTCACAACAACCCTGCAAGGTAGGTTTGGCTGAGAGTCCAAAAGTGGCCAGAAGCAGCTGAGCAGGGACTAGAGCCTGAATCAAACACTCTAACCTCAACACCACACTGGCATTTGTATCTTGTCTTCAGCCAAAAGGGTCCAGAGCTGCATTGATCACCTCCCAGCAACTGTGTCTGCTGGGAAATGTTGCAAGAGAAAGATGCGAAATGCTGTTCAGTGGTTTTATCATTGCACAGGGGCTTGAACAGGGTGCAACTGAACAGGGGTGTCCATGTCCCTATCCAAGGCTGTTTCCAGATATGGTTTTTATTGCACTTCCACCCTGCCTGAAACATGGAATTTTATGAAAACAATCTAGACATTATTTTCCACCTGTGATCCTCCTGGCCTTTCCTACCACTTCCCCTATCTTTTTCCTGCAACAGAAAATATGATAAGCAGGAAAAGTTAGAATGACTGAGGAATGCCTTTCAATTAGCAACCCCTCACAACCAATCTCAAGCACCCAGCAGTTCTGTATTAGTGTGAATGTCTATATCAAAGCCCTTTAATCATTCTGAGGTTTCAAAAAAAGCTTGTCTTGAATCATTGTAAGAACTATTGCTACCACATGGTTATATAAAGCACAGTGAAAATACCCTGTTTTTCATTGTCTCATTTCTAAGCTGGGAAAAAACTAATGGTGGGAAAGAAAAATAATCCATTTTGTGACCTCCTTGGTCAATTATGTATAAAGAATTTGTTGATGGTAGCAACCATAAGCAAGGCATCCGTGAAGTTTTGGAAGATTCCAAAGAAAATAGATTGTGTGTGTGTGCGTACGCATGTTTTAAGTTGCAGTTAAACTTAGTCTTTGGAGGCAAAATCATGTTATCGTTTAGAAATGTAATGCTTCTTGTTGAATAAACTGAATGTGGCGAGGAACGAGGTTGCATTCTTTGGGAAAGATTAACTTTTAAGCTTATGAGCAGATTAAATTGTTTTCTACACAGAAGTTCAAAACCAACTACACTGCATTAGTGGAAGGAAAGCGATTACAGATTTCTTGGACCACGATAAGAATGGTGGAATGTGCTTTTGCTGTTGTACTTTCAAGCATTCGCCCTGTATAAGCAGCTTTACCATAAATCTCTTTCTGCATTAGTGACATGCCATTCTAGCACCTTGGATTTAAAGTATCCAGTGCCTGAAGACATGTTCAGTTATTCTGAAATGCCCATTGTTCTGCTAAGGGACAGACAGTTACTAACAAAAGTACTGGCCAGTACTTAAATTATAGAGGGAAGCTAGGAGAACCTTAAGGAAACCCACAAGAACCTCATATCCTTCAAATCTGGCCAAGATGTGCCCAAAGCATTTAGAAAGCACAGCAAACAAGCTTCTTTACATGATGCATTTATTGTGATCTTGCATTCATTCACTCCTGGAAGATCGTGGGTCCTTTTCACGACACTGTCAGCCTCTAAGGCCTTTCTTGTGCTTTTTAGCCATTTTCACTGCTTTCCTCCCACCTTTTTTAGGTGAGGAAAACCAGCTAAATTTGAAATGTGGAACAAACTTGAAGGAAAGTCTGGTGTATTGTTACAATTCTGCTCTACTGCAACTCTACCATGGCACCACCTCGTGACTGGATGATGGAATATATAGAAAGGCATAGAAAGATAAAACGTCAGCTCCCAGTCCCACCCCATGCATGCTTCCTCCTGCAGAGAAAATAGAAAAAGAAGTCTCAGTAAAGCTGCCAGTTAAAAGCAGAAGAAGCTGATAGTTCAGCTGTGGAATGCGCTCCCATTACGTGGTACAGTGATCATATTTGCCTGCCTTGAGCATCATAGGGAGGATGTACGCCACTTGCGGAAGGGACACAAGTTGGCTTGAACATTTCCTATGTACTCATGGTTGGCTTGTACATTTCCCATGGGCAGTTGTGTTGCCACTGTGCAGACAGACTGAGAGACCAAATGGGCCCTTAGTCTGTGGCAGCATGGATTTTCTTATGTTCTTTAGGAGACATGAGCCCCTGTACTTTGAGCACTGCTTCTTTTGTATGCCTCAAATCAGCCCAGTTTAGAGACTTGCTGCTGCAACAGAGCCCATAAAATCCAGACAGAGGAAAGAGGCAGTGCTACTGGCTTAGATGTTAGCTGGCAGTTGTCTGATGTATCTCATCTCCTTCAAATCTCCCTAGCATGTTGATTTGTGTCAGACCATGCCTTCCTTTCACGTTCTTGCTGTCGGCCTTTCTACCCCTCATGCTTCAACAAAGCAAAGTTGTAACCATTCTCATTCTGCCTTTTTCCAATGCTATATAAGGTGGTGTGCATAAAATCAAAATAATAGAAAACCCAAGAAAATAGGGCCCAAAAGATCACATTTATAAGGCAAGAAGCAGCTGTTAAAACAAATAGCAGTTACAAGCAGCAGCAGATGCAAAGATGAATCAATATGAAGTACACCTTAATAAAAATGTCTTCACTGCTTCTGTAAAAGCAGTGGGGAAACTTGGTGTACTTCTCCTGGAAAACTATTTTAAATTGTGGGTGCTGTAAGGTGCTTTCCTGGGCTCCTGCCTGCCTTATTGTAAATGTTGGAGGAACCTAAAGTGGGTCTCTGAAGTGGAACAAAGTCCCAGGGCAGATTCATACACAGGGATATGATTCCAGAGATATTCTGGTTCCATAATACTTAGGGAATTTAAGGTTAAGGCCAGCAGCTTGAATTTAGACCACTTGCAAAAGCAGATGGGTAGCCAGTGAGGGCAATACAAGGTTCGTCTAATATGGCTCTCATCAGAAGCTTTGCAGCCACAGCTAATGCTTCTGGACCATCTTTAGGGATGGTCCCACATACCACGTTCCACATAATGCAGGCATCTAATTTGGATATGAAATGTGCATGCATGACTGGGGACAGGTCATTACCTTTTTATCTGTTCCTTGTGCTCAGCCAATAGTAACTTTCTTATTTATTGCATTTATATTTATGAATCACATGCCATACTTTGTATCTCTTTCAAGGATGAACCGAAACCGAATCAACAGTGCTTTTTTACTCAGTGATGACACACTGCAGTTCCTGAAAGTCTCGTCAACTTTAGCTCCATCAGCTGAACAGTCTTTACCAAACTGGTTGATTGCATTTGGTGTTGTTCTTTGCATCACTTTGGTTGGAATTCTTTTCCTTATAGTATCTGGAATCCGTCAGCAGAAAAGGTGAGCATCTTGTGTCGTCCAGTGTTGTATCAGTTCAGAATTCCAAGGCTGAATGTTCTATGCATGTTTTTGCTTGCTTGTTTAATTTGCTTCCTCTGTTACATAAAATATGAAGGATGACTTTTCACCTTGCCATCAGGACTCCAAAGGCAACAGTTTAAGAACAAGGAAGGACAATATTAAAATTATTAACCATTTATTAACTAATTATTTATTTATTAATTAGTTAAAATAATTTCATAAAGTCAAGGGAAAATAAAAAAGGCAAAGGATCATGCTGTGATCTGAAGTGAAGTGGGCCGTAAAGACTGACCTGTTTACCTCGTTCCATCACTGAATTAGGATTTGATTGGTGTTGTGGGACATATGGTGTTATCTGATTTTAATGGCTACTTTTGATGTTACTATTGGTTTTAGAATTTTATTGCGTGTTGTGGTTTTGTATTTTGTACACCGTGCTGGGAGGGTTTATGCTAAAAGCCAGCTTATACATTCTTTAAATAAATAAGCAAACAATCACATGACCTGCAAAGGAAGTAAGCTGCAGCCGTGCTCTCCCTTGCAAGCTGAATGTGCAAAGCGGCTTGTATTTGGGGTAATTCCCTGCAGCACCACCGGGCACCACGTGGCACACCAGCATCTCCTGGATGTTTTTGCTCAATCTGGTGCCAGCGCAGCATAAGAGGAACCGTAAAAGAGGGAAAGGAGGTCCTTGGTTTGAACAAGAAACTGTGGGTGGTTTGCCACTGCCTCTCTTCCCTGTTTGCTGCTCCTTCACTGCAAATGAGCAGCAGGGAAAGGGGTGCAGCCCCTGGGATTTCCATGGGGAAAACATGCCCTCGGTCTCCAGGAAGTTGCGCACTACAGTGCATCACGGCAAGAAGATTTTATCTTGTCAAATTCACATGGTGATCACTGCATACTAGCATTGTGCCCACAATGCAATGCGTTTGTTTCTCTCTTGAAAGGGAGTGACTTTCATCGGGTTCTGTGACTAAGAGGTATAGGTATAGGGGCTGCTGCTTGGGACTGTTGAAGTGGGACAAAACTTTCCCCTGCTCATTTTGACACCTCAGTGCCAGAGAAAGGAGGCATGGGCCTCATCTTCCAGGAATGCCAAAATGGGCATCACAGATATGAATGAAAGAATGGAGAAGCTGCGGCAAAGCTTCTTAGTGTGACTTGCATATGGAGACCTACTTCATCTCCACCAAACAGGATATCTTGAGACCGTGTATTCCAGACAGGAACAGATGGTACATACAGTACTTCCCTCAACTCCACTGAAGCCCTAATGGATCTGACAAGAAGATGTGGTCAAATCATTGCATGATGAATATAGCAGCAAGAAGCAAGGAGAGCCATTTTGGCTATAGGAAACATTCCCAAATTGACATTAGTGTAATTCTGTATTAAGTTACAGTATCATCATAGAAAACTGTTACTCTTATTTTTATTTTATTGCATTAATTTGTTGTGAACTGTCCAGAGACATCTGTGAGGGTATAGAAAATTTTTAAATAAATAAATAAGATGTGCAAGCTTTTGGGATCTCCCGATCTCAGGCAGACTGAGACACAAATAGTTGAGTGGCGAATAAAAGTGGGGGAGTAGAGCTGATGTTGGAATCATGATGGGTTTCTCTACATGTGGCATTTATTGTGTGCTCATCATTCCCTACCTGCTGTTTTTTATAGCTTGCTAGATGAAAAATCTGAAAAATATTGTTGCAGTTTTGTCTCTGTATTTAACTAGCACTTCCAGTGGGGGGCGGGGGGGTGTAAGTAGGAAAAATGCAGCATTTAATTATGAAATTGATGTTCTTTTTTAAATTTGTGTTATTTTTCTCTATCAAAGTTCCAGCTAGAGCTTATGCAGTAGAAAAGTTGGAGAGGAAACACTCTTCATGTGCTCAGATCATAACTATGGAATGAAATTGAAAGTACATGTAGAAGAGCTTGGTGTTTGTACAGGCTGAGTCTTAAGATGAATTAAGGGAAGCGGGGTTGCAGACATTCAAACTGGGTTCTGCCAGGTACCGTGATGTTCAGGTTTCATCTGGATCTGCTCCTAGGACTGCAAAAAACAAGAATCAGTAGTTGATCTCCCATTTTTTTAAAATATAAACCCAGGTGTTACTTAGCATTTTCTCCATCCTTGGAAAAGTCAGAGCTTCCTTGAGTGGTGGAAAACAAGTAGAGAAAAATTAGGTAATCATAGTAAAAAAAAGCTACACGTCATTTCAGCCTCTTTGCTGTTTTTCCTTCGGTTTTTGTTTTGAGTGAATAGAAGCCAAACTGGGTAGCTTGACTTAGTACTGAGTGTGAGAATAAACCCATGGTGAATGACATGGGAGATGTAAAACTGTAAGGTGCACATGTGAACAAATCTTTTGGAGATCGTGCAAGTTTATATTGCAGTTCAGGAGAAGCCCTCTCCATCATCTATTTTTAGCCAGTCTCTACATCCAAGAAGTTCAAGCAGAACAATATATTTTTATGGTTGCTAATATCTGTGGTTTAGAAGTCCTGACTGAGGCTGTTACAGTATGTTCTCTGAGGGTGAAAAGGTGCTATAGCAGACCTTTGAGTCCCTTATCTCCTCTTAGAAGCTGACACTGCAGCTATTATGAGCTGGGAGGATCTTTTCCTATGAATCAATGATCTTCAAGGTTGAAAAATAAATCATGAAATAAACACAGCAGAGCTTGCTAACTTGTTCCTGCTAGTCAAGATGCCTTGACATAATAATGGCTGTTGCAGGGAAGATCTGCAAGAGGTTCATTGCTCTTATTGTTTTGAAGAAAAGCTAGTCTAGAAAACAGATGGTGTCTTTATTAAAGATCAATAGTCTATTATTTACTGAATAAACACATGTTTAACAAGAGTGACTGGGTAGGTCAACATGGTAACCCACACACAAGCGCTGTCATTGAACCATGAGCTGTTATGTCATCTGAACCAAGCTGTGTTAGCTAGTCACGGCTGCTCACTACAAACGACACACAAAACACCCCACGGTTTGTGGTCAGGTTGTGAATGGAAAATTGTTCACGGCAGTTTGTTGTCTTGGCTGGGTTCAGAAAACTTGACAACCCATGTTTAAGCAACAATCCACAGTCAGTCCATACTTAAACCACGATTATGGGCTACATGATGTCTGAACTCAGGCAATGTACACTTGTGATGGAAACCGTGAGGAAAATTTGAATTATAAGTTGAATGATACACTCAGAATTATCATGTGCTGGTAGTTTCTGGAATACCATTTTGTAGATTGCATTGCATATTTCCCCATTTCTTTACTTTAAATTGCACTGAATTTCCAGGAAAAAGTGTCCTAGTCTTCTTCCCCACATGCTAATTTTGTGGGGGGGGGGAGGGGAGGGGAGAGGTTTGGAGGGGGCACTTTTGTGAGGGAAGCACTAAATATGTCATTTTCTCTCTCCCCGCACCGCCCAACCAGCAGTCTGATGTCGTACAGGACCTTACCACGAAATATTACTCCATGGAGTTGGACTCTAACCCAAGTTTAGGCCAATTAGAATGATTTTTGTTTCTTGTTTCTCAGGCCGTGCATTCTGATGATCATTATAACTTTATTCTCTTCTGTTTTCAGAGATAATAAGAAGATTGAAGAAAGAGAAGCTCTAGGACAGAAATGTGATACAGCCATAACAATGGAAAATGGAATTCCCTGTGATTCCTTAGGTATAAAAGCTGGCCAGATAAATGGAGTCTACACAGCAGCAGATGATGAACGGTTCACTCCCTTGTGAACTGTCACTGTTTCTCTCCATCCCTTTGAGAGACTCTGCCCCCATTTTATGTAGCTATTCATGCTAATTATCAAGCAAGTGAAGAACTTCTGTACTTTGGCTTTTTCTTTCGGGTAATTCCGTTGATAAGCACACACCAAATACAAGTATTATCAAAATGTTATCCATGGAAAGGTCAAATATAACTCCCGATGTTAAATGCTCTTTTGCAATAGGTGCCTTGTTAGTAAGGCTCATTTAGTTTCAGCTTATACTTCCTTTTATTTTCTGGGGAGTGAGGCTGAGGAGAGTGTGAATTGCTTTGCTAGAATATACTCACTAGTAAGTCAGCCCTAGAAGTACAGCTGCCACAGAATTGCACTTCACTGGGCTCTGGGAGAACAGAGGATATGAGAAGCTAATGGGGAACCAGCATGTTCTCCATTGAGGCAGTGTTTACAAATTAGAGGTTTTTAGGGTGCTAATTTAGCCTTCACTGCATATTTTCACTCTGGTTTTTTTTAAATCTCCCACCATGAGATCTGTTCAGACTGGGTTTGCAAATTTTTGTAGAGCTTCAAGGAGCAATGGAAAGGTAGGGGCCGGCTTCCAGACCCCAGCACTGCTGCAAATAGATCAGTATCTGTTTTGAGTGTTATGAGTGTTAAATGGAAGGCACTCAGAGCATCAACAGGTGAAGGCAGCTTAGGGTATTCGGAGAGGAAACAAATATAGCAAGTGGAAGTAATGTCAGTACAGGTCCAGTGTTTGGAAAGAATACAGATTAGCCAACAGCAGGCTTTTTTGTATGTGGTTCTTGAACAATTGCCTTGTATCTCTGCCCCTTCATACATTCTGTGCCTAATTTGTCCTTTCCAGCTGTAAACCCCTTGGACATGGATTGTCTCTTCCATATGTCCTGTGATGTACCTTGAATTTTTTGGACAATGGATAAAGTACACAATTATAAAAAATAAAATGATGATATTCTTAAATTCAGGAACCATAAAACAAGCATGGCTCTCATAATATGAAGTATTCATTGTGGGGTTCTGTCATGAGTAAGTAACAGCTCTTGTTACGCTCTTGTTATGTTAAGAAGTATTGTTAAATTACTTTTTAAATTTCAGAGGTAAGACTCACCCTAGCAGGGCTCTCTGGGATCTTCTCTGGTAGTTGCCACCAATCTACATGTTTCAATCCAAGCAGGGCAGTAATAAACGAGTTGAGAGTTAGCTGCCACATCTCTCTTTCTACACACATACAAAGAGAAGCAGCCATCACACCAAAAGGCAACCTGCTTCTTAATGCCGCACAAGACCTACACCAACATCGAAGCCTGTAATCATTCTGCAATCAAGAAAAATGCACTTGCTTCATCCTCCAAACTATTGCAACAGGCACATAAACACAGGGAAGGCTCAGAACTGTCAACTGAGCATTAATAAGATAATTTTTTCTTAGACTGAGTTGTGAGGTATGAAAAACTCAAAGGCTTTGTCAACAGGAGTGGCAATGAACATATGCTCTGGTCAGGGAAAACCCATTCCCTTGAGAACAGGATTTACCCACTTCCTTCTGTAGTTGCTTCTGCTCCCTTCACTTGGTCCACGCTCCCTTCACATCTTGCATAGGGAATGCATGGGCCCCTCTCCACCACCACAGAACTCATGAACTCTAGCCAGTCTTTCCAGTAAGAAAACTTTATATTGTTATTGAAACAGATAGCTTCCCTGGTAGATCAGGCTGCTGCAATTCTTGGCAGGCAAACAAATCTAGAAACTTGGGGAAGGTCCTGAATGAGTCAGGGGAAAAAAATCAATGCCTAGAAAAACAAATATAAAATAGCATTCTGCTTTTTATTTTTATCTTAATCATAGAAGTTAAATCGCTTAGACCGCAGTTCCTTACTTGGCCTCCAAGCATAAGGACATTTAACCGACAGTTAATCCCATTGATTTCAGTAGGGGTCACCTTCAAAGAGATAAATGCAAGACTGCAGCATCATAGCACAATGCTATGCATGTCTACTCGGAACTAAGCCCCACTGACTTACTCTCAGGTAAGTGTGAACAGGGTTGCAGTTTTAATGTGATTAAAAAAAACCTTGCCAATTTGGTCTTCAGGGTCAGGAACCATTGCCGGGTCACTGCAGGACCTAATGTGGTTTGCAACAGAAGCATTACCACTATACATGGACAGAAAAGTAACAATCCCATCCCACCTGCACGCAGGGCCAAAGATGGGTCTCAGATCTGAAAATACTAGTACGTATTCATTGATCCAAAGAAAACCCAGTTCCACCCAAAATGATCACGAAGCAGGTGACAGGAAAGCTCCCTGGCTGAGTCCTTGGCAGTTGCTCCCAGTCAGAGCAGACTGGGCTAGATGGACAAATCGTAAAAGGCATAAGGTATGCCTTGGCATAAAGAAACTTCATCAAGCAATGTTTTCGTGCAGCAGAGGTAGGCAGAGTGTAATGATTCTGCCATGATTATATGCAATTAGTGTACAGAAGGATTTGAAGTTTGCAGCCCACGCTCACATTATTTTAAGTGCCAATATACAGTAGTCACTAATTACTACCCAGTTAGCCATCCTTTCAGCAGTCTGATCCTTTAAAGGCCTTGAATGTTTTTCTTCTTATCCTTATTTGCCCCATACACAGATATCATGGCCAGAGAGAATCCAGTTTGTGCCAGTGTATTACCATTGGAGATACAAAGTAAAATGTTTTTGTTTTCATTTTAATTACCAGCCCCAGTCATTGGTTGTACTTGTGCAATTAAAGCAAGTTTCCCATTTGAGTAATCTGGGATTAAAAACACTACAAGAGAAATGTATCTCTATTCCACTGCTCTACCCGTTGGCATTACACAGCTACTGTTCTGCTCCCTCCCACAATTTGTTCCTTTTTATCACTTCTTCATTTCAGTGCTCATTTCTAAAAAAATAATGTCACTTGCGCGATTCATTCCCTCTCTCTGGAAATGATAAATACATTGGTTCAGTGCTCCTGCCATTCAGCCTAGGAAGTTTCCAGATGACACTTTTATTGTGCAGTCCCTTGGCCTGTTCAGGGAATATCACACAAATCTGGGGCTTTTCTATATAAGGTGCTTACTGTTTGCTCATCATTCCTTACTCACAGTTGGTTGCAGGCTTTTAAAAACAACATTGCAATTCTCTAGCTTCACTTCTTAAGCAGTACTTTCAGCTAATTTTTAAGATCAATAAAAATCTGGTATTATTTAAAGAAAGTAAAAGGGAAAAAACACTTTTTCATTTATGTATTTGCAGTGTTCTTGTATACCACAAATAGAATGCACCTACAGGTTGTTTAGCAGAAGAGCAGAAAAAGAAAAGCACTTTGTATAGTGCTTGGATCTCAACTCTGCTGAGAGAGAGAGAGAGAGAGAGAGAGAGAGAGAGAGAGAGAGAGAGAGAGAACAGCACTTAACACCCATAAGTAGAAAATCTCCCAGACAATGACAACTTCCATATGTAACAATCTCTGTGTTTGCCACTACTCCTTCCATCATTTTTACAACGCAGAAAATTCATTAAAGAGGGTGTAAACAACACTATAACTTTATTTGCTTATTTATGTTTGCATTCTATGAGTTACTTTTGAGTAAAGTTACAATGTAACTGAGTCAGCCAGAAGTCTGGCTTTGCTATCTTGTGCTGGGCATAAAAAGATATGGCTGCTTTGGTTATGAATGCCACAGAAGGGAGGTTTTTAGCTTGCCTTCTCCAGCCTGCTTCTGTTTCAGTATATTGGACTACAACTCACAGTATTTCCCAGTTCTACAGTGCTGTCCTCCTACTACTAAGTATAATCTTAGCTGTTTATGCTGGCTGGGACATGCTGAGAGTTATACTCCAGCATATCTGAAGGGCACCAGATTGAAGAAGGATGTCTGAAAATGATGACGATGAGAGAGTGTTCCTTGTTTATATAGGTTCCTAATTGGTAATATAGTACAATTTGGATTGGTCAAGGGGTCAATAATTTAATTTGTTGTTAGAAGATCCATAAAGCTCATAATTGTTCAGATGTTCTGGCCAGATTTAAAAAAAATCTCAATTAGTAGAAAGTTGAGAGCTGGGGAGAGCTGGCTGGAACTGATCTGCTGGCTAAAGAGTTTAGAGCCCTGAAAATAATACGTTTTCCAATCTGAGAGGGTCCTCCTGGAAGAAACCTTCAGAACTGAGGTGGTGGCTGGGATGAGTAGAAGAGCCCACACCAGAAGGTTCCACAGAGAGTGCTGACTGAAGCGGACGTCATCAAGTAGTCCCTGAAACATCCTTAAAGCCAGAAGTTACAAGAAAAGCTTGAGGCAGAGGGAAACTGTGCCTAAATTTATCTGTTCCTAAATTGTAAAGGAATGGCTAGATGAAGATGAAGAAATCTTGTCTGGGGAAAAATCTATTGAGAGTGTCTCTTTCTCTGGAAGACTATCTTACTAATTAGGAGCTGTAACCAAGTTTGTGTAACCTAAGCACATATAAGCAATCCCAGGCTATTGTTTAAAAGGGAACATGCATCACCAACTGTATAATTAGGAAGGAGCAGTGGAGTTCTATTAATGGAAAACTCTCATAAAAATGGCAATAAAAGTATATAGGAGGATAGTTAGCAGCTAGAGAAACAAACAACATAAAGGGACAAACAACAATTTCAGTATATAAAGTGAGCAAACTTTTTATGGAATGGAACTTTTCTTAATGAAACTGCAAAAAATAGAGTATTGTGCAAACCACAATCTTGTACACTTTGAGGAGTATTGTTTCCTTCTTTATTGGTTTACATTATGCAAACACTAGTGTGGAAAGCTGCCCAGTACACGGGAGTTCATAAAGTATTGTTAGAAAATGTGTACATGCTCTGAAATTTTATGAGAAAAGAGGTCTAAGGAATCTGTTGTGTCAATATTGAATACCTATTTTTCCTAAGTGAGGATAGGATGGATGATGCCCCCCCCCTGAATTTATGGTGCTGTCCTACTACTTCTTTATTTATTTTAAAGTTTTGTATCTCACCTCTAGAGAATAATAGAATAAAAGAAAAATATTCATGCAATCCTTACAATATAACAGAGGTGGCCAGACTTTCTCAGTGGAAGAGCCACTTATGGTAAATGCCAGATGTTTGAGAGCTGCAAGCAGGCACCGTTGGTGGTGATGCCAGATGAGGAGGAGCAAGCTGGTGCCCACGGGGGGCAGCAGTGGATGACAAACAGCAGGTGGGTGCTGTGGCAGTGAGTTGTGAGCCACAAAATAAACCCAAAGAGCGGCATGTGGCTCCTGAGCCTCAATTTGGCCGCTCCTGCAATGTGACAACCAAAGCCTACCCATCAGCGGAAAATAGAATACAAAAGTGAAAAGATCTAAAATTCATAGATAGTTAAAAAAAACCCCACTATACAAATGCCTTCACAAAAAATGAAGGTGCTTAGCAACTTTCAGAAACCATGAGAGAGAGGAGACATGATGGATTCAGCCAGAAACTTTCAATGGGTAAGAATGGCAATTATATGCATGGACTCTAATACACTCTGTTAAGGGATTCCATAGTGGTCCTGATGAAATACTGACAGCAGTTCAGTAGCTGTAATGCTTAGGCTGCTTTTCTCCTAAGGAATGTAGAAGATCAGGAAAAGAAGGCCTGGGAAAGAAGGGCTCAGCAGGCCAGTGGAAGCAGGACTGCAAGTGGGAGTGGTCCAGAGAGAAAGAGAAAGCCAGAGGATGAAGCCAAGACTGGAATCTGGAAGAGGTCACACAGCCAGCTGACTGAGGAGAGAAACTCTGAAGCTCCAATTGATTTGGTGTAGCTAGTCAAATCTTTGCATGTACATCTGTTAAAAAAAAGACTTTGCAAGTTCTCAGCTCAGAAAACTGACAGTACAGATGATAACTAGCAGTATCATTGACAGGATCCTGGCGAAATATTAACTATAAGTAAAAGCCTTTCAATAAAAAGCCATAAAATACTACAGGTAATTATGTTTCTCCAAAGTTAATTATTCACTATTGCTTACTTGACTTAAAAAACCACACCTATCCCTATTCTAGATTGTGTCCTTTTGCTGGATTAAAACTATAAAATACCCAGTGAATTGGATTCTGCCCTCTTTTCCTATAGACATCCAATGCACAAACATTGATGAAACAAGAGCTCCTAAGGAACGTCTTGAAGAAACTTCATTCATCTGGCGTTTCCTGGCCCAAGAGGAAGGATGTTGACCCATTTCTACCTTATTTGGAACTTAGCTCTTCTGGTTGTGGCACAGGATGTGACCGAAAAAGCTGCCCAGTTTTTGACACAATTTGATGCCAAAGCAGAAGACCTCTCTTATGAAAGTTCAGTTGCTTCATGGAACTATAACACCAACATCACAGAAGAGAACGCCATAAAGATGGTGGGTACCTTTGATAAATACTTGCTCTTACATTAGGAAATACAGATGGGAATTGAGAAAGTAAAACAAAATACTAGAAATAAGTTGGAATGGTAATATGTAAAAACATCATTAGGAAGCAGGTTTAAACTCTATATACTGGACCAATACATAATGATGTTATGAAGCCCTTTCTGTGCCTTACGCAAATGAGCTTCGAAATGCCATTCAGGATGAACAAAAAGAACCACTATTTCGTGAAAAAGCCAGGACAATCTGCAATGAACTAAGTAGCTCAAATAAAATGTTGCTATTTTCCAGAGTAGTGCAGCTTCAGGATTCCTCCTTGTGGAAGAAGCACAGATCACCCAAAATACAAGAAGAATCAGAACCATAGTTTGCTGCTCCATTTTTCTCCTCATCTTCTAATAACCCAGCACAGATCTCTCTTACTGCAACCACAGCAGCAGTTCAGGACAATCCAATTAATTTTAGTCATGAATTACCTATGTGGGCAAAGCGGACTTAAAGTGAACACCAGCCACTAATTGTAAAAGTAATCCCACTCCACTGCTCTCAGTGGAAACTCCAGGGCAATCCTCGGTGTGGTGGGAGACTGTCCGTTGCAGAGCTCCAGTTGCTTCCAGAGTCCTGCAAGCTCAGAAGCATGCTTCATTTCCAGCAGATGAAAATATTAAAAATATTTTTAAAAATATTTGCATCTTCCACTGGAATCAATGGGAATAAATTATTAACATCAGCCAGAGGTTGGCTTACAAAAGGAGCTTGATACTGGGGCTCATGGGAGAACAGTGGATCCAGTGGGGCTCTGCTCTGCTCGCAGAACACCTGTTTTAGTGGCCTTCAGTTGACCATAGTTTTCCACAGCTTTAAGTGGACAATCTGGGTGCAGGGCCCTCCTGCCTGCAGAGGTCCTCTCGTCCTACAGAAGCACATTCACCTGTTTCTAAATCCCTCTAGCCAGTGCAAATGGAGGCTAGGATTTAATTTTCTTTCTCTATAGCATTTTGGTACAAAAACAAGACAGCCCATTCCCTCAGGCTCACAATCTAAAAGCCACTGCACAAAAGGAAAATGAAGAGAAGTAGCTCAGTACCCATCCTTAACATCACAACGTTCTTACAACAGCCAGCTGGGATGGAAACTGGCTGCACACCATTCAAAAACAGGCTGAATAACCTCCCAGAAATGGAAATAATATTTTCTGGGTTCTGCCAAACATCTTTCCTTCTTAGCTTTCTGTAAGTTTCATTGTTCTTATTCAGTGTTGGTCACCATATGTTTCAAACAAATTATTTTATACACTTGTTTCAGACAGCAGTCTTGCTTCATTGGAACAAGCTGGCTACAGGGTGGCTGTAAGAGCATCACTGTCTATCATTACATACCACCTTGAGCCCTTTGATAAAATTGTGCATATTAATGGCCATAAATAAATGTGGCATAATGTTTGTTCTTTCTTGAATCAAGCAGTTTCTCTCATTTTTTTAAAAAAATGGAAACTACATTTTTAAAAAATCATTTCAGTGTCACCATTTATGAACATCATCTTTTCACTTTGCACTTCGGATTGTGCTTTGAGTCTCCCAATATAATTTATAATTTGAAATTCTGTCAAGTATCTAACCTAAGTCAGCTTCTCTTTGGCACATTTTTTCCTTCTAATGAAATCACCTACCCAGAATGACACAAATTTCTATTTCATGCTCTTCTTTCCAGTGAAGGTATATTTCCAGTATATTCCTGTTTTAGTAGTTGTCCAGACGCTGGAGCATATTTTCTAACTGATCGTGAAAGGTTCCCCGAAGGACACTGATAGTAATCATGTCTATTAGACATTAGCCTTTACAATGACATGAATGACTTTGGACAGTTATCCTATTGCTCCTGATTGATCTCATGATAACCTGAATCCTTCTTAGATGAAGACAGTCTTCCTGTACCCAGCCAAGCTGATCCATGATGACTGGGGCGTGATGGATTTTTCAGTATCTCACATCTGGAGGGTACTCCGTTTGGCAAGGCTGAGTTAAAATACATTTGGGAGGTTAAGACAAGGCAGCTCTGGTATATTTAGTAACACCCTTTAAAATCAATATAAGATTCCAGGATTAAGAGATGGCGGGCACAAAAGTTAGCCAGCAGTTACATAGGCATGTGTGATCAACTCAAAACAAGACAGCGTCATGGACTTCAGACAGATGAGTAGAGTTCCCAGCCACTGGATGCGGGCACTGTCACCACAGGGACCACAGGCTATCCTCATTTTCCCACTTCTGGCTATCACCCAGGGCTCAGTCCTCCCCAGCCTGTCACATCTGTTTCAAGAATGAAGACTGTTCTTTCATTTGTCATGCATTTCCCTGTCTCCCAGGGCCATGAAGCAAACAAATAAAAGGACTAGAAAGTAGCTGAGGGAGTGTGGTGTAGTGGTTAAGAGCATGGAACTGGGACTCAGGCGATCTGGGTTCTAGTCCCCACCCAGCCATGCAGCCAACTGGGCCACTTGGGGCCAGTTGCAGACTCTCATACCAGCCTACCTCACAGGGTTCTTGCTGTGAGGATAAGATTGAGAAGAACTGGAAAATTATGCAAACTACCTTGAGTTGCTTTGAAGGAAAAAAGGTGGGATATAAATACAATAAATAAAAATAGAGCTCTGTGTTGTAAAAACATAAACGGGGTACCTACAATATAGCATATCTTCCCATCCATGCTTCCATTAAGGCTTATAGATCAGCCAGACACCCCATTCCTGGCTCCTCAGCCCAGCCTCATTCATTTGGTTGTTTTGGGGATCAGGTTGTGTGGTTATTTTTGTGGTGGCACTTCTATGAGTCCCCTGAGTACGCTGACACCTGCCTCTCATTTCTGAGAGGCCTCATTTTGATTCTGTTGATCAGTCCTGCCCACCGCAGAGCATCATCACTACTTTCAAAATCCGCATAATGAGCAGTTCTGCCAAGCTGAATGGGAATGAAATGGGAAACGAAATGGGAAATGAAAAGGTATGAAGTGTGTTCAATGGGAAGAAAAAGAAGGAATCATTGCATGTGTGGTCAGGAACACAGTATGGTACAGTTGGAGAGCACAATCTTTTGATTCCTTGCAGAGGTAATGGCCAGGACAATTAGAAAAGCAGGTTCCTTTAGGTACCGTGATCGGTGACTGACCCTCAAAGGGAGGACTAGCAGAACATAAGCCTATGAAAGTCAAGCCCATCTGTGGGCCTGTCATTGAATCATGAAGAGGCAGAGCAGGCAAAGGCATTAGGACTACTTTCCAGTGAGAAACATTCCCTAAATCTGTGCTCAGGAATACACTTTTATTAGTAGTACTTATTTTTAAAAAATCTGAGCCTGGCAGTAAGACTGAGTCCTGTTGCCAGTGAATTTCTCTGCCATTTTTTGCCTCCTGTTCAGCAAAACTGTTGCTGGATCACACGAACTACGGCTGGCTGTGTGCAGGACGGGCAAAAGTAGCTTGGGGTGTATTTCCTTGGCCTTCTGACAATGGCTATGAGATGGTGCAAAACTATGATTATATATAAGTAACAGAGGTCCACTTAGGGTAGCATTTTGTTTTCCAACATGGCCAGCTAGATGCCTTGGAAATCTTATTGTCAGGCCAACAGTTTGAGGGTATCCATTCGCACGTTGGCTAAAAAGAGGAACTGTATCTCCAAAAGAAGACAATTTGCAATACATTTCATATTAATATACGTAAAAGTAGAAAGAATATATATGGTTTATGTCTAAACACAATGTGTTCCACCATGGAGAAGACTGACCCACGTGCTGCTCCAGCCTGCCGCCCAGGGGCTAACTGCTGGTGAGGCACTTCGAGGCCTCTGCTCTCCTCCTTTACCATCTTTGGCCAGGTTTGCACAAGTAATAGTGGAAAAGAAATGGCAGTGGCTTCTTTTCCCTGCCCTCCACGTTCTGTTCTGGGGCTTAGAGGGACCCTGTGGAACAAAAGTGGGGTCACAGGGACTGCAGAAACAGAACAGGAGTGGAAATCTTATTGCACTAGTGGAACTCTGTTCACATGCTGTTGGATTTTGTCCAATAATTTTGTAAACCAAAACCATGTGTGTTCCTTTCTCCACTGTCTTTTTACTGAAATGAAAAGCCTCATACTTGTTAGCCGTTCCTGCTAGGAAAAGTACTCTGACTTTTAACGTCATCTCTGCAGCTTTTTCATTGTCCTGTTCTGCCTATTTCCAGTTCTTTCCTTTTGAGCTGGGGAGACCAGAACTATACACATTATTTCAAATGGGACCACATCACAACTTGACATGAAGACATTGCAATATTGGGTGTATAGTTATATAAATCCATTTTCTAATCATGTCTTGCATAGAATTTGCCTATTTCGCTGAAGATTTATTATGATTGTTGTTAATTTCCAACTTCCATATTCAGTTCAGACCTGAATTTAGGGATTATATCTGGCCCAAAGGGCATCACCTCACATAAAACTTCACTTGTTGTTTTATCCCTGCTGTCCAACCAGATGCTTTTACAGTTCTTCCCATTCAGCTTGAGTTTTCACCATCCTAAATTATTTAATCATGATCAATCATATGCAGATATGGACACCCAACTGCTCTTTTTCTGTGATAATGATAATTAAATAATAAAATAAATCCCTCTTATGTCAGTGACTTATGTAGGAAGTTGCGTAAGAAAACTTCTGCTGCATCTGATCAGAGCTTCACCTAATCTGCCATCTGAGACGGATGGTTTAACTGGGAATCTTGCACTGAGCGGGTGGTTGGACTCCTTCCAGCTCTGCTGTTCCACGATTCTGCACATGGTGCTTCCAGACCAAGGGCTCCTAGTGCTACTACACAGTTCTGCCACTATGCCGTCTTACCCTTCTTAACAGATTTTCTGTGGTATGAAAAAGATGGAAGAAGGGATAGGGGCAGGTAAACACAGGATGCTTACGAATGGAAGATCCTGGCATCAACACCTCTCGTAAAATCCTGCGGATGAGGCAGGGAGATGGCAATAAAGGCCTCATCTGGAGCCCTCCCTTGTTATACTTTCCTGCAGATTAATAATGCAGAATTCCAATGCATCTTTTTCAGAATGAAGCGGGCGCCAGATGGTCAAGTTTTTACGATGAAGCCTCCATAAATGCCAGTAATTTCAATGTGGATAGCATTGCTAATGACACCATCAAACTCCAACTTCATTTTCTGCAGAACAGAGGATCATCAGTATTACCCACAGAAAAATACAACCAAGTATGTTGCCAAATATCTGCAGGCCATTTCTGTGTTGAAATCGGTCCATTAGGGGTGGTTGTACAATAACTCCTGTGCATCATTCATCCTGATCATATATACTAAACCCTGACATTTTTACTTTGCTATAAATGCAAAAGTGGATAAGAAATTTTTATAAGCTGATACATATTTTTATATCATGGTAAATCAAGATGAAAGGGCACTAACTACTCATGTTGCAAAGTGATACTTTTCAGTTTGCAAAATGACTATCTCAACCCATCATTCCCAAACAAGGCTAAAGCAGCAGTGGGCAACTTTGGACTCTCAGAGGCCCACTTCCAGTCCCCGAGCCCTATATGGGCCACACACCTGCTGTTACTCAGCAGTGGCCACTCTGTCCCCAGCAGCTCGCCACCAAAATGCATCAACAAACTTCTGCAAAGCCCAAAGGTCACATTAGCTAGAAAACATGCTAAATTCGTTTTTCCTAAGGCTTCATAGCAGTTCGCTGATGTATCTGGTGGCTATCGTTATTTATCTATTGCTGCTGAGAACCCCAGGGGCTGCCGAGATGGGAAGGAGTTTGGCCTGTGGACAGAAGGTTGTACCACCCAATCCTTTATATGTCTACACTGAAGTAAATCCCACTGAGTTTGATGGGGTGCACACATAGAATTGCTGCTTACGAAGCAATCCCCCCAAAACCCCATTGGTGCTGGTAGGGAATTTGAGATTCTGAATGGAATGTGTCTAAGACGCCTCTTCTTTAGATGGTAATGCACATCACTTCAATTTTCTGAAAATGTCCTAAGTCGGCCCTGCAGCATTTGCGGACCTTCTTGCGGATTCTGCTGAATGGGGCTCAGCATATTTGTACAAATATGTTCAAATATATATACCCGCCCGCCCCCTGAGATCTGCGGGAGAGACCCTTCTCTGGGAACCCTCCGTGAAGGAAATTAGGAGGGTGAGTACTCGGAGGAGGGCTTTCTCTGCGGTGGCGCCCAATCTATGGAATGCGCTCCCCAGAGAGGTCCGCCTGGCCCCATCGTTATTTGTTTTTCGGTGCCAGGTGAAGACCCTATTATTCAAATGTCATTTTAACTGTTAATAGTATTTATTTATTTTCTTCTTTGGCCAGGGCGACTTAATTTATACTGTTAATTTTTATTATTTTATTGAAGTTATTTATGTTTGTGAGCCACCCCGAGGCTTCGGCAAATGGGGCGGCATAGAAATTTTCTAAATAAATAAATAAAAATAAATAAAAGTCATACCAACTTAACTAAATAAGATTTATTCCCAGTCAAGTACAGAGAATGAGGATCAGGCTATTGGTTTATTATCGAATTATTTGCTGCCCAGTTGGCAGATGTTATTAGGATAGTTTATATCAGAAAACAAAACAAAGACCCTGACAATAAAATAACATGTAGACATTTTCTGAAATGGCAGAAAAAAGATCAAGTAGCAAATAAATGAAATGAAATGAAATATTTTATTGCTAGACAGGTTAATTGGAGTTATTAATTCCAAATTTTAGGACATTTTCAGGGTGACCCTAAAAGTGCCCTTGAATCTCATATGTACAGTCTGGTGTCATACATGAATGCCAATGCTATTTGTTGTGTCAGGGAGAGTTCTACAAATAAATCAATGCATAACTTTGTTAGAAGGCTATTTAAAAACCAAAATTTTAAACTCAGTGAAAATAAGCAGCACCATCCCCCCACACAAAACAATATGTTTATTTCTAAAATAAGTACAGAACAAACTTGGGTATGTTTCTTTAAAGCCAAGCACCATGCTGAATTTGATTAGGCTTTTCCCCAGTACTGGACTTCAGCAGGTTAACAATATATGGTTCTTAGAAGACAGGATTCCTTTAAGACATCCAGAGCAAAGCAGCAGTTAGCAATGAGACTGTCTCCATCACTGCTAAACTGTGATGAGTGGAGCTGCCCCTGGAGAGCCTCAGCTTCCCCCACAGCTCTTTAAAGTAAAAAAAATATTAGAAATAAATATTTCATACCCTAAGATTAAAATTCACTGCAGACACAGTCCATTCATTCAGAGCTTACCTCAGGCTATGTTTGCTGTTATAAATAGAAAGGCAAATGACACTGTCCCTTACGAAACCTGTGGAAGGATTGAGAAAAGTTCTCCAGGTGAGAAGTGAAACACAATACATACACACCTACCCTTGTTTGCTCACATATGCATACACTCACACACATGAAGAGCAATGGTGCATGGGCACACACAAATCCTCTGGGCTGCCATGATGCAACTCACTCCTATCCATATCTACGCAGAAGGAAATTCCACTGTCTTTGGTGAGGATAACTCCAAGTCAGGAACCTAATCCTAAACACATGATCCAGACAGCAAGCCCTGTTGAACTCAGTGGGACTTATTTCCGAGAAGGCATATATGTAGTTACATTAGCAAAGAGATGTTTTGACAACAGATCCCCTGGCAAAGGGATATCTACATTCCCATTCATTTTTTAAAGTACGGACTTTACTGTTCTGCAGTCACGCAAATCCAATTTAAAGAGGAGACCTGGCCAGTGATTGCTGCATTCAGCGTCCTCCTAATACTGCTCCCATTTCTGGATCTATCCATGATGCTGGCCATGATCAGCTGGAGAGCTAAGCACAGATAGCTGGGGAGTTGCGTTTTGCTCCAAAGACATTGCAAGCTCTCACATTACCCACAAGAGAGCCAAGAAAGCGGTAAAGCAAGTAGCTCAAGCACTGGCTGGGAAGCAGCAGTGGCAAAAAAAAAGTTCCACACTCTCCTGCCAGTCCAGTTGACTGTGAACTGGGACAGCCCACCCAAAGGATAGAACATTCACGAGCCCCTTGTAAATGTTTCCTGCGTTATGTTCCCAGCAATATAGTCCAGGACAACTTGTGGGCCTCCAGATGATGATGTGCTGTGGCTCCAATCAGCCCGTCCCAGCACAGACAGTTGCAAGGGCTGATGGGAAGAGCAGTCCAACATCACCTGGGGGGGGGCATTTCATTGCCCACTGCTGGTATAGTCCCAGCTGAATCTAGCTTGCAGGCAACCACTCTCTTCCTGGATCAACTGCGGCAAGTGAGGATGATGGCCACCTTTACCCAGACAACCAGTTAATGCATCGGAAGAGATTTGCCTCTTCTTTCATTTTAAGCTAGCTAGTATACTAGTGGACAGACAGACAGTAAAACATGTTGTGGGCTTGGAACTTTGGTTTATTTATTGATTTGCAATGCTAAAAGTCCAGCACCCGTTCATTCTGTTCCTCAGTCTGTTCCCTCTCACTTTGCCTTTTGAACAAATAACGGAGTCCTGTATTCTCAACACTGATCTTCTCTTTTAAATCACAGCTGAATTCTATTTTAAATAAGATGAGTACCCTCTACAGTACTGGGACTGTGTGCAGGGAAGACGATCCTTTTACCTGCTTGCCCTTGGAACCAGGTATGCCACAAACAACAAACATCTCCCGCAGTCTTTGACTCATGGGTGCCAACACCTTGAGCAGCAGTAAACCTAGTAGAAAAGGATTCCACTTTAAACCAGTTGGGATCACTTTTCAATGAATGCATGGCTGGCTGGAGTTGCAAGCCAGCACACCTGGAGGGCACCAGGCGGGGGAAGGGAGGTGTAGGAGTTACTGCAATATATGTCCAGGTGCACACCTAGTATTTTTTAAGCCTATTACCAAAACTGTAGCATACAATGAGACAGACACTTTCATCATGCAAGCCTTGATTGGCTTCAGGTCTTTCTTAAGTTGCCAGCCTGGGCTTGCTTTCATATAATGTATGGCCAAGCCCTTAAATAAGGAAACGGCCTCACCCTGGTTCAGCTTCTGCATCCATTTCAGTTAGTATTGCCTACTCTATAGTCTGGAAGTGTCTCTGCAGGATCTCTGGCTGAGTTCTTTCCTCAACCCCTATCACTTGATCCTTTTAACTGGAGGGTCTGGGACTGAAGCCCAGATGTTCTGCAGTGCTCTAACAACAGTATTGTCTGCTTGTTATTGTTCTGTACATTTCTGTGCATATGTCACTGCAGGCACTTTTAGTGGGTATCATGACTAAGGGTACAATCCTATGTGACAGAAGAAGGCCTGCAGTGAGCTAGGCATACTGGGGACTGTAGGCCCATTCCTTGCCTAAACTCACATGGTATTGTGCCTTAGGATGGTCAACAAATAATTAAAAAATGCATGCTCATCCATTTATTTGAATGGAGCACATAAATGTAATAGCTGAGTGCATTTGTTCTCCACGATCACTTTTATTTTCATAGACTCATACAGTTGGAGCAGCCTAGCTGGCCATCAAGTCCAACTGCCTGCTTGATGCAGGATTCAACTCACCCAGACTTCGATTCAGCCCAACCCTGCTTAACTTCCAAGGCTGGGCAGGTTCCATGAGAAGAAACCTCTGCCACAGGTTCACCTCAGGGCCAAACTAGATGTCCTTCAAATTAGTCATGGTGTAGCTGTGCATGATGTGCTTATTGACTTCAGTGCAGTATTAGTGTACCTGGGCCTGATTTGTACTGGGACCCTGGTGGTCTGGGTTGGGGGATTTAAGCTTCCTCCCCGTTTCTCCCCTAGAGTCTAATCCCACACCTCCATGTGGGGAGGAATCCTTCTACCCAGCGGATTCTCTGGGCACAGGGAAGGAATAGGAGAATTTGAAGAGAACAAAAGCCAGGATAGTCACAATCTGAATAAGGGCAATACTTTGTTAGGTTGAAGTAAATAATCAGAGCCAAGGGTGCTCCGATGGTTCAGTTTAGCCATCAGTTTGGCAGGGGGAAAGGAAAGATCTTAGGTACCGTATTAAATCAGGCCTCTGTATAACTGAGATTCTACCAAACTGCAAGCAAAGCTCTAATTTAAAGGGTGGCAATCCTGATTTTATGGTGACAGGCTTGGACCAAATAATGGCTGAAAGCAAGAATTATGCAGAGAGACTGTGGGCTTGGCAAGGCTGGAGAGCAGATGTTGGCAAGAGGATGAGGCCTCTCTATGAAGGTTATGTTGAACTGAACAATGAAGCTGCAAGAAAGAATGGTGAGTCGCAACAACACCAATGATTATTTGCCCTTGCAACATGTGTGTGCGCGCATATGTGCGGGTTTGCTTTCCAGGACAAGAGTAGACTTGACCCTTCCCTATTTTAGCTGCCATGTGCATTACCTTCTGGAGCAGGTATGACTGACAATGCAAAATATTACTAAACAAGAAGTTTCTACATGTGTGTTATGTAGTATTTATCCCGTATTTAGTTTATACAGTGGTGCCTTGTACTTCGAATGACTCTAATTTCAAACAATCCAGAGTTCACATGTTAAAGTCAAGATAAAATTGCTCCAAAGTTCAAACAATGCTTCTACGTTCAAACTGCATGCAAAGTGAAAAAAATGTGGTCGCAGCATAAATGTCATCTGTTGTGTGTTCAAGTTCTCTCTCACTGTGAAACATCTCTTGCATAATGCTTGTGGATTTTCAGTGCATGTTTTCATGCATTTTCAGTGCTTTTTTGGCTTTAAGTGTTGGCTTTGAATATCTAACCATTCCTCACTAAGGTACAGTAAATGCACTAACATAGAATTGCTAACATAAATTCTAATACAGTAATGCTTTGTATGTTGAGCTTAATTAGTTTCAGGAGTCTGTATTTGCTGTTTAAGTTTATTGAAATGGGTACTGTTTAGGGTCTGGGAACAGATTAATTCACTTTTCATTATTTCCAATGGGAAAAATTGATTTGGACTTCGAATGATTCAGAGTTCAAACAGTCTCCTGAGATGAATTAGGTTCAAAGTACGAGGCACCACTGTACATCTGATCATTCAAGCACCAGGTAAAAGGTCAAATGAATGCCAGAGCACAGTTAATTAGGGGATAGCTGAGTGGGAGGGATGAGGACCAGCAGAACATTTCATGGCTTATCCTACTTGAAACTATGGTGAGAGTTGAAGTTCAACAAAGCATGTGAAATGATAATGCTACATGCTGACAGTGTAAAGATAGTCAAATCCACCCATCACCCTTCTTTTTCATTGAGCGCTATGTTTTTAGATATGGTGGCATACTTTTGAACTCATGAATTATCTGTTCTCTTATTTTCCAATGCTGTTTTTAAAATGGGGCACCTTGTGTCCAATGTAATCCCTTAGCTATGACTTAATAAATTAATTCCATCAGTGTATTTTTATCCTGCCAAAAATGCTCCCAGATTGGGTTACTCTGGGATTAATAACAGGATAGTCCCAACACTCAGGCTTACAACTGAAAAGACGCAACACAAAAGGGAAAAAAAGGGAGGGAGGAGGGAAAAGAAAACAGAAAGCCAAGGCACCACACTCTTAGAGCTAAATGTATTCTATATTAAAGAGGAGACGTACTGCTGATCCTTCCTATCCTTCCTTCCTTTTTATAAACAAGAAAGTATGTGGGCTTCCAATTTGGATTAGAATTATCACACATGGATAGGGGAGGTTATGTCTTCCCACCCAGCCATTTTCCCCATTGAATCCCTCCCCCGCCCCTTTATACTTGGAGGGGTAAAACAAGAGAGAAGAAAGCTCCTATTTGTGATAATGGAGGTTTTGCAGGGACTGTTAACCACCATGCACAGGGTAGGGGACAAGTTTAGAGGAGAAAGTGTGTAGGTGGTAAGGTTTAAATCTGTACCCATGTGCAGTGCACCTGATCTGGTCCTAGACACTTAGAGGTAAAGAAGAAGGTGAGGTTTAGCTGCACATGAGTGTAGATTTAAAGGTGACATTTAATGTAATGGAAGGGCACTGTGAAAAAGAACTCTCTCTCTCTCTCTCTCTCTCTCTCTCTCTCTCTCTCTCTGTGTGTGTGTGTGTGTGTGTGTGTGTGTGTGTGTGTCCCGCCTCATCCAGGACAAACTAATTCAAACAGGGATTGTCAGGACTTCTTTGATGTCCCTCTACATAATGTGCACAATAGGCCTTCTTTGATTTTAATTTGAAGTTGTATCCCCTCAGAGCCTGTGAGCCAACATGCAAACTGACTGCATGGCTTTGCATTTCAGGATATTCTGACTATGGAGATTACTGGAGGGGAGACTATGAAGTAGATTTTCCAGAGGCATATCGATATACTCGTGACGAACTAGTTACTGATGTGGAAAAAACATTTCAACAAGTAAGATTTGGTTTCAAGGAATAAGATGCTTGGCTTGGTTCTACAGGTGCATGATTGAAGGCATCTGTTCTGAAACAGTTTAGTGGGCAAAGGAAAATGAAGTTGTACCAGATGGCCTTATCATTGACTGAATGATGCCATGCCAAGATTGTTTTCCAATATACGATTTTACAAGCCACTTGCAGTCTACCTTACATTTTACTCTTTGTTTGATTGTTTGTTTGTTTATTTATTAAAAGCTTTTGTATGCCATCCTATTATACAAGATCTTGTTTCATCCCAAGTGCTGCTTGATATAACAGTCCCTAGAACAGGGGTGTTGAACTTCAGCTGCAGGTCAGAGCTGGCCCAGCTGCAGGTCAAGTCCAGCGTTCTAGGTATTCCCAGAAGGCCATGGGCACTTTAACCTGGTCCCATCCCCTTTCCTTCAGCAATGTTTGACTGAAAGATGTTCCGCACTTCTGACCTAGAGACTTTCCTGCACACTCAGTAATCTAACGTCTTAGGAAAGCAGCAAATTTCTTGCCCCTCTGTCTTCATGTCCCGCCTGTAGGAGTCCATGAGCTGTCTGGCTGGCTACAGTTCAAAACAGAATGCCAGATTAGATGGACCTTTGAACTGATGCAATCTGGCTCTTATGTTCTTATGATGGCCCATCCCTGGTCATGGTCCAGCTGCTCCTATCATCTAGGGAATGGTTCACAGTTCGACCATATGCAAGGAAGTCAGGTCCAATGACAAAAGACAAACACTTGAGCTGGAAATGCATGAAGCTAAATAAATAACATTAATTTCCACAAACACTTTAAAAAGTCATATTCAAGATGCAAAAATTAAAATCCAATAGATTGGTAAACAAATGGGAAATCTCGTGTATATGTGGAACACACAATGTGCTTTGACCAAGAATTTCTGCTTTTCAGTGGTCTAAATATATCACTGCAATCTCAATTATAACATATGGGGTTGCATCCAGACTTAGCTATACTCATTGGTTTTCACTTGGACTTAAGCTAGGCATTTCTGAAATAACTTTCATTGATTTCAATGGATTTACTTTAAGTATGACTATATCCAAAATCAACCCATGGAAAACTTTGCCTCATTCTAGGATGATAAATGGTAATGCTGTAATATTGCTGTTACTACTTGAAAAGACTGTCACATTTCTTATTGGCATTCCCTTGCGACTCAGAACTGTGAATATGCAAATATTTTTACGTATTGTTAATTTTGTTCCTCATGCAGGCTTGATAGTTTAAGTCTTAATATCTGTGTGCATCATTGTTGTTTCATCATATTTGGCAGCTTAAGATGAAAAGTAGGGTACTAAGAAAACAAATATTTGTTGCAATCTTAATAGGTGATTAACTGAAGAAGTTGAAGTCTTAGCCAAAACACATGTGGTATTTCTCACAAGAGAGGGATTTCATGGTGATTTTTATTTTATTTCATTTTAGAGATGCATCAGGCTGCTTACTTTTCATTTTTGCGGCTATAAGAATTGTCACACGAACTTGTAAATTGTTTGTGAAATTTGTGAAGATAGATGATAGCTAGATCACCCCAGTGATAGAAAGATCACTGTTGATCTTTTGCAATGGAAATGTTGCAGTAGGGCCGTGGACCAAACAATATCCCGTCAAACATTCCATCACTAAGGGAGTAATCCTGTGTATATTCATAAAGGAAATTATTCTACAACTTCCAGTATCATCCAACCAGAAGAGTTTCCAGAAATATAGCCCACTCTAGATGGGACTTTGACTTCAAAAAAAAAAAAAAAAAAAAAAAAGGGTGTAGCAAACTTTGGTTGGAAAGTCTCAGTTACTAGCTTGGCTACATTTGCTAAAGCTCCCAAATGAGATCTGTTTGATGGCAATGAGGCCTGGAGCTGATATGCAGAAGTTATTTAGATGTCAGAGGAATATGGTCCATTACATGTTATTCCAGAATGGTGGGTGGGGATTTGGTTCTTAAATTTTCTGATGTGAAAAATGAGAGAGATCAAGTGAAACCTCTGCACCTCCACAGAACTCATCACGGAGGGAATCATTCTGGGAGAGTGAATCTGATGAAGGAAAGGCAGTGCAAAAACTGCACTTGGATCAAAGACTCCTGGGTTCAAATCTCCACTGTGCTGTTAAGCTGATTCAACAGTGCCATGTGCTAGCACTATTGATGCTGCATTAGCCAAAACCAGTGCTTATGCAATGTTCCATGAAAGTCACTGGATCTTTTCCCATATTTCATCCTAAACTACTTTCCCCTCAGTTATTGTGAGGACAATTGGACTCAGATAAGATATATTTTCAGATGGAACAAGATAGAAACACAACTTAAATAGACGACTTAAACTTCCTGATGAAAAATGTAATGGTATTCCATGCATTGTTGCTGTTTTTCAGATAGAACCTCTGTACAAAGAGCTGCATGCTTATGTAAGAGCTCATCTGCGTGAGGTCTATGGTTTTCATCTCATTGACCCAAAAGGATGTCTCCCTGCTCATTTACTTGGTATGATCTTGCAACTTGCAGAGCCATGCCTTTAAATGTATTCTACAGTGGTATCTTGGCTCACGAACCCCTCAGTTCATGACCAAAAATTCATCATGAAATTCTGGGGCTGTATGAGTTGGGCTTGGTTTTCCTTTGAAGAGAGATCACTGGATATTTAACTGAATTTTTATAACATGCTTTATGTACAAATCAATGAACAGAACAAGAATGGGAACTTGTGTCCCTCCAGATGTTGTTGGACTAAAGCACCTGTTATCTGTGACGGTTGGCCTGGGACTGATGAGTCCAGCAACATGTGGAGGACCCCATGCTGCCTATCCATGAACTAGAACAGAAGGGAAGGCAAGTAGATACTAAGGGAAGGATCCAGAGGTGCACTGCTCCTAGTGCCATTGATTCTGTGCTTGCAAAAACAAACCCTTGTGTACAGTCAATAGTTCTTGCAACATCAGCACTGATAGTAGCAGCCACACCATAGGATCCTTTCCCCTAACTCTTGCTAGGCTAAAGGTCTGTTAGCTTGTAGGTTAAGGCAACATGTGGGCTTTTTTTTTAGACTACCTTCCCCTACTTTCATCCCAGTCTGAATCAAGCCTCTTGCACCTGCAATTTGCACAGAAGAAAAATGTTCCCATTCCTTTCACTGTGGAAATAATTTATAGTGGAAGAAAAGAATTCTGCAATAGTTTTTTTGAGATTACAATGACTCAATAGAGCTGTTCGCAGTGGAAGACATCAGATATTATTCATTTTATATGTATTTGTAATTATTTTTTTTCTGTTGAAGGTGACATGTGGGGCAGATTTTGGACAAATTTATACCCTCTAATGATTCCCTATCCAAATAAGCCAAACATCGATGTATCTTCTGCAATGGTGCAAAAGGTAGGACATGCGCTTGGGTACAAAATGTCAACAAGATATCCTAAAATACCTTGTTGTAGCTTATTTACATGAATGTTTATTATGCTCTTCAGCCCTGTGTTTGATCTCATGATAATTTTATCAGTATACCACAATTGACTGTTATTTCACATATACTAATAGAGAGCTCAGCTCTCTGCGTGTTGTGCCCATTTGGATATATAAGCCACAACTCACGCAAAAGAGGGAGGTATGCCAAGATTGGCAGATCTGCAAAACAGCCAATTAAAGGCTGAGTGTGTTCAGTGGCCACAGAATGCTGTGTGTGTGTGGGGGGTGGAGGTTGTGGGGGGGAGGGCAGAAAACTGGGTGGGAGGAAGACTGGAATTGAGCATTCGAAAGAGGAGCAGTTCATACTGCAACATTTTGCTGCAAGTCCCACTTTATTTTACCCATCATTTCTTACATTTTTAGGCCACTCAATGACTAGAGCTATCCAGGCACATAACTTGTGGAATTTTCCTCTATGGCTGGGCATGACAGCTCATAATTTTATTTTAAAAGCGGATGGCTAAGCCGATCATATATAGCTGATGTCATCTTATTAATACATTTCTCCTCCATCCTTATTAATGCATTTCTCATTTGCTGCCTGCCTTCTTCTAAGGAGTAATCAATCAGCAGTTTCTGCCCTACAATTCAGTAGAACATTTTACCCATGATCTCATTTCTTTATATTACTGTTTCCTTTTATTCTGCAGACATAGGTTGGATTCTTTGAGGAACTTTTTGGAAAAGTCACGAACATTCCCCGGTTACGTTACATAGGCACAGATGCTCTCTTCCATAAAGCAGCAGCGAGCAGCGGGTGGCCCACAGACTGCCTGTGTCTCCCCATTCTTTCTGTAGCCCCCACCAGCCCGCACTTCTGCTGCCCCAGGGCTGAATTCCATTGCAAAGCATGCTCTCCTGTTACCTGACGCAGAAGGGCACATGTGCCCCAACATCACATCCCCACCCCGTTTCCTTGTTGTACATGCCCCTTCCCTTTACATTTGTTTACACAATGGTAGCAAATATAAGGTGGAAGTGGCAGGGTAGGAAAAAAAATCAATGATTTTAAAATTTAAACCAGATTTTTAAAAATAAAATGCTTTTTGAGGAAGAATTGATCTAAAGATAACTTGTCTTTTTAAGATACCTTATTATAGCCAAAGGGTTATTCATTGTGAAATAAGAATGAACTCTTATTTATGTTGCATGAGGCTGTATATTCATTCAATGTTTAAATCTGTTGGTAAATGAATTCCATTAACTCATTCCCAATGTCATGGTTTTCCAGAGGTTTCTGTAATAGTATTGGCATTTTTTCTGTCTAGAAGATATTATTACAGATGTTTGGTTTTACATTTGTCAAAACTGTGGCTTTGTGTCTGCAGAGAATGCATGTGTCCTCTTCACAGCAAAAATGGTATAAAATACACAGTTGAGAAAAAGACCTTAATCCCATTGTTCCTTTGCAAATCTGTGTACATGGAATCAACACCTCACCTCTTAAGTGCTAGGTTTCAAAAAATTCTATGAATAGAAGAAGATTGTTGGGAGTGGAAGAAATCTGCATAAGAAGCTAAGTGTGAGGAGGGAGGAGCAAGCAGTAAAAATGAAAAAGAATCCTTTCGAACCTAATATTCCACAAGTCTTTGGATCTTTATGGGTATAGCCTGAGGTATCATATTCATCTCTCCCTGGAAGAGAAACCTATAATGGCAGCAGGCTGTAAAAGAGACCCAGTTTGAGAATATTTTAATGGCGTTCCACTGCCTTTGGGTAAGGCAGGAATGTGTGCAAATTATGTCAAAAACCATTACTGACTGGTGATTTAGACAAGGGCCAGCAGCTGCTTCAACAACCCCACCATCTTCTCCTTCAGTGCTGTCATGCCCCTTCTGGAAGAATCTTCCAACAAGCTAGAGTGCCAGGGAAGGATGATGGAGAATTGGGGGAGCTTGGCCTTCAGCCAGAGGACCAGGTTAAGCTTTGCTTAACCGCAGTTGCCCACAGTCTGAAAAAGTTAAATGGAAATGAATTCACAATTGAAATGGTACGCTGTTCTGAGTCACTTGTTGAAATCTCATTTGTTTCCACCTGAAGAATTAATCATCCCTTTGTCCAATGTATCCACGCTGTAGACACTGCCCAGCTGTTAATCACTTCTATTATAATAATTCTTCAGCTTTATTAGTAGCTATTGTTTGTAATGTCTTATTATGCCTACTTTATAAATTAAACTTTATCATAGGTACATTCAGCATATACAGTATATACAGCTGAATGTACCTGTGATAAAGTACATTATTTGATTTATCTATCAATTTGAAATATTTATAATAATAGTAATATTATGTAGTAATAATCGTAGTAATATTATGTAGTAATAGTAGTAGTAATATTATGTAGTAATATTATGATTACTACTATTACTAACAAAATATATGGTACAGTCAACTCTGACAGTCCAGTTGTTTAAAAAATGCCCATTAATACTGAATTCCTGTCTTTCAGAACTGGAATGTAACTATGATATTTAAGGCTGCTGAGCAATTTTTTTCTTCAGTTGGACTCTTTAACATGACTGCGGACTTTTGGACCAAATCTATGCTTGAGGAACCTAATGATGGCAGAAAAGTGGTTTGTCACCCAACTGCTTGGGATATGGGGAAAAAAGACTACAGGTACTGAAAACACTAAGGCTGATTTTTTTTTTAAATTTCCATGTAATATTTGCATAGGCTAAATGAAACAGAAAACAAACATTGGTACAAAAGGCAATTGGTATTCGTAACATAAGTATTGTTCAAATAAAGGGCAAGGGGAAATAGACAAAGTGTGGTAATTTTAAGGACAACTGGTTTAAATTGGTTTATAGAATCTTGTGGTTAATTTTATAGTGCCTGAAATACATCTGCATTTTATTTATTTATTTATTTATTTATTTATTGAACTTCTATGCTGTCCCATTTGCCGAAGCCTCGGGGCGGCTCACAAACATAAATAAATAACATCCTATAAAACAATATAAATTAAGTCGCCCTGGCCAAAGAATAAAATAAATAAATAATATTAACAATTAAAATAATGTTTGAATAAAAAGGTCTTCGCCTGGCGCCAAAAAACAAATAACAACGCTGCCAGGCAGACCTCTCTGGGGAGCGCATTCCATAGATTGGACACCACCACTGAGAAAGCCCTCCTCCGAGTACTTACCCTCCTAATTTCCTTCATGGAGGGTTCCCGGAGAAGGGCCTCTCCCACTGATCTCAAGGGGCGGGTGGGCATATATGGACGTAAGCGCTCCTTCAGGTAACCAGGACCCAAGCCGTTAAGGGCTTTATAGGTCATCACCAACACCTTGAATTGGGTCCAGACTTCAATGGGAAGCCAGTGAAGCTGATGGAGAACTGGAGTCATGTGAACATAACGCCCAGTCCCCGTCAGCAGCCTGGCAGCTCTATTTTGAACCAATTGAAGTATCTGGACCGTCTTCAAGGGCAGCCCCATGTAGAGCGCGTTACAGAAGTCAAGTCGGGAAGTCACCAATGCGTGTGTCACTTTCGCCAGGCAGTCGTTCTCCAGGTAGGGGCGCAGCTGATGGATCAGCCGAAGCTGAAAGGAAGCGCTCCTCGCCACCGCTGTCACCTGAGCTTCCAGTGAAAGCTCTGGGTCGAGGAGCACTCCCAAGCTGCGGACCTTGTCCCTAAGAGGGAGTGCAACACCATTCAGGACTAGGTTCAATTCACCTTCCCTGAAGCCCGATCCGCCATTTTGAGATTAATTGAATGCCATTTGGGGTTTTTCCTCCTACTGTTCTTTAAACTGGAAGATGCTTCCATGCTGTGAAGGTGTACAATGAAAAAGAAGCTGAAATAAATTCAAAATAAAATCAAATTATAAAAGAGTAGATGATTTAAATGGATACTTGGGTCTTCTGGATAGCCATGATCAAAGCAAGTTTGCCATACTCTGCTTAAAATGCGTTTCTGTGTAGGATCAAGATGTGCACAAAAGTGAACATGGATGACTTCCTAACAGCACACCATGAGATGGGCCATATTGAATATGATATGGCCTATTCCGACCTTCCTATCTTGCTAAGAGGTGGTGCCAACGAAGGGTTCCATGAAGCTGTGGGAGAGATCATGTCACTTTCTGCAGCCACTCCAAAGCACCTGAAAAGCCTTGGCCTTCTGGAGCCTAACTTTCAAGAAGACAATGGTCAGTTGCTATCCTACATTAATGCTGGAAATTCTCCACAATTTCTCTGCAATTGTGGAGGTGCAAGGTATTCAGGGTAGAAATTGTGATTCTAGAATATTGAGTGAAAAATTGTAACAAAAGATTTCCAAGAGAAAGTGTATGATTGCAAATCTTTTCTAATACAGGTTAGTCAGACTCATGCATAGTTTAGACTTTAGTAAATGATTAATGTCACCATCTTTTTGTCATCTTTTATCTTTTCCTTTGTTCTCTTTTAAGTATAGATGAAGGATTTGTCTTGTTCATCAATCATAGAAACAATGGTCCTTACTTTGTAGGTTTCCAATAGTAACAAAAGTTAATCTTCTTCTTTTCCAGAAACGGATATCAACTTCCTTCTCAAACAGGCCCTCACCATTGTTGGAACAATGCCTTTCACGTACATGCTGGAGAAGTGGCGGTGGATGATGTTTTCCGGGGAAATCCCAAAGGAGCAATGGATGCAGAAATGGTGGCAGATGAAGTACGTGTCTTTTAAATGGTTCTTTTGCAAGCATGGTCCGTGATTTTATTTATTTTTTATATCTGAATTACTGCCAGAATCAGTGATGGTATGGAAGAGTGTCAAAATGCTTCTAAGTACTCACTAGCTTTTTCTCATTCATACTTCATGGCTATTTGCCAAAAGATGCTCTTTAATACTGCAATGAGTCATGCTGCCCTGTGTTTCAGATAGGGCTATTGTGAGAATTTGAATGTATTCAATGGAGGAGAGCCAACTGAGCAGGCTGTTCACAACTCTGCAAGTGCACAGCATCATTTCTGTTCTTCCCTTTTGGCACCTTTCCCAAGGACCACCCCTCCTGCCTTACCCTGGGGAAAGAGGTGGTGAGAAAGGAGAGTGCTCCTAAAGATGCATGGAGTGTCTTTTTCTGCTGGGGAATGGGACATGACCACAACTGTCAGAATTCCCCACAGAAGGGGCAGGAGGAGTCTGCATGCATAATTTCCCATGGAGAAGATGGATCTTGGCAGGATATGACCAGGATTCCCTTTCATAGAAAAAGTGCTGTGTAGGTTTATAGCCTTGGGGAACAGGGGGATAAAGCTTTATGGGAAGGGGCTTGAAAAGTTTCCAAACACAACATTTGAACAGCCCCTTGAGGTTGATTTGATTACAACGTTCCAAGGGACCTGGAGAAGTTTCAAAAGAGCATAAGAGCATCCATGCCAGATCAGACTGAAGCCTATGGAGGGCAGCGTTCTATTGTTCACACTGTGGGCAACTACAGGAGACCTCTAAGTAGCACGTGTGCAATGATGCGATGCACATCCAAACACATGCTGCCCAGCATTGACGTACATTGCCATACTGTGTCTAAGAACTGAGATAGCACATAGCTATCTGGGTGAATAGCTCCAGTCTTCTTTAAAGCCACCCAGCTTGGTGGCCCTCACTCCATTTTGCAGCAGATTCCATACTTCGATTATATGTTGTGTGAAGAAATACTTCTGTCCTGAAGCTCCCGCCAATCAGCTTCATAGGATGACCCCCATTCTTTCATTATGAGAGCAGGAAAAAATGCCAATCCATTTTCTCCAAATCATGCAGATTTTTCTACAATTTTATCATGTCACCCTTCACTCAACTTTTTCCTAAGCTGAACTTTTGAGGCAAGCAGGAAGGTAACCGCCCATCCTTAGTTCAGGCCACATGTGACTGCTCCTCAATGGTGCTTGCACTAATTTTCAAGATCTACTCCTTGGTTCAGATGCAATCTTTGTCATACTTAGGGAAGTCCCATCGAAATCAATGGAGCTAGAGTTATTTGTGACCAAATGAAGCCCCATTCATTTCAATGGGACTTTTCTATGTAACCCAAAGCATACTTCCTCATATAAAATGACCAGATGGGCCTACACACTAGGCACGCATGCTAAAGATATATTTTCTATGTAAAAGTGACTTCCCGTTTGGATAATCACAAAAAATGTTTGAATAATACACTGTTTTTAATTGAGAGTGTGCCTTTAAACCTAGCTTCCTTCTCAAAGGCTAATGGAAACTCTTGGTCTTCCTTTTCTCTGCAGGAGAGATATAGTTGGTGTTGTGGAACCATTGCCCCATGATGAGACATACTGTGATCCTGCAGCTCTTTTCCATGTAGCAAATGACTACTCATTCATAAGGTGTGTCAGGTGGACACCACCATTACATCACTCTTAGCCAACAATCTTTCTTGTTAAAAGGATTTTTGTTACCTTTGCATAGTCATTCTATTGGCATACAAGTGGTCCCAAAGTTTGCAGACTGTCACACTGATTACCCCATCAGAAAAGCATAAAACCCACAAAGACAACACTGTTTTCAGTTTCATTTGCTTGCTTCCAAGCAGTGTGTTTCCACAGATAATCCATCTGTCATTAGACACCTGCCCACTCCATTCCTTCAATTCAATTTGTCGATTGTTTGCTTCAGTTAGAAGCCCCAAGTGTTTGCATGCCGGAGTGATTCCGTTGTGGCCATGATGCATGACCTTGATTCATTTTTGTCTTGAGGCTGCCTTTGTTTGTGAGTCAGCATTATAGAATGTGTTGGACCATCCCAGTCCATTGAGTGGTGAGGTGTCAGGGGTTCCGGTCAGTGGGTTTCCTGCAAATGAGATCACGGAAGATTGTGCTATTTGCACAGATTTACAATATTCTGTCTGAACATAAAGGAGGTTCACAGCGTTAGCACACCAACACAGACTGCTTCCTCTTCATGTTTCTAGGGGAACTGCCAGCACCATGGTTTTCCTGCAGAGAACAGTTCACCTCTCTGGGCCTCTACCAGCCCTACTCAAAGGAAACTGCAAGCCAGTTCTTTTGTTCCCTGCTTACCAACAGTTCTGACTCTCCCTGTTAAGTGGGTGGCTGAGGGATAAGGATAAGCCATGTCCATCTACATCTTCTTGGGGCCCGTTAGAAGTCAGAAGGGGCCTCCTGGGCAATCTAGTCTGACCCCTGGCTCCAGGTGACTCTACTCATCACATGCCTGCCATGTGCATGTCCAGCCTATCCTTGAACTCCCTCACCGATGGGGCTTCAACCACCTCCCATGGAAACCCATTCCATACCCTTAGGGTCCTGTCAGGAAGTTCTTCCTGGCATCTAACTTGAACCTTGGTTCCTTGAGCTTTTATCCACATCCTGTCCTCCTCTGCATGGAAAAACAGGTCTCTACCCACCTCCATGTGACACCCCCTTGCATACCTATATGCTGCCAACAGATCCCCTTGGAGTTTCCTCTTCTCCAGGCTGAAAAGACCCAGATCCCTCAGTCTCTCCTCATATGGCTTACCCTGCAAACCAGCCACCATTGTTGTGGCTCTTCATTGCACCAATTCCAACCTGGATATATCTCTTGATCTAGAAGCCACGCTTCTGGCTATGCATCCTAGGGTGGCATTCGCTCTGCTGACTCATGTTTAGTCTGCAGTCAACCAGCATCCTGAGGTTAAGCACAGATTTAAGCACAGAATTCTGACAGGAAACACGTTAAACAATAAAATGACACTGATTGCTTTGGCAGAGAGAAAGGATTGGTTTGCCATGAAGGAGTGAAAGAATGATACGTGGTTTGGTGCTACAAATAAAAACCTAAAAAAAATTAAAAAGTTATTTTACATAAATGCTGTTGACCTGCTAAAATGTTGAAATCTCAGTCTCTGTATTCTTATGTTATTTAAGATATTTTTGGATCAAGCAGTCCACATTTTTGAGATACAATATAATGCTCATTAATAAAAGAGGCAATAGACTGGCTAAAAGCTGGTGATCTTCAGAAAGCCTGACAAAGTGGTCAGATCAAGACCAGGCAATTACAACAATCCATTAATACAGTAGAATCATTTCCATTCAGGACACTTTATACTGAATCTGGTCTATCCAATTCAACCATTTGAATGACTTACAGCAACATTCTGTGCCAGGAATAAAAAGACAATAAAGCAGATGGATAAGATTAATATGCTAATGTTGGTTCTATGGTACGATTATTTGTTTTCCCTTTGCTAAACCCTAGGGGTTTCTCAGTATTGTAACAAGTGAAGTAGATTTATGCTCCTCCACCCTTTCTCTCCCCTGTCTCTAGATATTACACAAGGACCATATTCCAATTCCAGTTTCAAGAGGCACTTTGCGAAGCTGCTGGACACAAAGGCGCACTTTTCAAATGTGACATTTCTAATTCCAAAGAAGCTGGTCTCAAGTTGCGGTAATGAAATATTGTTTGACCCTCCAATACAATCTGATTTGCTACAGTAAAATTCATCTTGGCATAGTCACCTGCGCAGGTGAATGTGCCATCTGCTTTCATTCAAAGCTTGGCCTCCATCTCTTTGTGTGAAGTGAAGTCAGAAGAGTTCAACCTTCATTAGAGAAGTGGCAGGAGAGAAGGCACCAGCACATCTTCCTCATCTACCACTTTCCCCTCTAATCTCTCCAAGCAGCTCCCCAAGCTCCAAACATTTGCTTCTATTGTGAACACAGGTCTGGGCTATGGGAAATCAGGGCTCAGGGAAAAGCAGCTGCAAACCTCCCTTGCGGACCTCCAGGTCTCTCAGCCTCTCAGGAACACTGGCAGTCTTCTTTTAATTCCTCTCTCTAGAAAGGGGGTGTTCAATCACAGGCTAACAACCCAACTCTGGTCTATCTGGGAGCCCGGACAGTGCTCTGGCTTTCCTTAGAAGATCACATCCTCTCCCCTTTCTCTTGATTACGGTCAAAGGGTTCTTCCTGCTCCTTCTCCTTGAGGCCCCCTGCCTGGCAGTAAGAGTCTTCAGCCAAAATGAGCTTGCATCTCAGCCCTGCCCCTTTGGAATCAGCCCCATCCACCACTGGATTGCTTCAAAGAATTGTGCAATAGTAGAGTTGGAGGGGGCCAAGAAGGCCATTGGGTCCAACCCCCTGCTGCTGCAGGACACCTCCCTGCACCACCCTTCAAGAGCTTTTCCAAGATAGAATTTGGCACTCAGACTGTAGGCATCTGACACCCCTGTACTAAGGCCACACAAAGTCAACAGATTTAAACAACTCCATGTTTAAATAAAATAACTGGATTTACTTTTCCTATCCAGCCAAACATCTCAACAAACTGTCACCTAGTGGTCTGTGTACTCTTACAAATGTAAGATGCTTGCAAAGGGTTGCCTTTGAAGTTGGTCTGTTTGGTTTGTGCTTAATTGGCTGCCTGTTTCTTTTATGCACAGGAACATGCTTGCTTTAGGGAGGTCAGAGCCTTGGACCAAAGCTTTAGAAATAATGACAGGAGAGAAGAAGATGAATGCAACACCATTGCTCCACTACTTCGAGCCCTTGCGTTTGTGGCTTGTACAGAACAACAAGGCCAACAACAGAACCGCTGGTTGGGATACAACCTGGTCTCCATGTAAGTACTCATTATGTTGTATGATTTGACGTATGACCAGAACTAGTTCTTGTCTGGACTGTTTGTTCCATTGATACTATTGGTAGAGTCAACCTTCTGCAACCTATTGCTATGGTAGTAGTCACTCTGATTTCAGCTGCTGGAACTGATCGTTGTGCCCCTGTCAGTGGTTGACCTAAATGGAAATAATATAAACACCATGATGAGCCATCAGTTTTTTTCCTCCCATTTGCCCTTTCTCCTGCTTTTTTGCAAACATGTGTACTTGCACACTTGAATAAGATCAAGCCCATGCTACTACTACTATTATTATTATTATGTATTATGGCTATCTATTACGTCCCATATCAGAAGCGTTATGTCTCTGTATAGGGAGTGTGAGCTGCTTGATGTTGGATTTGTGTTCTATTTGTGGGTTTCCCTGTGGCATCTAGTTGGCCTTTGGTCTGATCCACCGTGGCTATTCTTATGTTCCCAGACGGTCATTGTTGGAGGAGGAAAGGTAGGCGAGTGACATATCACAACTTAGGCGTCCATCACTAGACTCAAACACACAGCTACAACATCAGCTGTCACAGTGCATGTGGGTTGGACACAGGCTACTAAATGCAGGCCGCTTTCTTGGGATTGGTCATGCAGCATGTTATGGAATTGAGTTTGAAATTTTGTGTTAAGATTGGTTTTTATTTTTGCCTCTCATCTAGACCGTAAGGATGCAGTCAAAGTCAGGATCAGCCTGAAACAAGCCCTGGGAGAAAATTCAGTGAGTAGACTGACACAAGAGAACCCTACTTTGTTTTCTAAAACAACATGAAACTACATAACTGTGCATAGTAGCTTTGAAGTAATTCCCACTACATTCGGGGTTATCTCTTAGGAAGTGGGTATAGGATTGGCCCCCGAACCATAATCAAGTTCTTTTTCAAAATAAATATCTATGTATGTTATCAGATTTCAAACTGCAGCTGCAACATACATAAGACTGTGTCAGTTACACTTGCTACCTATCGCTCCATCTGTTTCTATGTATATCTAGAAGAATGTGCTAATAACATGCCACTGAGGAGGCAGACAGGAAAACAAATCCTGATGCTTGCCCAGATGTGAAGCCAGCCCAGCATTCCAGGCTACTTAGGGCCAAGCAGACATTACCTATGTGGACTGCGGACCTTGATGCGGCACAGGATTTTTTTTTCACCCTCTCCTCCCCATTATGAGTCCAAGATTGCACCTGCAGTCTGGGAACAAAGCAGACCTTACTTTATGTCTGACTAACAGCTGTAAAAATTTCATTTTTACATTAGAATAGGGATCTGCAAAGCTGAGTCTTGCCAAAGTTTTCTGAATTCCATCTTAAAGTATGTTCCAGCTTTCAGATTATGAGCTTTTCATGCATTTTTTCCAAATGTACACATTGTGTTCATCTTTGACATAGACACATTCTCTTCTCATTGATTAATCTGTATTTGCATGTATTTCGCCAAAATATGCAGATTGATGTGCACTTTCAATTGTGCGCATGCTATCCAATACCTTTTTTGGTCTGCAAATCATATTGCAAGCTCTAAAATATATTGACTCCAACTGCAGATCATGCTCAAGTGTACATTTGGTTTAGAAGGTGCAAACTGCATAAATTCCATTAAAAATGAATTTCTTATACATGCTTACTTTAGAGTACACACAGGACAATTCATATCTTAAAAGCCCCTCTGTTCCTCTGTCATATGCTGGGGTCCTGTTCCAGATCCAGGGTTCATGACTAGAGTGGATTAAAAAGGGGGCAGTGGGGAGATATTGCTGCTGGACCCACATTTAAAAGAAGGCCTGTTTGGGTCCTTGTGTGCCAAAGAGCGAAACATTCATGCAGGCATGGACAATTCACAGGGTGCATGTGACCCCCAAGGCTATTTAGTCCCCTGCTCTTGCACTTCTGCTTCTGCCACATGTGCAGCAATAGTGGGGAGAACCCCATGGCAATTTTGCTAGGGATCAAGGTGAGTGGAAAGTGTGCACCTTCTCTGCAAGCAGATTCTGCTCCTGGAAGTCTCCGCGGAGTCCAGTTCAGCTTGCAAATAGAGCACATGTTTCCTATAAACCATGCTTCATTGGAAAATTGCCATGGCAGTTCAGCACTGGTGGCAGTTCTGCTCTGGCATGGGCGGCGTCAGTGGAGGGAACAATTTGTGACTGACCTCTGTAAATTGCCCACCCCTGCATAAGAGCAATAGGTCGCTATTTTGCAATATAAATTGCAGACATTAGGCGTGGAACAAGAACTGGACTTAGTCCATTCTGGGGAGATCCTGATCCAGGCTGGGGCAGCTACACTTACTTCGAAGTGAAAACAAAAGACATAGCTGCTAGCTGCATTTTAACAGAATCTTGCCTTTGGCCCTGAGAGGTTTCTCAATGAAGGCACAAATCAAGGGAGGACAATTTAGAAGGGGCATCAAACTGTTAGCTTAAGAGCAGTGTGAATTATTTAGACACCATCCAAGTAGCAAACAAGTATTAACTCATAATGGCTTCATTCTGAAGAAAGAAACTTGGAAGTGGAGTGAGGGGTGAGAAGCAGACAGAAAGCAGTAAGCAAGTGTCAAAAACCATGCGCAGAAATGAGTGAGTAGTGCCAGCTAGTGGAGAGCGCGATTCTTGTCTCACCTCTTATCCCTCTTTCCAGTATTGCACAAGGCCAACAGGCCCATTCTGCTTCAAATTTATAGACCTGTCAACAAACAAAGGTGCAGTTCCAACAACTTACCTGCATAATTCATCTCCGTTTCCGCTCCCCAGAACAAACAGAGACTGTGTTAGTTTAACTACATGCTAAGGCTCTGAACTGTGACAGGCAGGCTGGGGAAGGGCTCTGAAGAGCTGGCAGGGTAAGTGGTGTCTCCTTGGATAGTGATGCAGGCTAGATCTGTTTACAATAGCAGAGGAAAAACTTGCTGAGTCAGCTTCCAGGATTGTACCTGAAATCAATCGTGTGCTCAAAGGGAGCCTTGTGGCTAATGATCCAGGATAAAAATCTAACAAAGTTATGGGAAATCAAAGTATGCCTAGCTCTTAACTGATGAGGTGCATATGATTACTTATACAGTCTGCTTTGAAAGTGCCTCTAGGCAACTGTGTCTGAGAATGCAGCCTTCAGTCTGACTGTCCTTTTGAATTCACAGTACACATGGGGCGAAGATGACATGTTTTTATTCAAGGCCACCATCGCCTATGCCATGAGGAAGTACATGTCAGAGACCTATAATAAAACAGTGCCATTTCAGTAAGCACTTCCCTTCTTTACCTTTGCTGCAGTGTGTCGCTATACAGAACTTGAGAGCGCCGTTATCATTGCATTGCATTTCTGTTCTGCCTTTCTTCCTCTTGGAAGGATCCCGAGTGGCTTACCAGGTTCTCCCCTCCTCTCCTCCACTTTATCCTCATAACAACAACCCTGTGAAGTAGGCCTGGTTGAGAGTCTGACCCAAAGCCACCCATTGAGCTCCATAGTGAAGAGAGGGCTAGAACCTCAGTCTTCCAAGTCCCAGCCCAACACTCTAGCTACTACACCCCACTGGCTCTTTGAAGCATTTTAGCAGGGTGTTTATGGGGGGTTTTTTTAACAGTGTGATCACATCCCATTTTTAAAATAAGAAGCCACACATCTCTGTCCCCCCACAGGATAATAATTTAACAAAGGGGAAGTCCATGTAGGCGGATACCCCTCCTCCACCGTTCCATCCCCTAAGAGCTAAGACAGCCTGGTCTGCTACGTTTGAACTGTTGTTCTCTATTAACTTCTTGGTGCTCGTGGGCCAGTGCAGGGGGAAAGAAGTGCGGCAGCACATGTGCCTTGCATGCAAAGCCCCCACCAGGGTCAATCACGGGCATCTCCAAGTAGGGAATTCCAGGGGTTGGGTTCAGACAGCATGATAAGGCACACTCAAAGACCGAGGATGAGTCAAAAGTGAACGACCCATGATTAGTTGTTCAGTTGTGAATTGTGGGTTATTTCCCATGGGTGGGCTGTTGTTTTTTAATATAGTTTGGCTGGGTTAGAAAAAAGGATGATAATTGAGTGGTTGCCCTTAAACAAGCAATTCAGGGCACGGCACTCAGTAAATAACTCCACACAGGTTTAACTCATTGCCACATATTGCAATAACAATATGAACCCAGCCTTGAGTTTCTCAACGAACCAGCCCCTGTATCTTTGACGCTACAGAAAGAACTGGGTTTGGGCAGCTAGCTTATTGAACATCTTTGCCAAGGCATACTCTGTATGTGAAGCAACGCATTAGTCAGTGTGTACAATGCATGTATTCTATGGAGATCTTGATAGCTTATGTGGAAATAATGTTCTGATTATATTATGACTTCTACTAAAGACATTTTCCCCCCCACCAGGACAAACGATGTCTATGTAAATAATGTGACACAAAGGATCTCTTTCTATTTGACAGTCAGCATGCCTAATAATGTATCAGATTTGGTTCCTAGAAAAGATGTGGAAGCTGCAATCACGTAAGTTCTTTTTTCCTATTGCAAGCAAATAGTATGCGAGCAAGATGATCTGTGTGAGAGTGAAGAAGCTGGCATATTAATGATATGCAGCAGGAGGTGACCTGCCATTTATGCCTTGCTTACAGGCAATAACTTACCATGGGATAATCAAACATGTGCTTAGATTTCTCAGATTGAAATCAAGAGTATTTGGTAACTGGTTGCAAAATGCTTAGAATTGCATACAAATAAAAATTTCTTTCCATGAAGCACACACCATGGTGTATTTGTTGATTGTTTAACCACTTCAGGCAGCATGATAATGACTCATAACATTATAGTAAGCAGAATTCTTGCAAAGCCTGTTTTTATTGTGAGATTGTCTTGCTATTAGAAGAAAACATTGTCGGATATTACCTATCTTGGACAAAGAATTCTAAGACCCATCCGTGATTCTGTTCAGTGGTAATGGAAAACTGGCTTGTATTGACTATAAACTTTTGTTCCGCAGAAATTCGGCTGTCAGCTTCATAAGCTCATTCTTACGGCAGCAGGCTTAGCATCTAGGGCTTTCCTCTGAGGTGGCTCCATGGGCAGCAACAAGAGGAAGGGCTTTCTTTGGAGTCTCCCCTCTCCATCTATAGAATGACCTCCCCACTGTGACCTGCCTGCGTCTACTCTTGTCATGTTTTCAGCACCAGCTTCAGATGGCCCTTTCTGCCAAGGTTTAAGAATACACTGGAATATTCCAGGGCTTGAGTGAATTATCAGCTGCAGATGTTCTGTATAAGTGCATTTGCTGTTTAAGCCGCTCTTAATTTTGTTTAAAATGTTTGTGTTTGATCAAAATGGGTAGTATAGCAATGAAATCATCTGCTGCTTGTCATGTGTCTGCACATTCAAAAATAGCAGTAAACTACTATTAGCACAAGCTGTAGTCCCGAGACCAGTTTCCAGCTGTGATTTCTACAATCCTTTGTCCACAACTAACTATGGTTTTGTGAGTATACACTTATTCAGATATAAATTGGAACCATGATTTAGTGAACAAATCATGGATCATTCCATCTAAATCCAACCTATAAATCAGAAGATAGAGCTAAACAGATAATTCTGATAAGAAATATGAAAATCATTTAGAGATAATACATGAATAATAAAAACTTGGGATCCATGTCACTTTATACTGCATATGCAAAGTGTGATGCCAGGGTTTATCTTATGGCAAATGCAAGGATCAGGAAACCAATGCAGTAGTTGCACATTCCATTTATTCATGATAAAATGAGCACCAGGTAATTCATGCAACAAAATTATAGTGCTTCTCTGTTTAGTCTCCCTTATATCATAATCTGTATATCTACTCAGAAGTCCTACTGAGTTCAACAGGATGAACTTCCAGTAAGTTGTGCTGGGAGTCCTATTTATCTTAATGAGATTAACTTATGCACAAGTATGCTTAGTTGGAAAGGAAAACTCAGCAAGACAAAATCAGAAAATGTGACTTTTAGACCCAATCTGTTTAAAGATGAGAGCTAGTGAGAATATCAGGGAAGATAATGAGGAATAGTCCATTCACAAGAAGCATTTTAATATCAAGCATTAGACAGATTAATGAAGCATAAAAGATAACCCTTAAGTAGCATCAAATTTGGAAATCAAAGAGAGAATGAGAAAGAAGACAGAAACTAATTATAGGAGCAAAAAGATAGCATGTAAGCCATACCATTAAAATACTTCCCTCTTTACATACTAGGTGTTTTCATATCAAAGCTGCACCACTGGGTAGAATTCCATGAAACATTTTAGCAGAAAAGTAGGATATTTTTCTAAGGCTTCTCCCGTGCTCACTATGTTCGCAGAATGTCTCGGGGACGCATTAATGAAGTTTTTGGCTTGAATGACCAAACTCTGGAATTTGTGGGCATCTCCCCAACATTGGCGCCACCTTATGAGCCGCCTGTCACCGTGTGGCTAATACTCTTTGGAATCGTCATAGGCCTTGTAGTGGTTGGAACCATTGTCTTGATCATCATCGGGGTGAGAGACCGAAGAAGGTAAGTGATATTTGATAGAACTTGTACCCTCTTAAATGAACACAGGCTCATTTTGTGCAACATAAGAGAGAAATGTTAAGACAACACACTTTTGATCTTCTCTTCCACAAAGCAAACTCCATCATTTTCTCTTCACATGCATCAGTTGGGTGTCTATGCAATCCCTTTCAGTAGCGGTGTTACTGAACTGAATAAACCCTACACTTCAGTTTGTCAGCACACAAACACAAAAGATCAAGTTCAGCCTTACCAGACAAGGATAATGTTTGCCTTTTGTTATGCTTGAACCTGTTCTTGGCCATGAAACAGTTAAACGCCAACATTAATTTATTGTTTTTCTTGTAGGAGAAGGGCAGCAGAAAATGATTTAGTCCCAACAACCAACCCCAATCCTTATAAGAATGAGGGAGAAAACAATTCAACATTTCTGAATGATGAAGATACCTCAGCGTTTTAGAAAATGAAAAAGAATCCAATTGACATTTCTTATTTATCACTGTATGCCATTTCCAACAGCATGATACTGGATGGGTCCCGAGAATGAAGATAGTGTTGAACATAAAGTGCGCTGCTGGAACATTTCTGTGTACCTGTGTGACCTTATGAAGGACCATGTGTATGCATGCTAACACCTGGTGGCACCCATTGCCTGCTTTCAGCAGAGGAGCCCTGAACCCAAAGAGTCACCCATCTGTGCTCAAGAGGGAGGAGCGGGGCTGGATTGAGTCCCTCCCAAGTGGCTAATCCTCCCATCTAAATGCTGAGTAACCCATTGCCTATTCAAGGCTGCTCACGGGGGCTTTGGTCTAGTATTAGGAACCACACAGACCATCTTGGACGCTATAGAAATTTGGCCCTGGCAACCATGACTGCATCATTTGTTGTTTAGTATAGCATGTCTGCCTGGGAATCTATACTGTTAGGACCAGACTAAGTGCAATCCTGGAGATCAGTAACAAGATCTCTTGTCTCCATTTTTTGTTAACATTTGTGAAGGTTTTGTCTGTTTACAGATTTTTGCAGATTACTGGCTTTGGCTTAGGAGTTAAGAAAAACTTTTTTGCCCATGGGTTTTGCCCTGAGGATAATCACCCACTACCCCACCACGCTGTTAGGGAAAAATAAGGGTGTTACTTACAAAGATACAAAGAGTGGAAAATTTATTGACATATTTATAACAGCCTGCCATTTATTCCGGTACATTTAATTTATGTGCCTAACTATAAGCTCTTGTTTTCAATAGCCCTTGCTGAATATTATCACACTGAAAGCTGATACTTAAATATTTTTGTGATATAAGGGAGTTGCATGTGATCATTTAATGTAAGACAACCAGCTCATCACCAATTTTGAAATGCCAACACCCTTTCAAAATAATTAACCATTCAATAGAGCCAGTTATGTATAAACCTTGATATCCTCTTTGGTGGCTTTATTTCTAGACTGTAAACCTCTTCCTTCTCTTGGTCTAATATCTACAGCAGCACAAGGAGAGTTGAAAAAACAGGTTGAAATATTCAAACTCTTTCCTCCACTGTTAAAAAAGTCTAAAGAACTAAGGAACACTTTCCAAGGACTTTATCAGGAGCAACTGCCAGACTGAGTAGAACTAGGGCAATTCTGCAGCGATATTTGCACGGATGGTAGTAACCATTTAACTCCCCAAAATATCTTCAGAAGCTTCTGTTGTAATTGAGGGGAGGGGGAATAAGCACATGGTCAGCATTTGGAGAATGGGCAGCTGACTGGCACAGGCACCCAAACTCAGGCAGCTAGACTACAGTCCAAACTCCAATCCAAATCTCAGCCAACCGTCCAAGTTCAGTGCCAGGAACAGAAGAGCAAGGTAAGTCCAGTCCAAGAGGCAAAAGCACAGTCAAGCAAGCCAGGAGTCAGGAAACTAAGGAACAGGGCAAACAAGAACTAGTAACAAGAGCTAAGAAGGCAGGCAGGCAGGCAGCAGGAGCAAAGTTCAAGCAGCCAGGTCACAACAAAGAAAGAGCACTGCAGCAAGCCCAGGAACCTTCATTGGCAAGGCAGCTTCTGGAAGGAAGAGCCAGTTCTCATATAGCTCTTTCCCCAGGGCTTCCAGGCGGTGCTCATCAGGGCCCTGGCAGCTGGAGCAGATTGGGGGAGTGATCCTGCAACTACCAGGGCTGCTATGCCGGTTCTTTGCCAGCAGATGGAGCCCTGAACCTGCCCTCAGCTCCTCTCTCTCTTTCTCAAGAACAATTCAACATACATGGATTAATTCACATTTATTTATTTATTTAAATTTTCTTAACATAAAATACAAAAAGAAGAAAAGAATATGTAAATAAAGTAAAATAGAATAAAGTTGCCAAGGGATTCTAAACAAGTACATCCAATACATTCAAACCCCCAAATTTATCTATTTGCCATTCAACACTCTATGGGGGTTCAGAAAAGAAGTTATTATTCTGTACACCAACAAATTTTCCAGTCGCTTTAAGTCAATTATAGATCCTCAACTACTTTTTAAAGTACTCCTTTTCACACCCCATTAATTGTACTGGGTTTAATAGAATTTCCATTTGTCATTAAATTCCTCAACCAATCTTCTATTTACATAATCAGTTAATTTTGCCATCACTGTGCATTCTGCCAGCTCATTTTCCCACTCTTCAATTGATGGGGATTCTGATAATTTCCATTTAGAAGCAATTATAATTCTTGCTGTCATATATTTAAATGACATATTCTTTAAAAAGTCTCTGGCATTTATTCAAAAGCATGTTCTTAGGACTCATAGGAAACTTAATTTTAAATGTATCAATTTCCAAAATCTTTTCATTATTTCACAAGTGTACCATATATGGTAGAAAGTCCCATCTATCCTGTTAACATTTCCAACATTTTCCCACTGTAGTTCTTATCTATTTTTTCAATATCTTTTGGAGTAATATGCCACTGATAAAACATCTTAAACCAATTTTCTCTTAGTGCTTGGCTAGCTGTGAATTTAATGTATTTCTTTTATAAAACTTCCCATTGATTCCTTTTGTTTACTTAGGTATTCATTATATTTGTAACCCACATTCCTCCAAGAACTCAAGATGACATAGATAAACCACCTTACCCACTAAGGGCTGTCCTTACAGCAAGTATATCAGCCACAATACAATGGAGAAAGTGGCTGGCTCAACGAGTTTCATGGCTGAATGAGGACTTAAAGCGGGTTTCTCCAGGTTTAATCTCTAGTCTAAATCTAATCCCTAGACTCTCTTGGTCTAAGTCTCTAATCTCTGCACAACACTGTTTCTTTTATTTATTTTATTTCATTTTTATACTTCCCAACAGCTGAGACTCTCTTCTATCATTATTTTAGCCCATGCATTTTGGCAAAAGTTTTAAGACCACATTTTACCAGTGACATTTGGATAAGTGCTCCAGGAGTGACGGGTGGGAGTAGATGCTGAGAGGAAATAAGAGCCAGGTACCATTTAGCATGGATTGTTATTCAGGGTTTGTCATCCTTTCTCTGCAGTTCCATGAGCAAAAGCAGATGGTGAAATGTGGGCCTGTTTTCAGGCAACTGTATGAAAAAGAAACCAGCAAGAAACAGCTTGACATTTGTACAATCTTTTAATTGCGTGAAATACTTTTTTGCTACAACATGAACAGTAGAAGGGCTTTCACTTATCATATTTTTTAAATCTTTGGACACAGTGTTTTCCAAACAATGGAATGCTGAGTCCATAAAGTTGTAATCAGGTCGTCCTACAAGTTGGTCTGATTTGTAACCTTGCTCCATTCTGCCAAGTTGTGCCTACTCTGGCTCTTCAAGGCCTTGGGATGCAGAGATCTTTTCCAGTGACAGCACAAGGGTCTTCATCTGAACCTGAGACAACTTGCATGCAAAATAGGCACTGCCTGTTCCTAATCCCCTAAGAAATGTGTCACCATTTTGAGCAGGGCTGATTATATTTAGGTGCTGCATTAAAAGTTGAATGAAGTTGAACATAAGCGTGATGATACGTTCATTCGACTGGCAATAGGTTCTTTCTAGACACTGCCATACATTTTAAAAAAACCAGAGTCGAATGTGAAAGAATGGATGCATAGCTACACACAGCGATTTGTTTAAGACTAGAACTGACTAGATCTAATCTTTCAATTTCATTGCTCCATTCATTTTTTCTGTAGTTAAACTGCAGAAATCACTAAAAATGAGAAAAAATAGAGCAACCAAACTTTTCTACACTTAGAATTGTTAGCAATCTCAGCTGAATTATTGCTTGTGCCTTAGAAGCTGTAAGAAAAGGTTCTCACTGTTCTAGAACAGTAATATTCTTTAAAATAGCTTTGCAAACATCTATAGTATCTTTTAATCAGAGCCACAACTTTCTTTTCCTACTTACACTCTTCCTATTTTAAAAAGACATTAATTCTTACCGAAATGGTCTAGGTGCCATCTGCAACCCAGGCATTTCTTTCTGAATAACTATTTTTAAAAAGAACTGCAGAAATGCATGGGATCTGACCAAAGCCAGTTCCATTTCTTGTGCTTCTGGAAATGAAGTAAGCTTCCCTTTAATATAGCCGGAACGGAAACTTCAAGAAGAGTACCGTTCGCTTTCATTTCTCTTGACACTGTTGAAAGTGGGGGGGGGGGGGAGAGGAGTTGAGTGGCTTCAAGTGCAGCTTCCAGTCACAGGGCATGTTTTGCCAATATTGTGTTTTGAGAAAAGGCAAAGATGGGAACTCAAGATGACCATTCTCCCAGTGCTACTGTATACATAAAAAGCACCAAGCACATTTTCAGTGATAACTCCCTAGAACCTACACCTAGACTTCTGAAACCTGGCAGATTTCTTTCCTAGAGATAAATCTATAATATATACTGTTTTCATACATATTGCCCCCAAAACTTCAATGGGTTACAAGAAGAGAAAGTGAATTACTCACTCCTCATTCTTATAAGTTGCATAATTTATCTATCCTTCTGGAACTCTGAAGTTTTCTTACATAGGCTATCTCTATGCCATCAGTCATCTTTTAGAAGAATGGTCCACAAGGACCATAAAGTGATAAGCGTATCACTTTTGTTTTTTGGATGACCTAAAATTTAAAGGCTGCTTTAGCATAAAGATCCCCACAGCCATTTGTTTGAAATTTGGCAGGGTCATTCCCCACAGGAAGTGTAACTATTTTGTTTTGTTCAATTAAGCCAAGAAATAGCAAAGTTATTGGCAGTTCATGTAATATAAATTAAAACATAAAGATGCACGGCTCACATCCAACTGTATCTATTTTTCAGAGGTTGGACAGGCATAAAACCTTCCTGAGGGGCAACTCTACCTGCAAATTTCATGTATAGATGACAAAAAGATGATTCTACATACCCAATCATCCACGGGAGGCACAAAGCCTTAGCTTTCCAAATCTTGGCCTTAGTACCTTAGGGCCTTCTCTGTGGTGGCACCCTGGCTGTGGAATGCACTCCCCAGAAAGGTCTGCCTGGCACCATCGTTATATGCTTTTTGGTGCCAGGTCAAGACCTTTTTATTCTTCCATACTTTTAACGTTTAATTTTAACTATGTTTTTATGCTGTTTGAGTATTTGTATTTTTGGGGTATATATGTATGTATTGGTTTTGAACTGTGAGCCATCCAGAGACCCAGTGGGTATTGGGTGGGGCAAAAATACCCGAATAGTCCTGAAAATAACCTCTGAACTGGTCTGGCAAAACTGGGCTATGATGAAAGTGCTTCACCAGGGTCAGGGCCAAATCAGCAAATATTTTATTTAAAATTTCATTCTGTTATACATATTTTGAAGTCAGATCAGAGTAACTTGGTGCACAAAACCTCTTGCATATGTTGTCCCTTCCTTCAAACAAACCATATGGAGCAGAGATGGGGCATCTCTAGCCCGAAAGGCCTTCCCATCCAGCTCACCGATTTCTCCTCCCAAGCCTGGCCACTTTCTTTGGCCTCACCCGTCTTCTTACCCCCATCACGTAGCTGTTTCCCAACAATCAGCAGAGTAGCACAAGGGAGGGGAGCCCCCTCCCTGACACATAGCTTAAACGACTGGCATCAAGCATGCCTGAGGACAGAGAAAGAAGGACAGCTGCAGAGCTGCTGGGACTCTGCATCCAAACCATCTCTGCCCCGGTGCTCATCTGTTTCCCACTGATCAGATGAGCAGTGTGTGCTGGCGCGAGATCACGGAGCAACGAGACTTCTACCTTACAGACTGAGCTCAGCTGATCAGCAGGAAATAGCTTAAGTGTGTCTGTTCATGATGAGAGAGGGAGGAGCAGAGAGCAAGAGAGAGGGAGAGAAGTGTATGCAGGAAGCAGATGCTCATGTGTGAATGCGTGTATGCACATGTGCGTGTGAATGGGATGTGGCTGGGTGAAAGCAAAGAAAAGATAGTTTGGAAGGTGTGGCATAGAAAGAGAGGGAAAGAAATACTCTTGTTTGGCTGGGACCCCTCCTATTGCCAGAGCACATGGTCCTGTGTGGGGAAAGGGGTTGTGCCACCCCTGCCTTAGGGACAAGGAAGCTCTGTGTGCACATTAGAGGTCCCTGTGGGCAAAAGCAGCTACATCGGTGGGGTGGAGAAGTGCAGGTCCTTTTGTCAGCCTCCGGCAAGCTAGTGCACATACCTCATGCCAGCAACTGCACATGATTTGATAGACAGCCTTGGAAGCCAGCTGTGGCCGATAGAGCCGGTAACCGCGGCAAACCTTCTCGATCACTTGCATGTTGTCATACCGCTCATAGGGTGGTTTCCCCAGCGTGAACACCTCCCACATTAAGATTCCTGTAGACACATCCACAGTATTGAGAAACAAAATGCCATGTGATTGCACAGTACGTTACAAGTCGTGCCATTCCCCATCACATGCCATGTTGCAAAACTATGGTTGTCGCAGTTTGCTCTGGATGTTGAGAGCACCTTCCTTTACAAAAGGACATCTGTGACAAGACAGAAATCTGTCCCGGGTTGTTTCTGTTGTGGGTCACTCCTATGTCGTTCTCTTTCATTTCTGTGTTTCGATGCCTCCGTTCTCTTTGACCTTACAGCTCCTAGGACGTTGCAGGTGTCAGGCGTGCTGGCTAAGTTGTAGCGCCTCAGTTGTGTAAGACTCCCACCTCCCACCCAGGGAGGGTCAGCATGGGTGCAGCACTGTGGCAGATGCAGAGTGTGCTTGCACCAGTTGCGATTGCTCCGGAGAGGTGCCCCTTCCTCTATTTCTTGTTCAGTGCAGGGGGTGGTGCCATTGTCGGACTTCAGCTCCCATCAACTCCATGGCAAATAGGAGTTGCATTCAACAACAACTTGGTGGGGGGGGGGGTACAAGTTCCCTCCCCTGCCACTGTTGCAGGGGGAAACCATCTCTAAATGCAAACAAGCCTCTCTTTTTAGGACAACTACATATCTGCAAGTTCATTAAAGGAGCTGAACAGGGAGCATATTCATGCTTCTAATAAGTTTGGCAAAATGTTTTTGATTGTTTTACCAATTAAATAGAACACCTAGTGACTTTTAGGGCATAACTTCAATGCAGAGGTAAGAAAAGGAGAGTGGCCAATGTATTGCTAAAATGAAAAAGACAACTGAAACTTGAAATTTATTATATGTCCTATGGAGCAAGTTATCTGCTTAATTTTATTTGCCTGTTTGTGTGAAATCCATGCCTCTCTCTCTCTCAGAAAAGAGTGGCACCGTATTTATTTGCACATTTGGTTAGGGTCATCTGAGTAAATACCCTAAAATTACAATCCTATGCATGTTCATAGACAGAAAAAGTCCTACAGCTCCCAGTCACCATGGTAAGCCAGGGAATGCTGTAAGTTGTTGGACCTTTTTCTTCCTAAACATGCATAGGATCACCCTATAGTTGTCTACTCTGGCCTTCTGAGTATGTTTTTTCAGATGGGGTTGTAGCTGCTGTTATGTCTCAGGTTTTCTTTTATGCTGCTGTCTGTTGTTTCTTGAAACATTTCCTGTTTTGATAGCTGTATCTTTTCCATTATAATGTTATTATACACCTATTATTTCTGTTTGCCTTCTTGGGAGGGCTCCTGCCCCGAAATGCAGCTTAAAAATATTTCAAATAATTAAAACAGTAATTAACCAGAGTAATCAGCAGCTCTTCTGCATAGGAAGAGCCTCTTGCTTTCCTTGTCCCTCTGGTGCTGGCACTTCTACAGCATCCAGTAGAAAACAGGTGATACGTAGGAATTCCCCTCCTCCCCACCACCAGGGCAGGGTCCGCACAGAGTGGCCCCGTGCAAGTCCTGTTTATTTCAGCACAGCCTGCTTAGCAGTGGTGACTCGTGCTCTGTACTCCCAACCTCCACCTGATGAGCCTGAGGCTGGCTCCCAGCCATTGCTCCTGCTCTTCAGATGCACGGCACACAGGCTGTTCCCCTTGCAACAGAGCGTATTCCTGTGAAGCGTGTCCTGCACTCACCAAAGGCCCACACGTCAGACTTGCTGCTGAACTTGGCATAATGGAACACCTCAGGAGCTGACCACTTCACTGGGAATTTTGTTCCTAAGGAACTGACATACTGGTCATCCAGTACATACCTACAAAGCGAGATATGGTGGTTTTAGGCTAAAGTTTGTTGCACAGGGCAGAATAAAGAACTTATCCAAATGTCACCGGAATAAATCTTGGACAGTCAGATGCACCAGAAGATCTGAACGATGGCAGCCCCAATCTCAAGTTACTATTTTTTTGACAGAGGACAGAATTTCACCCCGGGGACCCGCTCTTCCCCGACAGCCATGCCCCCTTCCCCTGCCACAGGCCCTCTCCTTAATTTGGTGACTTCCCAGCTGTTGCAGTTTTTCCTCCCCATTCTACAGAGTTGAAACATTTCTTTAAAGGCAGGATGCCAAACTACATGCAATGCTAATTATGGAGCATGTAGCTGAGTCAGAAAGCTTTGTTTAGTTTTGTGGAAATGTGTGTGGCCTGGATTTGGATCAGGATCGCTGCACTCCAGGAAGGGAAGATGAGGCTTTCTCTTCTTCCCATTTTTCCAGCATTGCACACACCATTTCCCAGGGGATGGGGGGTGGGGGGAGTGAGAAAATAGAAAAAATCTCCACTGGAATGCTTTTTAAAAAAATTAATAGAATTTCAGAGGTAAGAGAGATGCAGGGCTGTGGGCACGTGGCGGAGTTGTATGTGTGGCGACCCAAGCATTTTCAGGAAATTAAAAAGAGATAGACCTCAGCAAAAACATGATTAGCACAACATGTTGTTTGGCTCTGAGTTATAGTAACAACTTGAAGCTAAAGCATACTCAAAATCTTGGGAAGCTTGGCCTGCCCATTTGCTTTCAAGTTCTATCTACTCCTGGATTACAGCCCATAGGAGTTTCTTCAAAATAGAATTTGGTCCTCAAGATGAAAGAGGTTCTCTACTCCCATTTTATCAAATAATTGACATGTTTTTGTTTTGGTTTTAGTGCTTGTAATTCAAACATTCCAGCCCACTACCTGTTGGCCCCACTGTCTGACAGGTCACCCCGAAGGGAATTTGGCCCTTGAGGTGGTAGTGAGGAAACGTCCTCCATTCCTACTTTAAGAAATAGGAGATGCTCCATTTGCTCTGTACGAGTTCCATGACTGATACACAGCAAGGTACTTTCCATATGTTAAGTCATTCAGAGGCAAGAAACACTTTTTTCTTCTTTTTTTAGTGTATTTTTGTCATCTGAGGGTTTATTTTTGGATTGTGGCTTACCTTGTCATTCCAAAATCAGACACCTTCACAGTTAGATCTGTATCAACCAGACAATTCCTAGCAGCCTTGGTAGAAAATACAACATGGTACTGATCAGTGTTATATATTGCTCACTTCTTCCCCCTTTAAAGCAGCTCCAATTTTCATCGGAGTGGTAGTAGTAGCAGAAGAGGTGTTTAAACCTTTCATCTCTGCCATTTCCCTCATCTAAATTGCTTCCTTGCAAGTGGCAGTCTGCTGTGTGTGAGAAATATGGGGCGATAGGCATGACTGAGGTGCACCCATCTTCTACCAACAGAGCAAATAATGTAGGAGAAAATTGATCAGGAAAGAACTCACATGGAAAAAGTTTTCACACTTTTGCTCCCCAGTCAGATCGTGAATTTCTCTGCGTAATGTACAGCTTGACCCTTAGTCCCACTGAAATCATTGAATGCCATAGCCAACAATGTGCTAGGCTGTAGTTGGTGTATCAACACTAGTGCAGCAAAGAAATTAATTATATGAAACCCAGAAAGGCTGCTCCCTGTTGTAAAAGATGGATTAGCAAAAGCTTCAAATAAGACAAGTATATACTGAAATATTGATGTCACAAGACAGCCCTGGAACAGAGAGACAGACCTCAATTCCTAAGTTAAAGCAAGGGAAAGTACTTAGAACATTGATTCAGATTGCCTTAACACTGGTGACTCCATAAATATTACTCTTTCCATATACAATGTGAAGGAATAAAGCACCTATATTTTCATACAGAGCCCCAGCTGTTGGGCAGCATACAGATAAAGCAAATAAGACATGTGTAATATTTTGCAAAGTGTAATAGTAGGCATTTGATCAGGGGAATGTGGGCTGATATTCTAAAACAAAAATATTCCAATCTTTAGCAAAGGATTAGTTTACCATGTGAGGGCTGGGTATATCACACATGTCTCTCCCTGCAACACAGCTTCAAATTCTCATAACTATGATGGCCACCTAGGAACTTTCATAGGTTTTCTCTTTTCCTTTGAAAACCCCCTATCCTGTCCTTTGTAGTAAGATTGGCATAGGAACCAATTTATTCTTCTGTTATGGAAGATGAACACAGAAAAAAATGCCAAACCATGGCCTAGTACTACATGAACAAGCAGTCAGGAGTTAGGAATGCTCAAACCCTAGATGCTGTTCCTAGTTTGCAGGGCAAATCATAGTTTGCTGGGTCAGACCAAACAGGGAGCTTTGGTCTGCCTCAGACCAGGAGTGGATGCAGAGAATCTCATTCTCAAAGGGAGCGGAGCAAGAGTGACATGGTACATAACCCTGTGCATTTATATTATGGGTGAACCACTCTAGATAATCCTCCACAAATCTACCTAGAGAACCACAGTTACTAGGAAACAAAAACAGCCGAGAGGTTCCTAGTTTATTGTTTTGCATTTTGCTTAAGCTCACTCAAGAATTGTTCAGTCTCTTTGCTTTGAATGCTGTAATCTGAGACAGCCTCTTTCCTCCCAGCTAAAGAAATTTCCAGCCCAGCCCTCAAACCCCACCCCTGGCTCAGGTATTGAACAGCTTTGACATTTGTGTTCCGCTGGCATAGGCACGGCCAGTCTGCAGCCCATGAAACAAGAGGAACTTCAGTGGAATTCTTGCTACAGTTCTCAGAAACAAATAAAACCCCCATGATCCCCGCAAACTCACCAAGTCTCGATGTATGAACTGATGGCTCTCAAGGAAAGCCATCGCTTCACAAACATGGAAACACATTTCCACAAGCTGAAAGCGATGCAGCTCTTTCCCATGTTTTTTTAAATAATTAAGTAAGCAGCCATTAGCCATGTATTCAGCCACTATATAGATGGGGTAAGTCTTTGTGCAGACGCCATACAGTTTAACAAGTTTGGGATGATCCAGCTTCCTAAAATGAAGTGGAGGGGTTTAAAATGTACAGATTTGCAAGTTTTTAGAAGCTATTGAAGTGACATAGAATAATGATTCATATGTTTTGGTTGAGTAAAACTACTGAATTGCATGGCTGAAAAGAGTACCGAGGAGGAGTGCTCAGGTTAGGGTTCAGTGCTTCTAGAGTTTATCATGTGAATGTAAAGCCCATGCTACAAATGTCCTCCCTCTGCTTTTTCTTCCCATCGGTCTGCAATGCCAACAACATTCCATTGTGTTTATAGGGTGCTTCTGGCCAGGCCCAGGGCCTCTGGTATTCCCAGTCCAAAGGCCTTGTGAGGCTCTTCAGCCTCTTAATGGATTTTGTGCGGTGTGTGTGTGGGGGGGGGGGGGGGGGGGGCGGGGCGGGGAGAGAAATTGAAAATAGAAGAAAACAAATGGATGACAATGTCATCTAGACCCTTCCCCACCTCAGTAAAATTCTATGAATTATACAAAGCGATTACCTAACCATGAACTCATCTGGATGCCCTCAAAGGCTGACTATAACCAGGTAAGTTTTGTAGAATTAAAATGATTGTGTGAACTATTTAGGTGACTGTTGACTGTTTGCCTTGCTCTGTGAATATCGTATGACCAGAACTGCCAGAAAGTTAAACTAATTCTAGTATAAAGGCTTAAATGGATAGCACAAGCATTTGGGAGGATTTAAAAAAAACATGCATAGATTTTCCTGCAAGTTTTCTGTTGCTCATTTCCTTTCATTACTTTATTTATAACAAATACTTTTGCATCCCCTTTCAACAAAAAAATCCTGGGATACCTTGCATGAAAAGAGAATATATATGTATATTTAAGAGTCCAGAGTCATGGATTATAATATACTATATACTAACACAAGAACTTAACAAAAACCTAGGGCTAATTAAAAAGTATGGGAAAATTGAAAGGTTTTTGCCTGGTGGCAAAAAGACAACAAAATAGGAAGCAGGTGGACTTCTCTAAGAACACTCTACCCTTCATGTACCAGAGCCCTGCTCCCTAGTTTGGAGCACCTCGTCTCAATTGTCTAGGGTACCTGCAGAAGGTCCTGTATGGCAGTCAGATATATGGACAGGCCCATGTGACCATATCACTTAGGAGAAGCATCACTTACATCATGGTCTCAGCTTCTTCTATGAATTCATCTTCAGACATTGATCCTTGCTTGATCATTTTAACAGCAACATCATATTTCCCTTTCCATTTTCCCATCTGCACCACTCCAAACTGGCCACTCCCTATTTCTTTCTGCAAGACAATCTCTTCACGCTTGAGCTCCCATGGCCCTAGTTGGACAGAAAGAAGCTCAGACCTCAGGTATAACACTTCATTTCTTGCCAAACACAAAAGGTCTTTGAAAAACAAAGTCTTCCATACCATTTCTCAAACTTGCTGTGGATGGAACTTTGTTTGCCTTTGGAGACACTGCATGTCGAAGCCTCGTAACTATACCTAGAAGATAAGATTGCCTGTTATTCACAACTGCAGTCATACAGTGTATAACACAGTGGAACGTCTGTGTCCCTCCATGGCCTCATTATCACAATCATATAGGGTTGTATCCAATGATGGCTTTGTGCTAACAGAAATAACCTCCAGTCATGCAAGGCAGGGCATCAGATTTTTACTCATGTATCATAGATTTCTGTATTATGTCCCATACTGCTCCAGGAGCTCCCCCAGCTGATTGCACTGGGAAGACATTAGTAAAAATCAGGTGACTCCCACCTTGTGTGCACAGAGTTTTTTTCTGCTGGTTTAAATCCATGGCTTGATACAACCTGAAACGTGTGTTTGATTTGTGCAAGAAAAATTTCTACATCCTCTGCACCCTCTGTTTTCAGTAGGAACCATGGAATCACAGTTGGAAAGGGCCTAGAGGACCATTGGGTCCAACCAAGTCTCCCATCCAGATTCTAAGCATACTTGACCTTGCTTAGCTTCCAAGATTAAGCAAGCAGGAGGGATTCAGGTAATTAAAACACTTTCATCTGAAGACGTGCTGGATTGTAGCTCATATAATTACTGGAGTTACAGTGCAATATATCTGGAGCTGATCAGGTTAGGGAAGGCTGAACTGAAATGACATTGAAAGGTACAGTCACACAGTAATGATCAGAGATGCATTACACTGATTTTGAGAGTATTACTAATAATATACAGTACATGTATACATCTACACAAGAACATGTGCATATATGTGCACATATATTCAAAGTTCCTGTTTTATATCACTAATGCAGGTGGAGATATGTTGACCAAATGTATGTTTTGTTCCCCCTTTTCTTTATCTGTATATCTGTTTGTGTTTTTGCTTTTCTTTTGTATTATCAGCAGTTTTGCATGGTTCTTCGGTTAGGTGGGGGATTGAAGAAGTCAGATGGAAATTGTACATTAAAAATAACACTGAAAGATAACATAAATTTTCCAAATGTGACTGCATGAATTCTACCTCCCTTAACCTTGCACCTTACCACCAATAGCAGCCCCTGTCCTTGGTCTGGAAACGTATAGTACATACTTCTCCTATGCACAGAACTCTTGATGTCACCGTGGATACAAAATTGGACTCATGTAATACAATGTTTATGAATGAGCACAATTCACTTCTGGGCTTCGGGGAAGAAATCTGCTGCATTTAAAGCATGCAGATAATTATTGAGACAATGGACTTTACTGGGGAAATAGCACAGTTAGATTAGCAAGGTTCAGTTAGCTTGAATATCTGTACATATAATAGTTTGAATCATTCCACTATGAATGTAGAGAACAAAGCAGAACATGAAAACTATTACAAGTATTCCCTGTCTAATCTTGGCTGGTACAATTGTAAAACCCAGTAAGCCCCATTGAAGACAATAGAGCTTACTTCTGAGCATGCTGGAAGTCCCTATACTGCAACAATAGTGCACACACGTTCACAGACTTGGCATTCATGAGCACGACATAAAACCATAAATTCTACCTGAAATTACCTGCTGAATTGTGTTGATGATAGTAAATAAGTTTGGGGAGTGAATCAAAACAGTAATTCTTAGCCAGGTAGAACTGGTTTGCGCTGTTTACATGCACATGGTAATGTTTCACTATTCCTTTTTTGTCCCTGCAAAAAATACCACCACAAACCATCGTTACAGTCCGAAGATTCCAGCTTGTGTTACAATAGGGAGAAATATCTACGTAGCACAATTTTGGGAAATTTCTTAACTGACTTCCTGAAAACAATTTCTTCTGTTTGGTCAGCTATTCTCACTCCCCCTGCCCCCTCCCAAAAAAAAAGGAAGGGAAAGAGGAAGGGGAGGGGGAGGGGGAAGGGAAGAGACCTCTATGCCATTTTGTGGCCTTCTATAAGCACCCTGAAGAGACCGACAACAGTAGCATTGGGACTGGCACAGAGACACCTTAGTGTGAATTATGGATGGACACAAGGGCAGTTGGAGAATCAGAATAAATCTCAGCACAGTTACTTCACGCGTGCAGAGACCATATCAATATGGTTGCTACAAAGCAGCTACGAAGCACATGCAAGATGCAATTTGTTACATACTTACCTATAGGTCATGCTGAGTACAGATACGGTTAATTTCCCCTCATGACTAGAATTGCGAACCATAAAAGCACCTTCTTTCCCCTTTTCACAAAAGGAAGAAAAATTCCAGAAGAACATCTTCATTCTGAGTATTAGGGCTGCTTCAGTTTCATAAAATGTAACATTTTATGTTTCCCCTATACTGCCCAATAGCAAGGCTGTCTGGACCATTCACAGCAAGTTCTTTTATTAAACAAATGCATTTTTCCTAAAGTCCATTTAAATAGTGTGTTTGAAGCTCACCTGTGTACGGATCACAGCAAGGAACAGACCCACAAGGCTGGCCTCCTGAGGTGATGGAGAAGGTACCCCTCCCTATCAGCCTCCCCCACAGCAGCACTAATTGGACTGGCACTTGAATCTGGCGTTTGTAATGCGGCTGCAGCAGCAGCCTTCACATTCTTCACTTTCCTGAGGAAAGCACAGGGCAAGCCGTCCAGGCTGCCACTGCCTCCATCCGTCATCTGGAACGGGGGGCAATTGACTCACATTTCCCAATGGAAGGACCAGCTTTCCATAAATGTGTACACGCGCGCACACTAAGCGATGGACAGTGGGAGATGGCTGGCACACCCACGTGAATCACTCTTTACTTGGTTTCTGTGCATTCAATGGTAAGGAGCTGAATGTGAAAATGGATGCAGTAGAAAAGTACGGAGCGTAGAACGTAACCCAAGGAAAGGGGTCAGAGAACATGGCTTCATCTTAACATGAACTCTAATGTTATTGTCAGCAGCAGGAAAATACACACACACCCACACACACCCCGAGGTACATACTTTTGTTGAGGGGAAGTGTTGTCCAAACTCATAGATTACGGAAAGAGATATAATGGTTTCTTTCCTATCCTAAACAAATTCTCTCTGAATTCCCTCTCTTGATTTTATTTATTTTATTTAAAAAGTTTGTATCCCATTCTATACATAAAAGTCTCAGGACAGTTGGTTAATTTTGTTGAAATTAACTGCCAAGTAAGCACTGAAGCCTAGTTTCACTTCCTAGTTGGAAATTTAATAATAATTTCAAATGCAAAACATTCCTTTCCTTCAGGCTTTAACTTCAGGAAGTTCCTTTTCTTCTGCTGCCCCCAGGCAGAAGCCTTCCATATCTAAAGAGGACTGCTCCAAGCATGACCCAAATCTCCAGAACTGAAAGGTCACAGCTAGTAACCCACTGAAGCTTCAGATTTGTAGAATTCCCTCTTCTTGTTAAGTTCTGAATATGTTCATTAAGTCATTTTTCTGATAGCAGGTTGCAGTTTATGCACAGAAACATATTATGGCCAACGATCATGTGACTGGAAGATACAACACAGAAATCAGTAAAACATTGACTAATTTGAAAATGATGGTACCTGAAGCTGTTAAACTGTCATCACTTCCACTGAAAGATTCCCTAACTCTGGAGAGCAATACGCAGACTTGTCTTTCACCGCACCAAAGCAAGCAAGGAGATACTTGTAGCTAAAGGGAAATGATGAGCCTTATCAGAAATATGGGCACTTTAAAATGCTACCTTTTGCCGTAGCAATTGTTCCGCCTGGGCCCTTGAGAGACTACCAGCATACCAACTGCAACAAAAGAAACAGCCAACATATCATTCTTACAGCATGCAATGACTTTGGAATAATGGTGTCTGAAAGTGGTTTAAAGCACCCACTTAAAGAATACATTTGTGGAAGTAAGCATCCCATGAAACAAGTTTAAAGTTCTGAAAAGAGCTTTTATTAAAAGCAGTATGCAACTTCAAATTAACTCTTTCTATGAGATCTTTGAATTTAAAAATGGTTGCCATTGAAATCTCCTGAAACAGAATTCTCAGACACAACCATAACAACAGATTATTGTTGTTCCATTTATTGATTGTTGGTAACACAATGTTGGTTTTTCTTCCTCTCATCTAATACTAAAAGTTGTGATGTTTCAATGAAGCTAAATGGGGAAGGGGAGAGATTCAGGACAGGAAAAAGGAAGTCATTCTTCACACAGTGCATAGCTGAACTATGGCACTCGCTACCACGAGATGTAGACATGGCTATTATGTTGGAAATCTTCAACAAGGCATCAGACAAATTCATGTAGGACAAGGCTATCCGTGGCTACTACAGCTGAGGTAACATGTATAACAGCTGCTTGGTAGGGCAGGGGCAGGTGTGCTCACATGAGAGCACTGAAAAAGACCGCAGCCAATCTGATAAGGAACTCGGCACTCATGCTCAGATGCAGCCACGTTGCAGCAGAAATGATGCCACTCTCTTCAAACTGGGTGCCTGAGCCTCTCGCCTGATCTTCCTGAGGGGACCTGGGCTTTAGAGTGTTGGCGGAATCATGCCTTCGATCACTGTGCAGCTATTTGCGGACAAGCCAGTCAGTTGACTCGCTATCATAGCAAAGCCAATAATATTAATATTAATACCGTGCGTCTTAAGACATTGTGAAGAATAGGACTGAAAAGACCAGAGCTCTTACCCTCATTCAGAATAAAGCTTACTGGGTGACCTTGGGCCATGCTCTCATCCTGACAGTACTCACAGGGTTGTTTCAAAGATGAAATGGTGGGGGTGAGGACCACAGGCACCCTCTGGATGGAGGAGGAAGGCTGAGAAGGGACTCCAACACTTTGGAGAGCGAGATCGCATCCTGGCGGCTGTGCAGGGGCGCCACAGGCAGTCCGCTGCAGCGGCAGGGCAACATATAGTGCTCTGTACCGGCCAGCCAGAGCATCCGCCTCTGTGTTTGCATGCCTACTGCTCTGTGGACCAGCCATTACACCCAGTATTCTTCTTACTCATAGTTAGCGGTGTTTTCCTCCTCTTCTGTTGACAGAACTTCAGCCGTCTCAGCACTTCCCCTGCAAAGGGGGGAAAAAGGCACAGCGATGTCCAACGAGCATTGCTGAACCATCCACCTTATTTCTCTGCCATGGCCACAGCAGCACTGATGCAGCATCTGCACCTGAAACTTAAGCAACCTTTCCCCTCAGTGGGTTTCATCTTCGATGCAATCAGTAGTCAGGCTCTGGTTCTTCCATATTTGCGAGTCAAAACATGGCAGTCTTCTGTTTCACCAAGCAGCCGGGCTCAGTTGAGTGGACATTCACTCAGGAATGATCAATTTCGTCCTTGCAGGAGTCAGCACTGCTGGGGGCCTACCAAGGCCAAGCCCAGCAGGCGGTACAGTGCCAGGTCCCTGCCTCTGTGCTGCTCGTTCTCCTCCCAGACGACCCTGCCTCCTCACTGATTCTCTCTGGGCAGAAACCAGAGCTCAGCCTCCCCTTGCTTTGTCCTCTCCTTATAGGCAGTGCAGCAATGAAGCCCAGATGGGGAGGACACCTGAATGAGCCATCTGGGATGGTCATAGATCCTACTTCGCAGAAGGGTACTCCTTGATCTTTTCTTGGCCTGCTTCTAGAAGTCTCCTCAAAAGAATACATTGCTCTAGTAGAAGAAATATTCTAGTGCTCTCTTTAGCATTTCTATTATATTACATAGTGGAGACACCAAAATGACTGAAATGCATTCTACCAATGCAATTGGTAATGAAATTTGTTATGGGTCTGGGGTATTTTCTTTAAGTAGGCATGGGGATATGAAAAGCATCCCTATGTAATAAGAAAAAAATATTTCCAAAGAATAGTTTGTAACCAGTGTTAGTTCTTCTTAGTGCAGACTATAGGAATGGTCTTAAGTTAGACTAAAACTAGATACAACCCAATGGCGAACAAGCTTACCCTTCCATGTCTCCCACTTGCCACCAATCAGGTTCTTTATGTTTCAGAACACCACTGCCTTTGGGTTCATAGTTATGAACAGATGCTCTTTCTTTCAGAAATGACTTAGCAGATGTTGGACTTGCAGGCTGGTACTCCATGTGCTGAAAACAGATCGAGTGATAGAGGGAAATACAACACAGAGAGAATACAGAGACATAAATTATAGGTAGTCTAGCATCACAGTTTGAATGTTCATAGTATGCCCCAACTGCTCAGAGCATTCACTGACTTGGGTCCAAATTCTCCCATACTCAGGGTAGTCCCACTGGTCAAACTAAGTTAACTGAAAGCAGGGGAAGTTAACTTAGTTTGACCAGCATCCCCATTGCACTGGTGATTTGCTAAGAGGATTTTTGTTTCTTGCTTTGTTTCCATTTTTTCTAAATATTGTCACAGAGCTTTGCTATTTTTTCCCGGTCCTGAAATTAAAAGTCATCAAAATGCCTTTAATGCCTCATTTTAAAGGCCAGCATGACCACAGACACTGGGCTGATTTGCGTGAGTGATTATCCCACTAGATACAGTAATGTTTGTACAAGAGAGCACGGGCAGATCTTAACGAGTTATTTACGGAAGGAACCCAATATTTTAATGAGTTGAAACATGAGTTGAAAGAGTGGGAACAGTCCACTTTTTAACCAAAGTGACAGTACGGGATAAAAATGTATTCATGTAACTAACTGAAACAAAGCTATCTTGGGTGTGGCTTGAAGATGCCAAACAAGCACTAGGGTTAAATTACTGTTCCGGTAATTTAAAAGTCCAGAACAGTCCTTGCTATCCTGGTGCCCTTCCAATATTTTGGACTTCAAGTCCTGTCAGCCCCAGCATGGCTTCTGGTTAGGAATGCTGGTAGTTAACATTCCAAATATCTGGAGGCCACCAGGGCTGGGGACAACTAGCAAGAGCCTGTTTCCTAAGGTCAAGAGTGCTTTAAGAATGTATGCATCCTGCAGTTCCTTTTGAGCTTCATAAATCTGCACTAAATACTAGCTCAGACCATATTTTTCGACAAGCTTATATGCCACTTTGAATGCCACGAAACAGTTTTTCAATCCCTGTTAGCAAATGACCTGTAACAGCATAGGAAGAATAAATTTATCTGTATATATGTATATGCTCACAAATATGCAAAAATATGTATTTAGAATGCTTAGGTAAGACAGGCAATGATCAGATTAAAATCACATGGGAAGCAGGTCTCCTGGCTAGCCAGATAGGAAGAACAGAAAGCAGGAGATGCAGAAAAACATTCAAAGGAGTTAAGGCTGACAGCAAGGAGGAGATAGGTAGGTAAGGGAAAAGCCAAAATGAGTTGAGGAAAAGCAAACAGGATTCAAAACTATAAAAATATGTATGCATAAAATGCATTAATTATAGTGCAAGGTTCATCTAAATACTATACATATTCATTACACATTATCATACATAATTTAGTGAACACACACATGGGAAAGTTTGTAAGAATATGCATTATAAAAATAGCATGGAATTAGCTGAACTCAGACAGAATGCAAAAGTGGAGCTCTGTCGATCCTTGATAAGGATGCATCCAAACTTCAAAGATGAAGTTCCCCAGAAACTAGAGGGCAGTCTTGGCCTTCTCCACTGAGCCAAGCTTAAGCAAAGAAGTTTTACCAAATCATTACAGAAGATTACTATTATTGGTACAAAAAGCAATGTCATTCAGTCACAGGTCATTTCATTTCCCTATGGAAATTAACTGCATGCAAACAAACCGTGGCTGTTTTGTATTGTTTTCATGTTTCTCTCAGATGGAAGAGAGGCCCAGCAAGAGCCTCTTTTCGCTAAGCCCCCCACCAATCTTTCATTTTTAAGCTTGCCTGTCCCTAGTCCAGGCAAGATAAATTCACTGCTGGCTGCAAACCTTCATACTCGACCATTGTCTTGGTAAGGGTGGCAGTGGTTTCATGGAACTGCTTGCACTCTGTAGGCTGGAGTCTACATCAAAGAGAGAAAAAAAATAAAAATAGACGCTGGATGAAATTTATGTCCTGAATCTATACCTACAAACAACAAGCAGGCTTTGGATAAGCCCACCGGGAAGCTTTGAATACTATGATAGAAATAGTAGACCATACATAGTGAACTCTGGGCTGTGTTACTGTGGAGTTATTACCCATCTAAAGTGCTCCATGGTAAAGAAGTAATGGCACTAGCTTCCTTCCCAGTTGTGCTTATGACACACACTTTTCATTTGTTTTTCCAGTTCACGCCAGAAAGGCCCACTGGAATTTAGTATAATTTATTACATTGATTTTAGCATGACAGTTATTTATTTAAAGTTTTTATATGGCGTCCCAATACTAAAAGTGTCTGGGCAGCATACAAGAAACAAAAAACCAAAGCAACCATATACAACAAACAACACACTGCATCTGATAATGATAAAAACAATGATAAACCAATGAACTGTGAAAATGCCAGGAAAATAAAAAGGTCTTCACCTGACACTGGAAAGAATGGAGCAACAGCACCAGGTGAATCTCCTGGGGAGCGTATTCCACAGTCTGGGCGCCACCACTGAAAAGGCCCTTCTCCGAGTAGCTACCCTCCTAATTTCCTTCAAAGATGGCTCCCAGAGAAGGACCTCTGCCTCGGATCTCAAGGGGCAGGCAGGCACATAGGGAAGAAGGTGCTCTTTCAGTCTTACTAAGGCATTGTCCAGCTTAAATACAACGGCAAAATTTAGTTTGGCATCACGTGCATGAGCCGAGGACTCTGCCCTCTCTCCTCTCCTTGGGCTCACCAGTCCACTGACTTGCTAGTTCATGGCCAGCAGAAGCTTGCCAGCACACATGAACTGACAAAATTCATCGCCCCCTTGCTCACCAAGCAAGAGCTGGAGGCTGCATCTGGTCCAGGCATATGCCATAATTCAGGACACCTGTGAATACTTGTGATTTTATGCAATGTTGATTTAAGGTTCCTGGTGGGCAGAGAAGCAATATGTAAATAATTTTAATCAGTTTTGGACGGCGGCTCCAATGTCAGTGGGGTAGGTTGATGTTGAAAGAGCTGTCCATGGTCCTGAACCTGTTTTGGAGATAGGGTCAAGCACCACATATAGCTCCTTAAAAGTTCAGACTAAAAGCCAAGGTGAATACACAACCTTACTGATATTGGAATCATTGGGTTCTGCTGTTTTAATTGCTACATCAAAAGTACATTTCTAGGGACAAACAACAAGGGAAGCCATTTTCTTGAGGCTGCCTAGACTAGGAGCATTTGAGTGGCTGCTACCGGAAATATATGGATCTTGGTCTGATACAGTTATATTCTAACTTTTCAAATCAAGTGTGGCCTAACCCAGTCTTTGCAACTTAGTGCTCTCTGGATGTGATGGTGGCTGGGGTGGTGGGAGTTGTATTTTCACATATGAGACTTTGGTAGTAGGCGGCATGTAAATTGAAATATAAACAAATAAATAAATATCTGAAGCAGGTCAGGTTAAATAAAGTTCGCTTAACTTTTTCAGAAAGTGTATGGCTTTATTTATTCCATACCATTCCCAATAGTGGAGCTTGCCTTGAATTCATCTTTAAAATCCTATACGATTTAGAGAGAAGCAACATTTGAAATACATTGTGCTCTAAGGGACTGGGAAGAGTTTATTCCTTGTCTATCTGTACAGATAAATTGGCAGAGAAACCAGTTATGTTCTAGCTAGGAACCATGTTAGAGAGCAATATTTGCATGTAGACAGTTTGCTTTGGAAATGCACTGGCATGTTCCCATTTCTGTATAGAAATGGTAACTGATCAAAAACAAGAGAGCCTTGTTTTATAGCACAGTCTTGCCCAACCAGGGGCTCTTCAGAGGTGTCTGAGCAGGACCATTTCAGACTGCAGTTATATTTCATCCTTTGCAAGAACCCATCTCTACACAGAGAAAGCTAGTGCCTTGCGATTGTTTCTCCCTGGATGTGCCTCTTTATTTGCAGAGAGTCGGAGTATTTGAGCTGGTTACAACAGAGGAACATTCCATCATTCGAGCACCGTTTGCAATTCAAATGGTTCCACCCACATACACCCTCATAAAAGTCATGCTCTAACGGAGGCTGTGGCGGAAGTAACTTGCACCGAGTGAGTCCAACTATGGCAGAGAGGCAAGCATGGGCTTCCAGTTCTGAGTGAACTGTGATTCCAGTACATGGTAGGTCACATCCAGGCGGCGGGCCGTGTGTGGCCTGTGCAACCATCCAGCATAGCTCCTGCAGCCCTGCCACCGAACTCTCTAACAGTGGCAAAAGAAACAGCCTAATAGCTTTACAGAGCAGTACTTTGATCTGTTTTAGCTTTTTGCTGCTCACTACTGTGGAACCAACACTTTATACAGCACAAAGCAAGCACTGCAATTAAATAAACAAATTGGTAAAACGTAGCCTTACCATACTGAGGTGATTTGCCACCACATTTTAGAAGCAAACTGCAGTTTTCATTTTTATTTTATTTCTTTGGTACTTTTTAGCCACCCCCAAATTTAATGAAGTGGTGGCAGGAGGGTGACCCAGGGCAGAGGCAAGAAGCAAACCTTCCCCTAGTGTCCACTTGCATTCTAGTCCACTATCTTGCCATTTTCCCAAGAAACTCAGATTACAAACACAGTTGTAGTATTTTACAGAGGCATTTGGATCTATTTGACTTTCCTTCAGTGTAAATTGCATGTTTTAAACTTGTGTATTAAGTTGGTACCCTAAATGGACATGCTTCGTTGAGATCAGCATAACTGAAGAAGACCTACACATTAAAAAGCAAACATAGGCTTCTGACCAAGTATTTTTCTCATAATGCTAATGCAGGACTGAGAAAGAGAGTATTGCAAGGAGAAAAAAAATGGTCAAAATCCAGATAGTTGTTTCTTCCCATACCAGCCAACTCTTTCGTGAAAATGCCCCCATACTTTTTCTTTAGACTGCTTTCCTTCTCAACAGATTTCTAAGGTTAGAAGTAGCCTAGATATGGGAGAAAAGGGTATGGAGATGGACTTATAGGAGATAACTGCTGGGTGTGAAGAGGGTTAAACGTCCACCTTCCTGCCTACTGTTACGAATACTTTCTATAGAAAGCTGTTAATTGCCTATTAACCTGCTTTATATATTTCTGATTTTGTTGTAGAATTGAGATCTGAGCACTACAGCATTTCCTTTCCTGCTTTTCCACAGCATAACCTCTAGGTGGTGCTGTCATATGGTGGAATAGTGCAAATATGTAGTTTAAAAAGCAGTTTCTTTCACCATTATGATTAAATACCTCATTTTCCCTACAAAATCTTTCCAAATATATTTGTTAGACACAGAAGTAAAACTGCAAAGCCACAATGTCACCAAAGAATCTGTAACCAATCTGAATGCCTCATGTAGAAAATCCCAACATGTCTGCTGGGGAGCATAGACTTCCCTGTTAATATGCTTAGGATTGGGCCGCCAGATGAACACTGTGGGTGAACAATAATACAACCATTCATCTTTCCAAAGCAACACTAGTCAGATCTCAAGCCACTATAGAGTTAATAAAAATACGGACACACACACACACACTATGCACAGCAAGACCCCCATTTCCACTGGCCCAGTTACTGCAGTTTTGCTTAACCACAGTTGATCTCAGTCCAAAAGAGAAGTTGTGAAGTGCTTCTCTTACGTGAAAATTTGCAATTTTATAGAGGAAGAAAAAAAAAGTACCCTGAGGTTGCTAGGATGTATGGTAAGAAGGAATCTTCTATGGGTGAAATTGTGAAAAATTTCACAATTTTTGTGTATTAGCATACATTATGCTAATACATGTAATGGATATTACACGTATGTGTGTGTGTATTAGCATACATTATGCTAATACATGCAATGGATATTACATGTATGCTAATATCTGTGGTTTCAGGCTTGTGCTGGAGGAGGGGCTAGACCCCATCCCCTGAGGATACGGGGGTCCTGCTGTATTGCACACCTTTCACAAGCAGTGGAACCTACAAACAGGAAAAAAAACCCTTACATTTTTCCCAGACGGTGCACCCAGGTGCTGCTTTACAAGCCTGACTGCAGCAGAGGAACTTTCCACTCGAAAAGAATCCTTTGTGATACTTGTTTAGTAGATCTTCATTGTCCTTGATCTCTGCAAAGTGCATAGGTCGGTGGGGGAGAGAAGACGCTGCTGAAATTGTTTTCTGTGTTAGTACAAAGATCTCAGAGCAACAGACACTTAGATTTAGGGTCACTTCACAAAATCAATACAGCGCGTTGCAAATATACACTGAGCAAAACAGTGCAATGTTTCTGTGTGATAGCTTCACTCCCAGCTTAGCGATAATATAGGTAGTTATCCTAGTATCGACATTTCCCTGGCAGTATGTCCCACTAAAAGCAGTTGGACTCCATTCTGAGTGAATACGATGCATTGAATTTGTTTTCCCTCTGCTGGTCCAGAATGATCTGGCCCTTTGACTGTTTAACTTCAAACGCTTAGATACTCTACAGTGCTTTAGAACCTATTAGGTTCCAGGTTGTCGTACAAGGTAAAAAACAAAGTGGAACCCCAACAACAGATACAGTAACAGATGTTGAAAACCCTAAAAGCAGAAAAAAAGATGATCATTATGGCATACACTGGGTTCCAACATAAGCTGGCTTTCCACATTCCTTTTACTGGTGGGGGCAGCTTGCCATACACAACCCTTTGCACACATGAAGCCTTCTGTTCTTTGAAATAAATGGGGGAGCGCCATGTACATACTTGCTGAATTAATTTGTAGCATGGACGTGTGCTACTTGAACACAGTGACGTTCAGCTGCCCAACACCCAACATTTATAATGTAGATCATTACAAAATTAGTTTCTGTTTTCACAGGAACCGACCTCTAAAGGGTCCTTATTTATTAATATCTGAATAAATTTATGGTGCAAACCTATGCATGTTTAGCCAGAAAAATGTCTGACAGATGCCAGCATAGAATCGCACACATTTTTCTGTCTAAAATGTCCTCCCTCCCTTCTTCCTTCCATTCTCCCTTTCTTTTTGCTTAAGTTGTCCTGAAAAGACTTTACACTCATGTGGCAACTCCGTTTTTAATGCAGTATCCATAATGAAGATGTTTTATACTTTGTCTTTAAAAGCGGTTTCCAAGTCTAGCACTCAGTACCTCTATGCAAAGCATCCAACCATCGTCTTCGGCTTCCTTCATTCGCAGAGAAAACATAGAGCAGGCCATCTTTGTACACAATCTTAAGTGTAAGAGAAAGCAGTTCTGTAGTTAAATGACCTCCAGAAATAACAGCATCACATACTGCTAGGAAGCCAATGGTGTAAAACAAAGTTACATTTGTTTCATCTGAGGTATGAATAAAACACGCCTAGATAGCCATTCATACAGTTATAAATGAAGTAGGCAATGAAGGATCAGAAATGGATGCGGGGAGGGAATAATTCAAGGCATACCTCTGACAAATTTGGGCATTCATACTAGTGAAATCTGTTGCGCTTGGGTTTAGTCCTGAACCCAGAATCTTTTTTAAAAACAAGGCAGTGGATTCAATTCTCTCCTGCCAGATACTGTTTCCCTAATCTAGTGTCCTGTCTCTACTGTTGTTTAGATTTTGTTGTTGTTTAGATCTCCATGATTTTGCACAATTTGTATAACTGGCCAAAACAGAAATTAAACAGAACTATCATGCCACGGTGTAAAAACATGTGATGTTAAAGATCAGCGATGAGGAGAATAGACTCTGGTACCATCTAGAGGACCAACAGGTTCACCAGCAATATGTCAGTTTTGGCACACTCTGCAGAACCCAAAAACATTCTATGCATTCAATTTGTATTCCCCATCCGACACAAAGGCTTTGCTGTTACCTGGAAGGGATATTGCCTCTCTGGAGGGGTCTCCTCCACAAGATGCACTGCTTCCACACATCGGATTTTCTTTATGTCAATCGACCCCTTTCTGGTTCCTCTTTTCTAAGAACAGAGAAAGGGTAGAGCATCAGCCACCCATGCTCACAAATATAAACAACAGTGGGTACATACATGAGGCGAAGGCCCCTGCCGGACAGCTTAATGCCCCATTATGGGGAATTCACAAGAAGCCAAACACCCAAGCGATTCCCTAAAACCTTACAGAACATTGCAAGGCATCTGTTTCTCACCTCCTTGCCATAGTCGTAGTCATAGTAAGAGAGGCTTGTTTTTGTAAGAACAAACAGTCGTTCTTTGTAATTGCTGCGTGACACCATTTTCTTCTGCTGAGACTTCTTTACCAGCAGCTCTTCCATAATGGATTTGTTCTCCATGCTTTCCATTTTAGGACCCTAGCAGAGAGCCACATATTGCCTGTTAGTACTCAGAGGTAGAACTGATATGATTTGCAATTAAAATAACATCCAATTAATTCTGAGCCCCAAATACCACCCTAGAGCTTTATACGTATTTCTCCCACTTGCAAAATAACTGGGGAAAAATATTTAACTCGAACAGCACCTTTATCTGACGTATAATGCTTGTAAATAACCTACTGGTTGGAATGGGACCCAACTTTCAGGTCAGTGCACATACAAATGTAATCCAAGGAGTGTTAGATGTAAGATGCAAGACCCTGGTAAAAGATGTAAGATGAAAGGTAAAGTCACTATGCAAAATTATCAGGCGCAATCCTATGCACAGTAATCATGCAGTGAATTCCACGGGCTTCAGTGGCACTTATTTAAAAGAAGATGTGCGTGGGACCATACAGTAAAGCAAGCACATGCACATACACTCAAATATATTTCCCACGTGTCAGTTCAATAGATCAAAAGGCTGTGCTTGGTTTTAATCTAGCCTGTCTGGACATTCCATGCTCTTTCTTGAAAAAGAATATAATTCACTTTGTGTGCTTAGCTAAATTGGAAGCAGGCACAATTCATTTTGTAATCACATGATGCTTATAAAAACAATAAAATAAGCAAGATTTTGGTAAACTTTACAGTAACCTCTTAAGCACACACACGCACACACACATTAAGGAATACAGCTTACCTCAATGTTGCACTTTCTATGAGGACAATATTCTTCTCTTCTGTTTCATAGCTTCTAGAGGAAGTATCCTTCCCAGTGTGTCTTTCTTTACATATTTAGAAATACAGGCGTGTTTATCAGAAATCATTTGCATGCAAGTTATACCACCCAGTATCATTTTTCCACTTATAACACTTATCTGCTTTGTTCCATTTTAAATAAAAGAAATATATTCCAACTCAGTTTCAAAATGCCATGCCATATTATCCATCGAACTGTTAGTCTGCATTCTAAGTTGGGCATGTGTATAAGCTGCAAGACTGACACGGGATTGAGCCCATTTATTTATCAGCGCGCGCGCACACACACACACACAATTGCATTGTACACTACTTGCTCAATTGCCATTGGTTCTCCCCAAAATCTAGGTAAGTATAGCTAAGGCTGCAGAGATGATCTGTCAGTTTAATTTACATGTTGAAACAGTGCAGTTTATACTTTACTGGAGATGAATTCCATGTAAAAATATCTTCTCATGTATATATGTATGTGTATACATGCCCTCCTCTGATATTCTGCACCAAAGCTGCAGACTCATTTTCTTTTTTGCAACAAAGATAGTTACTGTGGCCCAATAAACCTGCACTGACATCAGTGAGTAAAAAAATCCTATTATTATGCTGCATGTATCTAAATAACCTTTTGTACCACATTCTAATATACTCAGCAATACCAACCTGGTCTAGGTAATGCTCTGGTCTCTTCAAATGCCTCATTCAAGGTCACAGCCATGCAGTCTTAATATGAAAATTTGCTAGCATCTGTTTCTTGCAACATGTCACCACTGAACAGAATCCCACTTCTACATGCATGCACATAAAAAGTAGAAATCCAACCCTTTAATGGTATGAACCTATAGTGTGCATGTTTATAAAAGTAGCACAAGGCCATTTAACACCCTGGCAAGTGGGCATGGCTAATTAACACCTGTCATGCAGTTAGACTGGCTAATATTAACTAATCGAAGTGATACAATTTATGTTTCCATCATCTTGTAGACAGTGCCTTGCACGAACATTCACGCATACCCTTTGACTTTTCCAGATCTTGTTGTGTAAACCTAGAACTGAAATTGATTTGACATTGTTACCACTTGATGTACACAAGATTCATAACACAGTGAAGGTGCAAAATATTATATTGTGGCACAAAACTTGAGTAAACAAAAACAAGGGGACACTCATTGGTTGCACAAGTGTTCACCCGCTTTGCTGCGACATGCCTATATAAGCTCTGGTGCTACCCACCGCGTCCTTAAGTCACAAACTGGAAACACGGTAGCTGAATGGTGCTGTTCCAGCCACATGATCTCAAATTAAGTGCATCTGTTCCTTAAAAGTCCCCAAGTTTGTGGGAAAGCAGTTGTAAACAGCTATCTGAAGACCAAGGAAAATGCCGAAACATTCCTGGATAAAGTTCTGCTGAAGCACTAATCAGGATATGAGTATCTCTCTGAGCACTGCTAAATGTACTCTTATAAAATGGAAAATTCAGTGACCAGGTAAGGAGGATATTAGTAAGAGAAACAACCAAGAGGCCAATGGAAACTCTGAAGCACCTGGAAAGATCCACAGCTCAGATGGGATAAACCATCCATGGGAGAACAATAATCACAAAGCTGGGCTTTATGAAAGTGGCAAGAGAAAAGCAATCTCTGAAAGAAACCCAGACCAAGACTGTGTGGAGGTTGCAGAATGGCATGTGGGAGACACAGGAGACACGTAGGAAAAGATTTCTGGTTTGATCCAAAATTGATTTTTTTTGGCCTTGCTGAAAAACGGAATGCATGGCAAAAAGCCCTGAGAACACCATCCCCATGGTAAAGCTTGGTGGCAGCAGCATCATGTTCTGAAGATGCTTTTCTGCAGCAAGGACCAGGAAATGGATAAGGATTGAGGGCAAGCCAAATACAGGGCAATTCTAAAGGAAAACCTGCTCCAGTTTGCAAGAAACCTGGGACTGAGGCAGAGTTTTACCCTCACCACACAGATAAAGTAACCCAGGGAGCAAGACTCTGAATGTCTTAGAGAGGCCCAGTCAGAGGCCAGATCACAATCCTACTGGTGATCTTTGGCAAGAATTGCAGTTTGCTCTTCATCAATGCTCCCTATCCAGCCTGAAAGTTTGCCAGGAGTAATGGAAAACATGGCAGAACCCAGAATTCAAAGCTGGTGGCACTTGATGTCTTCTGGTGTGTTATGAAAGTGATGCATCAGGAGCTCTACTGGGGGGAAACTGTAGAAGAAAAGCAATTAAAGCAAAGCACTCAAGCATTTAACAGCTCGAAATCGAGTGCCAAATCGAAATTCATTTGATGCTGCTTTTTCGTGAAGTGATGACAAAATGTTTTCGAGAGCTTCCATAAGCTTTTGCGTATATCCTCATTTACTTTGGAGTAAGTTTCACCGAACTCAACAGGGCTGGCTTTGCAGTGGCATGTTGGTTGGTTGGTTGGTTGGCTCAACAGAGCTCGAGGCTGCAAATCTGCACACATCTTACTCCAGCGTCTCACTGAACTCGTCAGGATTCGCTTCTGAGCAGACACATATAGAATTGCAACACGAGGGACCCGAGCTCGCTTTTCACTGGCTTCAGGGTCCAGGCACCTGCTTAGCTCCAGAAGCCACGCGCATCTCCAACTCTAACAGTATCTGACAAACGCAAGCCTTGGGGCGGTTTGAGGCAGTCCAAGAAAAGGAGGGGCGAGTCTTTCTTGTGCACGCCGCCCAAACGTCAGCCAGCTCCGGGGAAGAAAATGTCTCCTACAATCAACAAACAAAAAACCAGCCGCAAACTCCAAACATTCAACAGGAACGCGCCCTCCTTATTTTTTCAACTACTCCAGTTCATAAGATCTGCCGGATACGGTCCATTAGTGCGTCGCAGCCAATGGGAGGACAGCGCCTGCTGCCCCCACCAATCCTGGCCAAGTTGATCGGATGGATGAAGCGCTCGTTGTCACGTCGGGGGGTCTAATACTAGTCCGCTTGAATGCTCGGCAGCTGCGCTTGTTACGGGGGTGCAGTTTTCTTGTGTGTTGCGTGTACCCTAGAATCGCACTGACAGAGTAGCCTTGAGCGTCTTTTTGGAGTGTTCCCCCCGCCATAGTTTTTTGGTTTTAACAGCGAGATCCTAGACTTTTTTGAAAAAGTATAGGCTCTCCCCCACTTGCGCAGGGTCTGTTCCCTGCGGGTGGTGCTCGTTTGCCTGGCAGGGAGTCCTATTGAACACAATGGGGCTTTACTTCCAAGTAGGCAGGCCTATGACTGTCATCGCAGCGGGCTTCCAGGGCCAGCGAGCCCGCGCTGCCGCTTCCTAGCGCCCATCATCCGCGCTTGCTTCGCGCAGGTCCGGTGTTTCCTGCAGCGGGGGAAAAGGCCGGGCACGGTTTTGCTGAGTCAGCCTGAGCCCGCTCGCTAGCGCGACAGAAGCAGCCTCTCCTGGGGGGTTTGTTAATGCCAAGGTTTCCTTCCCCTGAGCAGCACCCAGGGTTCCCTAGGTAGCGCTTGGACATGATTTTGCCATCTAGGGGGAAGCATTATAAAGCTTATATGAAAATAGCAGCGACGTGTCTCAGTGGAAAATTTCTAAATAAAAGCTACGTGCGCTCTCTCTCTCTCTCTCTCTCTCTCTCTCTCTCTCTCTCT